GAACTTGCAACGTCACTAGAATTTGTCAGTCTGTGGTTCAATACTCGATTGCAGAACCTCTGCGGGAGTATTTGTCATGCTGTACTGAAGGATGGGCTGTAGAAAGTGCACTGGTCAGCTCAACCTCTCAATATTCCTCTAACTCTATGGGGAAGGGGGCCATTGTCAGCGTCAGTAACTATGTAATAGCACTAATAACCTTCAAGTATATGCACAGCTGTCACTGTTTTTCTATAGCATATCTAGTGCTACTCTCCAAGCAGAGGGGTAGGTTTCGGCTTATTTTTTGTGTGTATTTATCGGGCTTTTTTTTTTACTGACATTTTTTACGCCAGCAAAACGTCTGGTGGCAAATGGTAACATTTTGGCAAATAGTTACTGCCCGGCCAATTTGATACCGATGTCTTTGCAGCCACTAAAAGAATCAATCTGCCTGGAGATTGATCTAGTGCGCTTTTCCTTTCCTTGTGAATATATATTCTGCCTACTTGTACAGACAATCAGACCCGTTCAGGATCAGCTAACGAACTGCTGATGTTGCAGTACAAATTTATCTACATTTTGAACTCTGTATGTTGTTCCTGGGAGACTTGTAAGTACGTAGTGAGAATAATTGGTTTTCAAACAACTAGAATATATCGGTGAATCGTTCGTTAACTATGTGCATACCTGATCGTAACATCTCCATTTGTATTAATACATTAAAGTCAATCATGCTGTAATTCATCCGTTTATGTCTTTTTTATTGCATGCGTTCAATAAATCAGCGCATTTAATAGCATGTTGGGGAATTTCCTTGATTAGTAACAAATTATGCTGATGAAAATTTTACAACAATAACCCGGAGCAGATTTAGAATACCATTATTCCTTCCGCATTTTAGACCAAACTTATAAGATGATATCAATAGATTAATTTTGTACAGCAATACTTTCAAATCCCTCAAAACTGAACACCTGTCTCGTAATTGGGCGGTCACACTTATCGTATGCTGTCGTACGGTTTTGATGTCGTAAAGGCCATGAAATACTCCAACCACCGACAAGGATCTAAAACAACATTTCCGTAACAAGGCAGCTCATTTTTGCAGGACATACGCACGACTATCCCAGGAATGCTCTGAGACGTATGTGTGTGAGCGATCCCTGAATAAGGTTTCCTCGGGCGCAGCATCCTTCTTGGCAGGGTAACTCTGATGCCATGTCCGGCCGTTTTAGCGCATCTCACGTTATAGGTCCGGGTAGTTACTGCCAACAGACACCTCACCCATTACATGGACGTGACTTGACTTTTGGCCCTACAACATTCACTCTGTAGCAATAACATTCTATCTACCCCCTTTCAATATATTTTATAGCTACCGCTTTGCGTAACAAATGACTTGACTTGTTTATTGAGATTTTTACGCTGTGGGTTATCACAGTTATCAGTGCTGCACAATATATGTCTATAATTGGTATCAGTTTGTCATTTTCAGAGTTCATCCTGTACATGTAATATTAGGTGTTCCATTTAGACTGGGGACCGTGAAAGGAAATGTGCACTCATTCTGTTAAACACCTGTCACACATAGCCAAATATGGCCTCCCGAGCACTGACACCCCCCCCCCCCTTAAACCATGGTTGGGAGCAGGTCGGGAGCAAGGTTGGATATGGTTGTCCCCAGCCGAATGTTTCCAAATGTTTAAAACATTCGGGTGTGGACGGGAGGTTGGGTTGTGATTGGCTCGTGATTGGCTGGTGTTCGGCAGTAGATAAACAGTATTTTGAAGGGTTCCAGGGTCAAAATTTACTCCAATTTTATTCCAGTCATATAGAAAGATAGGCGTAGCCCCCAACTTAAGTCAGCCTTGGCTGGTTTGTGGTCCGGGGAAGGTTCTGAATGTGTGACAGGGGCTTTAGCCATGTGCAATGATTAATGACACAGATAAAGGTGGATTGCTAGTGTACAGGTGTGAATCAGATAGCGATGTTATATATGGAGCTGCAAGAAACACAGGGTCGACATTCGGACGATATAATCACAACTTCAACTTGAAGCACGCAAACTTTTTTGTTGGCTGTTTGCCAACACTCAAAAGGGCGCAATCTACCAAACTTGCCATTTCACATCCTAACTTCAGCACATACACCCATCCGGGCACCCGTTCACAGGTCTTTAAATGTAGCAGTGGATGTAGCATTTGTAGATACACACCGCCGCCACATGTAATTCATGAAACTCTTTCAACCACCACGTCGAAGCGTCCATACGCATTTGTCATCTACTGCATTATAACAAAAAGGTGTAGAACTTGACGGAATTCATCCAGACACTTTAAAACGCATTGTGTAGACGCTTTTGTGGTCATGCACTAGTCAGAATGTTACGTCGCGAAACATGAATGTTAGACGGATGAAACACAATGTATCTGTGCGTTTGGATAAGCTTGTTCCGTGTGAGTAATGTACCGTACATGGAACCCTTAATGCGTGGGGAAATGGGCTATACTTTAGGAACGAGATGCTTTAATGGTATTCCTCCATCAAGAAGAATCCGTCGGTCCGGCGCCCAGGCATGTACTTTAGTTTGGGGTACCACACAGGCAAAGCAAGTGACAAATCTCACAATGTTCTTTCGGTGACCGCGCAAACATCTCCTATATCAGGCTTTCATGGTCTTTTTATGATCGTTTAGTAATCTCCAATGACTCTCGATGATCTTTCAATGATGTCAAAGATCTTTCAATGATTACCAAGGCCATCTTTCAATAATCTTCAAGATCGTTCAATGATCGTTTATATTAATGATCCCCATGATATTTTAATGATCGTTTTAATGTTTGCCGAACTAACTATCGTCTGTGTCACTAGTTTCAATGATTTTCGGATGATCTCCAAAGTCTTCCAATGAAATTGAAAGAAGAAGAAGACGGTATTTGAATGATCCATCAATGATCCCAATGATTAATGATGTTAGGTCTCGCATTAATTGGTTGCCCAACAGTCTCTATCGTATCCAGAAGCGTACATATCTAGTTCTATGTCTGACTCAGGGTCGATCATGTACGGTTCTGGATAGTTTCCGTGTATCCTAGAACGAAGATTGGTCCCAGACACGGTTCTGGATACTATATATTAAGTACGATTCTGGATAAAATAGTCTCCCTCCATCGTATGCATGTTACGGCAATGTGAGTAGTCTATACCAGAAAAATACCTCAAGGACAAGGTACAGTTTGATTTACGGCACTGGTTTTCCATCCACATCCGGGCTTCGCTTGAGGGAAGAAACGCATTTAGAGAAGCCGCACCATGAATGGACGCGGATGTAGATAGACTGATGTACGGAGACAGATCCTGTCCTTATCGGTAAAGTCAATCTTTGGGTTTTATGGTTCTGAGCCTTCAGGGATGTTCCGGCTATTCGAACAAAATGTCTGTCGATATTGCAGTTAGATTTCATATCAAACGAGGGTTGCTTCATATATAAATCCCCAACGGCTAAGTTGCATTTACGTTGTACAGTTTTTATCGCAAGGCTTTTCAGCAAAGTGTTGGCGTCGAGAATCAGCCGCCGGGAAAGAGTTAGGACAACTTTTTCCGTCACAAGACAGCCTCGATTGTCCCGTGAATTTCCTGCGGTACAAAGTTTGTTGCAAAGGCTTATATCAAAGTCAAACACAAACCGTAATTCGTTCTCATTTACGTTTTTAGCTTTTTTATTTGTGTCTAAAATAAATCCTCTATCAAAACGGTTTATAGAAATAACAGCTTATAATAAAATCTATACGCGTTTATGATACCTACCCTACATGTGTTCAATGATAAAACCCCGCCAACTCTTAGGTATTTACTGTTATGTTAACGTTGTAAGTTACTTTGTGTAAATATTTCTTATCATGTACGCGCTGCTGCTTTAATCGACCGATGCTCTGTATATTTGTTTCATGAACCCTGGAAGATTGGGGCTGCAAAGGGGGGTATTTGAATAAAATGTCAACTCAACTTTACAACACACAAATACAATCGCAGATGAACACGTTACAAGCGTTGAACAAGATGTGTTTTGACGGAGTGTTAAAGCGAGTTTTATGGAGAGTGCAGATGGCATATAAAGGCGGCGCATTTCACGCTGCCACGACTCTGTCAAGCACCAAGCGTTTCATGGACTCTGAGAGCCAATATTAGAACATGATATCATAGCACATCGGCAGAACGTACTGCACCCGCGTAAAAGCGGTATTGTATTGTGCATGGCACGTTGGTTGAACGTCTCGTTTCAGGCGGAATTAGCGTCCCAAGGATGTTATCCCGTCTATAGTTTTCAAATGTTGTGCAAGGGACAAAGTTCTGATGTAACGATGACCAAACATCCAACGACCAAACATCCAAATCCGGGTTTCGCGCAGGCTCAGTACGTTCTCTCGACGTGCTAACATCTTAATCCTGTTGATTTACGCATGAGAACTGCCTGTTACAATAGTGATGGAGGATGTGATGAATGGTTTCCATGGTTACTGATTTTTTATAGTAATAGAGAATCCTGAGCTCCAATTGGTAGTTAAGAAATGGTTCTCTCGAGTTAGAGGTGAATGACCACAAGATCTCAGGTGGAGGAGGAGACCATGTAACACAGGCTGATATTTTTCTGTACTATTACAGATACCGCCTGAGCATGGATCCTATCATGAGATCACGTGTGCGCTCCTGTAAGCCTGACACCAAAGTTGCCTTCATCAAACTCCACAAGACGGGCGGCAGTACCATTATGCAGGTCTGTAGGACTGATTGACGCATTGTTATCTGGCAGAAATGCATGCAAGAACTGACATCCCCAATATGCGAAATGTACAAGGCACGTCGACAGGACGTACGTACTGTAGCAGTATGAAACCCGTGATGTACATGTACTAGTATTGTGCATAGCGCTCAGGGCTGTCCCTCTTCTCCTACTCAGGTCCTACACCGCTTCGGGTATCTTCGGAACCTCTCCTTCGTGCAGCCGACATCGAACAACATCAACCAATTGTACCCCTATGGCCTTCAGGTTGGTGAGTTAGTGAATGATGGACGAATGAATGAATTAACTAGAATTCCGAGATCTCATACCTCCATGAAATATGATCTTGATATGTAAATGTCAATTTCTTCTTTAATTGTTGAAATGACCTCTGCATTAACATGATATATGCATCGTGATGTATGTTAACTTTTGATTAACTTACAGATGTCCAAAGTATGACATTCTCATCATTCACCATTACGAAATCATAGAATTTTCACATTAATTATGCAAATTAGGTCATCATTTGCATAATTAGTATCTGTTGAAGTTCCGCCTGCCATAGGTTACATAGTATAATGTAAAACACTGTAATTATAGAATTTCCTCATTAATTATGCAAATAAAGTCCTCATTTGCATAATTTACATTTAATTATGTACATCTCTCTCTCAGCTACCTACACACCAAAAATAATGAAAATATGTTGCTCCTGTCTGGACTTATTGGCTTTTAAACATTTCGCCAGAAAGTGCCCTGCAGTTCTAGAACAAGCCGCTAGGGGGCCCAAACTCATATGACTTCTTACCAAGCACGCGAGCTACCTTCCATCAAAATTTCATGACCCTAGCATGTCCAGATCGCGAGATAATGTAAAACACTGTAATTATAGAATTTCCTCATTAATTATGCAAATAAAGTCCTCATTTGCATAATTTGCATTTAATTATGTACATCTCTCTCTCAGCTACCTACACACCAAAAATAGTGAAAATATGTTGTTCCTGTCTGGACTTATTGGCTTTTAAACATTTCGCCAGAAAGTGCCCTGCAGTTCCAGAACAAGCCGCTAGGGGGCCCAAACTCATATGACTTCTTCCCAAGCACGAGAGCTACCTTCCATCAAAATTTCATGACCCTAGCATGTCCAGATCGCGAGATATCAAAACCGGAAGTTGCGCTGCAGTACCAAGGGAAGCCACTAGGGGGACCAAAATCTCATCATTTCCAGTTTTCGTCACACCCTACCAACACACCAAGTATGAAACCAATCCATCCAGGCGTTCTTGAGTTATCTTGTTGACCAACAGACAGACAGACGGACGGACGGACGGACGGACAGATAAACGCAACTGAAACTAGAATTCCGAGATCTCATACCTCCATGAAATATGATCTTGATATGTAAATGTAAATTTCTTCTTTAATTGTTCAAATGACCTCTGCATTAACATGATATATGCATCGTGATGTATGTTAACTTTTGATTAACTTACAGATGTCCCAAGTATGACATTCTCATCATTCACCATTACGAAATCATAGAATTTTCACATTATTATGCAAATTAGGTCATCATTTGCATAATTAGTATCTGTTGAAGTTCCGCCTGCCATAGGTTACATAGATAATGTAAAACACTGTAATTATAGAATTTCCTCATTAATTATGCAAATAAAGTCCTCATTTGCATAATTTGCATTTAATTATGTACATCTTTCTCTCAGCTACCTACACACCAAAAATAATGAAAATATGTTGTTCCTGTCTGGACTTATTGGCTTTTAAACATTTCGCCAGAAAGTGCCCTGCAGTTCCAGAACAAGCCGCTAGGGGGCCCAAACTCATATGACTTCTTCCCAAGCACGAGAGCTACCTTCCATCAAAATTTCATGACCCTAGCATGTCCAGATCGCGAGATATCAAAACCGGAAGTTGCGCTGCAGTACCAAGGGAAGCCACTAGGGGGACCAAAATCTCATCATTTCCAGTTTTTGTCACACCCTACCAACACACCAAGTATGAAACCAATCCATCCAGGCGTTCTTGAGTTATCTTGTTGACCAACAGACAGACGGACGGACGGACGGACGGACGGACGGACAGATAAACGCAACTGAAAATATAACCTCCATGACACATTTCATGGAGGTAATGAATGAATGATAAAGAGACTTTGCGTACTTCAGTACTAAGTGACCCTGCGTCTTATCCAGAATATGGACAGTTTGAATCCCGACTGTTGTTACGCACCTGACTTGCATGCTGATGGAAAGCTTGCAGTCTAGCCATTCATACATACATACATACTGTTGTCAGCCATTGGCCTTTGCACCTTTCTGTGTGCATTGAAGTTATATATGTAATACGTAGCTCCGTATGAAAATACCTTTTACGATAAACTAAAACTGTGTCTTAACATTTCAAAATATCATTTTTCTGCAGGACATCCGAAAGTACCTCCCGCCCGAGGGGAAGGAGTTCGACATCTTGACGTACCACACCATCTACGACAGAGCCAGGATAACGAAGCTGCTGTCTGCGAACGCTACTTTCGTCACCATCCTCAGGGAGCCGATGGAGCGCCTCAAGTCTGCCTTCAACTACTACCAACTGGCGAGGAGATTCCGCATTCCCGGGTCGACCGCCCTGCTGAAGTTCCTGGAAGATCCGGGAAGATATGATAACAAGGTGGATCTCCGTTCCTCCGGAGCCCCGGTGTCCGCGACCAGGAACCCGATGGCGGTAGAGCTGGGTTTCCCCATCAAGAATCTGTCTCCCAACGATTCTACCGGCGTGAAGGACGAGAACATCCGGGACTTTGTCGACAAGGTCTCGCGAGAGTTTGACCTCGTGATGGTGACGGAGTACTTCGACGAGTCCTTGGTGCTGCTGAGGCGGCTGCTGTGCTGGGACATGCAGGACATCCTCTACTTCAAGTACAACAGTTACGAGTACGATTTACGGAAAAATACGGTACCCGAGCATCTGGTACAGAACTACCGCCGGCACGACGCCATAGACTACGCTCTGTATGATCACTTCAACCGGACGCTGTGGAAAAAAATCAACATGGCGGGCGCCGACTTCCAGGAGGAGCTGGTCCACTTCCGGTGGCTGCAAGCGAGAATGAGAACTCACTGTAACCGGGAGTTCTACGACTTCGCTCCCATGTACGTCGGCGAGACGGCCTGGAATTCTGGCTTTCGCATCGATGCGACGTTTTGCACATGGATGAAGACGTGGCACATGTGTTACTTTACCTTACTCAGGGACAGGAACGTAAGGATTCAGCAGGAGAAGCAGAGGATTCCGAAGGCCAAGAGGCTGCCGAGGACAGGCGGGATCTACTCCGATCCGTACTGCGTCTTGTGTGAGAATATAAAGAAGCACTGCACCGTCCATGAATACGTGACGCACCTGTACCACGAGGGGTTCCTATCGCCGACACAGTCCAGCTCCTCAAAAATAACCAGCATTAAGTCCCGACATGGCGGCAAGCCACAGCCCATTTCTTGACCGTTATTTCTTATTTTAACCGAGGACAGAGACCTTCTGATCTAGCTATAGCCTCCATAGCGGGCTCAGTGGCTGGCGTTTAGATATTGCCGCTTATTTTGGATGATTACGCACTGTTTTCTGATTGAATCTGATTTATATATGATGCGTGCCGTTTGCAACATCATTTTCCGGCATGTGCGGAGTTGCTAATATAACTAAGTGGAAGCTAAATTAACAAAAGAATGATAATCTCTCCCTGGTAAGGACATTCTCTTAAGGAAATGGACCCAACAGAAGATGGTAGTCATAAGATAACAATACACATATTATCACCAAAACACAACAATGATAAATGTCTGCCACCGTGCCAGCTAGGAGGCTAATAGTCGATCGATATATATGTACGCTTGTGCAAATATGGGATTTACGGCATTTTTTATTGCCAACAACGGGGAAACATTTGCCTTCTCCCTTTCTCTCTTAACTATTGTGCCTCAGAGATAATCTACGATAGCATTTCTCACATGTAACAGTGCCGTGGAGACGTTTCCAGGGTAAGAATAAACGCTGCTAGTGTTGTAGTCATTGATGAATGTTGCACCGTCGCCACAGAGCCGTATTTTATTTTTTCTACAGTTAAAATGTAAGATATACTACACTGTATACCATGTATACATGTTGGTGCAAAGAACCTGAATTCTATGAAAGTTTGGTAGCTATAAGTGATAAAAAGTTCTCAATTAAACCTGGCCACATTAGGAGATGGGGGGGGGGGCTTTTTCAATAACAGTATTTAGTCGGCAGTTTGTGCTATTTTTCTATGTTGAGTGGGTATTGCTGAAGGGTTCTATGATTACTGTTGCTCTGTGGATGTTTTTTGTGATGACTGGCGGCTTAAGATTAAAAAGGTTACAGATAAACTCTACGGAAGACGGAAAACAAGATGAAGAAAAACTACGGAAGACTGAAACTACTCCTATCCATGAAAAATAAAGATTAATTGGCGCAATTCATTTATGTCTCCTGTCTAATACATTGTTCGTAGCTAGCTTTATTTATAGCCTGTGGTTGTTATGGGAAAGTGGATGGACAAACTATCCTGTAGCAGATATCAGTGCATTCATCACCAAAGGGGTCAGTACAATTCATTCACGATTCAGGCCTCTCTGACAAGTTCTAATGGTGCATCTCATCATCCAATCATGGCTGTCAATATTACAGGGTCTGGCCCAGGAAGCGTCTCAAAAGAGACAAACTCTCTCATTTTCTCTCATCAATAATGAAGATACAGTCTTCCACATGGTCACCCGGCCGGGTATGATATAAAAGACAACAACAAAAAAGTTGAAAAGGGCTAATCATGAGCACTATTTGTGAACATTGTTGCTATTTATGAACGCCGATTTATTTTCGGCCGGGCTCCAGTTTGGAAATGTGACGTTGGATAACTCACAACGTGCCACTGGGACAACTTCGTTTTTTCCTTGATTACTTGGAATTTGGAAATACACTAATAATAGGAGATAACAATTCCACAAGTCTGACTGATACAAAATATTGTAATACTGTGAAAAGGAAGATTCAAAGTTAAAGTAGCTTCCGATATCTCATAACGTGCCACTTGTACAACTTCGTTTCACACGGGTTACTCTCAAGTTGGAATTCGGAAACACACTAGTCATGGGGGGTTTAGAGATTTAACAATTTCAAAAGTCTGACATATATGAAATATCGTAGTGTGAAAAGGAAAATTTCGAGTTGAAATAGTTTCGGACATAGTGATCATATGTCTAAGGGGACCGGATTTGTGAAACGCTAAAAGATTAAGAATATATATAAGCTAAAGCTTTCCCTGTGAAGTTTGATGTTTTCCATCTAAGTCTCAGAGGAACAGTACTGTCAAATATTCAAGTTGATCTTTTTTTCAATCTAAATCCAAGGGGACCTGAAACTGTCCTCCAAAGTTGGAAAATGACTTTTTCAAATCGAATCTAAGGGAACTATTTTGTGTCATAAGTTAGATGTGGGGAAATGACCGTTATGGCACCAAGTAGGGAGAGTTTGTGCTGCACAGGGACGAAAACTGTCCCCCAAAGTTGACTTGTTCAACTTGAATCTTCGGGGAATAATTGTGTTAAATGTTAATAGTTGAAATTTACGACTCCCATGCGGTACAGTATAGTCCGTTTACGTAAATCGCTCCAAAAGGTCCTCCCACTGATCAGCCCTCTCTACACAGGCACTGAGCGGCCATCTCTACACAAGAGTAATAGGCCGTTATTTTTCCCACCCAGAGGACTTCGTGTTACAACAGACTATGGCTATTCTCCAAACTTGTAAAACGACTTTTACCACTCAAATCTAAAGGGACCAATTTTGTGAAATGTTACAAGTTGAAACGCTCGGCTACCCACGCACGTTGTAGTGTTCTCAGACAGATTAAATCGCTCTATAAGCAGTTCTCCCACTGATCCACCATCTAGTCCATGGTCAGAGTACATACGGGACCGTTATAGTGCCCCAAACAACGGGGGTTATTGTGACACAGACTATTATAATGGCTGTACATGTCCTTTGAAAAATTATTTAAAATCTAATGGGACGTATTTTGTGAAACTTGAAACGCACGACTCCTAGAATAATCAATCTAAATTATCAATCTATATCTATGGGTAAAAGATTCCAAAGTATCGCAGGTTAAACTTGTCTAGAATATATTGACAGTAGAATGAAACCTCTAGACAAAAGTAATGCGCCGTCCCGACCTTATAAATGGCGAGTCAAAAGTTGGAAAACGATTTTTACATTCAATTCAAATTAAAAGGAACCAGTTTTACCTACATGTACTTGATTTATTTTTAAATATATCCAAAGGGATAGAAAGAAACCGTCTCCATTGCGATTGATTGTGAAAGAATTTGGGCAGATAAGTGTGTATTCGTCATTCATCTACACATTAACGATATCAAATTCGCCACCGACATGGCTTAATAGGTAGGACTGGGTGTAGTCATCGCTTATATCTGTTACGCAAAGTTTTCTTTTGAAAAAGTTTTCAATTCGATAAGAATAAAAAAAAACGACCATGACATGCTCACAGGAGTAACAAAACACAGAGAAAGGAAAAAAATTACCATACAATTATAAACAATGTGGATGAGATCACACATGCTTTCAATTTCAATTACAAACTGTTTTCATATGCCTATATCGTTATCTCAGACAAATGTAGACGAATGTAGAAAGATTGTTATACTGTTACCATCGTTTACTGTTCTTTGTTGATATACATAGAAACACATATATCATTTTCAATTTTATTCTATGTCATTATTGACATGTGAATGATTGTTTACTCCTAGCATTGAAGACTGGATTACGCTGATTTGACATATACAGACATAAATAAACATTTCAGAACTGCACTTGTAGTAAACACAATAATTGATGTTAATGATCAAACTCAATTAGGAAGTTATCGTTCTAGGCAGCAGGCACCAAACATGGCACAAGACACGAGGATCGCAAACAAACAGGTCTTCATGAAGTTATTGCCACAAGCGAGGCTCTAAGGCGTATTTTCTTAGGGAATTTGACAGAAACTGTGCAGGGTTAAAGGTTGCTCATGCAATTCTCGGCTTCCTGAATTCCCCCATGTCCACCTCTAACTCCTGCTGGATTCTGGGGCCTTCAAGTTCACACCATTTGCTGTGTCTGATCGTTTTACCCTTAATCATTCTGCCTGTCAATCCTTCCCACCCACATGCTGTCAACCTACTCTGTCTGGACAAACATACACTCAAACACACAGACAAACCCACTCGAAACAATACTTCCGTACAACAGCCTGTGTTTTTACGATTAACTGCCAAATACTATGGCTTGGTTAACCTCCTTGGTTGAACTAAAGAAAAAATACGGTTTCACTTCAAGTTTTTACATGCACTTTACTCGGGTAGTACGTGCAATATATCATCATATAATTCCACATCCTTCGGCTAATCAAGGTAGCCCTGGAGAGAGATTAAACTTCTATTTTTAAGGGAGATGTATGTGACGGTTCAAACCCCCGATCCGTCATGGATAATGAGATGGCTGCATGTCCCCATAGCTCGCGGTCTCATGGCATCTGATGTATTACATGTCATCGCCGGGAATAAATCCCAGTCATCAGTTATCGGTGGCAAAGGTAAAGCCCCTGTCACACATTCAAAACCTTCCCCCGACCATCACCAATCAGGGATGGCCGATTTAAGTTCCGGAGCAGTCTGACCAGATTTCTATACGAATCGACTCAACTTTGAGTTAAATTTTAGTCAACCTTGACCCCCCTCTCCCTTCTTCCCTTCTTCTTTTCAAGTCAGCAGTGTTCAGGGAGGGGGAGTATTAGCACACCACTGCTGCTACTACCCCCCCTGCCTGAACACTGCTGCCCTACTCCCGAACACCAGCCAACCAACAACTAACCATGGCTAAATTCGAACCTCCAGAATGTTTTAAACATTTTGAAACATTCTACTGGCGGAGCTGAGCAGTGGCCGACTACACCGAACAGCAGCCAACACCAGCCTACCTCACTCCCAACCTTCTCCTAACCATGGTTGGAGGGATTCCGGCAGTGTTCAGGAGGTCATATTCGGCTATGTGTGACAGGGACTTTAGAAAGGAGCCGTTTTTTAAGTCAAATTTTGGGATAATGTAAAGATTTCATTGTAATATCATAATGCTAGCATAAAGAACGGTGCAGTGATGCTATTATTCAGTAGCGGCTTTTCTTGGCACTACAACAGAATTTTCCGTTTTTAAAAATCTTTTATCCTGAGCAGGATATGGTCTTGATATTTAAGTAGCAGATGGCTTTTGATATCAAGAAAAAGTAGTATATGTTTGGGACCCTCGCAGCTTGCTTGCAGCGGCGTTTTTGTTACAACCTTTTAAAGATGATAAGTCAAGAAAGGAACAAAAGATTTTCATGATATTGGGTATGTCATTACATGTACAGTCAGATACTCAATAATGAAATGCAATCCATGCAAATTAGGGCTTAGTTTGCATAATTGATGAGAAAATTCTATAATTCCAGTGGTTTACACAGTATAACATGTGTAATTTATTGAACTCCAGTTTCTATGTTTACCGGTTAGCTATACTTTGGAAAGCCGTTGTACAGTAGTCGTCAGAGTTCTGCCTCACTTTTGGACATCCGAGGGGAAAATGAGCAGAATTAACAGGGGAATGTGGAATGGTTTGTTTTGACATGGTTTGTGACAAAACCATCGGCAGCCTGGCGTGCTAAGTGTGCTGTGTAATATTTACTAGATGGAACGGTTTCAGGAAATGGTACGGTTATAGGAAGTGTGTATACCTGGAGCAGCCTGGCATATGAACGAGACATACAAATATGTACATGGCGCGTCGAACCACATGCCTTCCTCGTGTGGGGAGTAAAGAACGCAATCTCCGTCGCCCCCATCGTCGTTTGGTTGTGACGGACCCCAGGAATTGTACGTCCCCAGCGCTGAACCGTCCACCCACTCAAACCTCCCCTCTTGTCGCTGATCGTGCAGGCCGAACCAGAAGCTCGAGTCCTCTCTCACGGCCCTGTACAGGGAGACCAGAAAGACGTTGGTCTCGGCGTCTCGGGGCATGGCAAGGGTGCCACCGTCTGCACGGCAGCTCACGGCCGCCTCGCTGAAGTTCTTGCGCGTGTTGAAGGCCTTGTAGCAGACATCACGCCACATTGTGTAACCTTTAGGACAAGATACTGAAAAAAAAGAAGTTTTATATAAAGAGGAGGCATGAGAGAGATGGAAGGGAGCACCATCAATGGTCCATTAGAATGTCGTACCTCCTTATTATGTATTTATTCACATCATCCAAGTTAAACTGATAGCTGCTATAAGGCACTAAAAATGTAAAGCTGAAGCCCAACTTGATGCCTTACTTATATCGTGAAGGTGCTGATCCAAGGCGGCGGTTCGGCTTCGTTCCTTGTCCAGGTCACGTTTCAAGGCTTCAAGACTAGTGGACATTTGGCGCATGTCGTCTTGGTGCCGTTTCAAGACGTCAACAGTGGTGGCCATATCGTCTTGGCGCCGTTTCAAGGTGCTAACAGTAGTGGACATGTTGTATTGGATGCGTTTCAAGGCGTCAACAGTGGTGGACAGTTGATATATTTCCTGAAACATGCGTCGACGTCAGAATACAACAAACCTTGAGAATACCAATTAGTCAGAAAAGATATCTCCTCCCGTAGTTAAAATGTATGACAGTCTCCTAAAACAAGATACAGTTGCAGAAAAATTGTTTTCTTTTTAAAACAGATACAAGAGTTTTACCTCTTTGTTGGTAAACGTCAGAGGGGCGAGTCCCACGGCGACGAGGCTCAGCAGCACGGCGATGCAGGCGGCCAGGCAGCTGCGGTGGGAGCGGTTGGAGCTACAGAGATCTCGGTTTCCGCTTGTTCCATCCAGATACGTGCGTTCTGTTAGCGGGGTTTGGCTCAAATTATCACAGAGTAATATCACTAAATAAACCTAAAACCGTCGCCATGGCATTTATAGCTTTCATTGTCAACCTTTTTCATGTGAAATTAACATTCAAAACTTAGCTGACAGTTATCATTTTTGAATGTAAATCTGACTTCATTGATATACGTGATAACTTTCATGATATAGCAATATACGTAAGAACGCATATACGTAAGTGAACCGCAGTTCAGGAAAGGTTATTACGATTTTGCAAATATCCACTACTGCCATGGTTACATTTCCTAGCTGACGCCCGGCCTGGATATTTGATTTAGTGAAAAAAACGCAAATCACAAATCTACACAAATTATACTCATGCAGGATTATTAAACATTTTGTTTGTTTGTTTTGTTGTCTTTTATATTATACGTTTCTTTCCCACAAACTGACCGGCCGGGCGCAGCTTGGAAATATAACCCTAGCATAAAATGGGCAAGTCATCAAAGCGTCGGATACCTGCAGACGTGTACGCTACATGGTGTTTCACATTCTCGGCTTCTTCGTACGTGTGTGAAGACACTTTTTGGTCTTCTCGCAGCTTGTCGGAAGCGTCGTTGCCGTGGCGGATACGTGTCTGATGGACACGAGAGGGTTGGGGCGGCAGCCCGCTGGTTTGTCCCGAGAGGGGCGACCGGACAGGCTCTGCTTTCTCGTACATTTGGACCGTGCTGTGCGGGAAACAGGTGAACAGTGCAACTGCCAACTTCAAGCTCAAGGTGCATGAATATGGACAATACTCAATGATTAGTCTGAAGGAGTAAGGATAGCGTTGCCCACATTTAGAGCTGGAGGGCCTAGGGATAACGAGTGTCGCGACTGGTACTTTGTTTTTCTACAAGCGGCAGACTAAACAGGAAAAGAAAAAAAATTAGTCTAGACCGAAAGGTAAAAACATCCAAAAGTTTGTACGTGAGAACTCTCACAGTAGTAGACTTATTTCCCTGTTTTTCTAGAGACATTTCAGTCCCTTCATGCCATCTGTGCACACCGACGTTTCCATAAGTTAGACTGGTGAACGTTTAAGACCGTATAATAGCTCCTAAATGACTCCTAAACATAATTGTGAATTTCTATATGTAGGTGTGCGTGTAATAAATAGAGACCTTGCTTGTCAAATGCAGAGTCAAATGCAAAATCATTTATTCTTTATTCCGGGTATGAAACAAATAAAACATACATATTTATTTATTTATGAAGATTTACCACACTTGTGGAAGGATTGTCACAACAGGTGATTATCACCTCTTCAAGATGTCAACCCTGAGACCAGACTGTAAGGTTTGAACCGGTTAACCAGGTCCCCTACTCTTTTTGATAAGTGTGGTGGGTTCTTTAATGTGTCTGAGGTGTTGATCTCCTAAGCAATCCAGTCCTATCCGAGGGACGTCCGTAACCGAAGCTAGGTACTCATTTACACCTGTGAGGAAAGTCGTTTAAAGTGCCTTTCCCAATGGTAGGATTCGAACCCCGGACCTCTTGGGTCTGAGCCGAATACTCTACCGTTACGCCACACGACCCCACACATATACAAACAAGGATATACAAGCAACCAAGCAGCAAAGTAAACCATATATGTTGCAGAAGAAAATCTGTCCTTTTAAAATCTACTCTTTTATCAATCCTAGACACATGTCGGCAGACCCTGTCTCGTACTGTTTTAGCTCCGTCACACTCGGACGTCACGGGGAAACCCCATCCTAACACCTGGCAGCTTACCACGGTGCATACAACAGGGTCATAGGTTATGTGTATACTTGGTGCACCTCAGTCTGTTTGCCACAGTGACATTACAACAACAACGGCAACAACAACGATGCACTATACATCGGGACAACATTTTTTTCTATTTACCATGACTTTCAAATTCAGCAACATTTACAATAATAATGTTTTGACTTTACCCTACCTCTAAATATGACACATGCTTCGTAAACTCAAAACAGCTCCTACGTTTATGTAGGCTATAATCAGACTACCACCTTCGTATTTATAGGGTTTTATCAATCCAAGATTCCAACAGTCGTTCGAAGTTCCTTCAGACATGTGTATTTATTTGTACTCGCCATAGTCGTATCTCAGTGTTCTGCCTTATTCTGAGGAAAGGTAGAGATTTTTAGTGAGTGTAGAATGATTGGAAGACACCATTCCGACTTTAGAGTTCATTTGGTCACAGATCATCCCCATCATAGTCATAAGATCAAGTTTGTGCCCAAACTTTCCAAACACTTCAGTGAGGAAGCGAATGTAGGGCGCTCCGTCACAATTACGCTTTGAAACGAATCCTGACACAGTAGACAAGCCAAGAAAGATGTCGGCTTCGTGAGACATAAACGAAAACTGTTTGGAATCATGTGTGTCGTTGTCTAGAGCACGGCCCTGAACCGCTTCCCCCTGACAGGCTTGGATGAAGAAGAGTTTGGGTTTACCTTAGCTTCAAGACTGGGACACCTTTCGATTTTGACATGTTTCATGAGTTCACAGATGTCGATCCCCACGTCGTTGGAAGAGAAAACTTTGCTGGAGGTCCCGTGCGACATGATGCAGCAAGCGAAGCAGTCGTAGTTGGAGTGGTCGGCCTGGCCGAGTTCGATGAACACGTCCACCATCTTGGCGTGGTCGAGGTTGCTGTGCGATGTCACGTCAAAGTCAAGTTGTTGGAACAGGTTTGTAACTCGAGCTAAAATAAGGAAGAGAACCAAATGTGTTGATTTCGTGTCATCACTTGTTTACCTATTATATCTCCCTTCCTTTCATCTAAGAAGGGAGATAACCGGAACACATGTAACGTGAAACGTCTGTACTAAAAAATTAAAAAGCAAGGCGTTTCAGGTGGTTCAGGGTGCACAGTTCAAAAGCATTCAGATTTACAATGTAAAAACAAGAAGCCATAGGCGACAATTCTCCGTGAAGTATTATATATTGCAACAAAAAGAAGTAGCCATTGGCGACAATTCTCTGTGAAGTGTGATAAATCGAACAAAGAAAAATTGTTTAAACGCGCGTCGGCTCAGTCATCTTAAGACGCAACAACCAATCAGAGATGCGAAATGCCGACACGTGACGCGGGATTTGCATACAGTCTAAACAACGGGAAGGGCGCGCGATGCCCGAAATATTTTTGCGTCAATATTCAGCGCCGTGTTTCAAGAGATTAATACCGGGAAACAAATTCTTTTCTTGTTTTGAACGCATAAACATGCATTTACGCTAATCTAGTATGATTCAGGGTTACTTTTTTTTTACCTGCCATGGCCAGGTTATCTAAAGATGTGTGTATTGTGTGTACAATCTACAGAAAGAGAAATGTACATCAGGTCCGATCATCCGATTTTCACGTTTCGGTTTTTTGGACTCGGTTCATGAACGTATTTTGGTTTGGCTCCTGGAATGTGCGAAAAAAATGACTCCCGGGACTGTCTACAGGGAACACTCGCACATTCGCGGTGTATCAGGACAGCGCGACTGGTCGGCATTAGCGCAGTCCCTGTAATTAGTAACAGTTGCACATCAATCCGGCCGAAAGCATGATTGTGTAACACAGGCTACTTCTTCATATTATGCATATACCGGCTCATACTACACGACGCCTTTACAACTAGCAAATCATAAAATTACCCGATCTACTAGTACTGTATGTGCGGTTTACCAGCCCCAGACCACATCCGACCACGAGGCAGAACACATTGATGGGTTGCTCAAAAATATTGTCCATGTTTACAAAGAGCTGCTCCACTAACACTATGGAGCGGCCCAACCCAAAAATATTGGCCATGTGTCATTGCTAGGACGACCGGCCAGTTGCTACGTGACTAAATACACGCCGCCACTAGGTCGCCACACCCGACCAGTTTGAAATCGATAGGATTACGTCATCGGTATTAACATTTCCTAATGTTGACCTCTGACCACCCCACATTTCCGTCCCCATCAGCCCCGCCGCGACTTACTACCGGTGACATAAACGGACGACAACATTTCAACGACATGGGGATGTTTCGAAAATAAGCATTTACTCCAAAATCAAAACAGCTACGGTAAAAATAAAAAGACGTGCATCATCCCGGACATAATGCCACACCACATGCGAAATTACACAAAAATGCGACGTACGGAAGAATGCGTTTTGGCTGCGAACATCTTCCAAAAAACTTGGCATCTCTTAACCATGGGCAAAAACATCTGGAACCACTTATCAAGACCACCCCGTATCTGCATGAAGTTCCACCCCCCCCCCACTGCTATTCCAAACAACGCGTTTTTCTGGACCATTCCAATTCGCCTCGTAATTGTAGGGGTGCGTCTGCAGTATTACATTGACCGCGAAAGCTGCAACGGCAAAAATACACATTCGTGCATCAACACGGGCATGCCCGCATACGGCACATAAAATTGCGTGCCGATTACACAAAGAGAACCCAGTGTTTTGACTGCGAACACGAAAAATCAGCCGATCACAACACTCCGTCCGGAGGTCCTGACCTCCTTCACGGAGTAACAATGGGAAAATGTAGGTGCTCCGACGCATTTGAATGGAGCTACCTGAATGTCGCCTAAAATGCACTAAAATGAAAACATATAAGACAAACAGCCATGGTGATTATCACATTTGAGAAGCGGCCAACTATGTACTAGTATATTGGTAAGATATAAGTAAGTTCTAGTTACATATAGTCTTTGAAGAATACCTGTATCTGCCTCGGCGCCAACCCTCTCCTGTAGCCGTAAGAATTTGGTGTTGTTGATGATGACGGCCAGTCCTCGCGGTTTGTGACTCATATTGTACGACTTGGAGCGCATGTGATCCTTTGGTGAGACCTGAGATTGCCTTTTTCTGTACAGTTGGTTTCGTAGACGTTCGTTCTCGCTCTCGAGGGCTCGCACCGCGTCGTCCGGGCTGAGGCCTTGCCTCCGCTCCAGCTCGTCTACTCTTGCCTGGAGTTCCTCCTTCTCAAGTGTGACGTCGTCGAGTTTTTGAGTAAGAGCTAGGACTCTTTCTCGCATCATTGTCAGCTTCTCTTCGGTGTGGGTCAACATCCTGTTCAGCACAGCTGCCTCGGGTGACAGGGGCTCCACTTGGAGAGGGATCTCAACTTCTTCGTCGTCATGGAGTCGCCGGTATTTCAGGATATGTCCTCTCTGGGCCAAGACTTTTTTCACAGCTACAAAGTTGGTGTACCGTGCAGAAAACAAAGGTTACAGATATGGTGGCATTAGAATATAAGAAATAATAAGGTCTAGAACTCTATCGTAGATATTGCATTGAAAGAATGGTCTATAGAAAGCACGGTAGTCCCAGCATCACTTTTGTAATGATACGTCTTGAAAATAAAGATATGAAATTGATTGTTTACCGTGACATTCTATGTGCACGTCACAGTGCTAAATGCACACCAGGAATTTAAGTTAGCAATACTTACTCGATTCTTCCACGAACTCTATCAGTGCCGTTCCTTCTTCTGGCCTTAGCACGAAAGCTATTTTACCACCACCGATGAGGGAGGTGGTAAAATACATGTACAGCCGCAGCGTGAGGTCCGTATTTTCATGTTCGTTTTCGGGAAGACCTCTGACGACGACACACGACTCGGGACGTCTAACTATGGCGGCCATGTTGTTCTGACGACGTGGACGCACCCCCGGCATTTCGACGTCACCGTCGTAGCAGTGCGACTTGACAATAAAAAAAATATGAGGAAGCTGTCTTTCTGAGCTACCTGTTACTGTTGTAGTCTCCTAACACGGTGTCGTTTTGGTCCACGCGGTGAGAAAACGTTTGACTACATACATGTAACGTTACATGTACCCTCCCTAGACAAACATATCAAGTCGGCAGCAAGGACAATGGTAACGCCTCCATGAACTTTAACCTGTCTCAAAGTACTTTTTGTATTGTTTCATTCAAGCAGAAAGCTAGAGTAATTGATAGTGTATTCGTGCGAGGGGAGAGATCAGGTTTTATTTGAATATTGTTTCTCTTCATGGCGTTGTTTTATAGCTACGTTTTGACTTTACTAGCAGTAACGCCGCTGGAAAATATCTGACGATAGTGGAACCACACAACATATGTACGTGACCATACTGTTGGACCAAACATGACGGGCTAGATGACGGGCATGTTCTGACATGTTTGTACTTATGAAGGGTAAAGTATGAGGCAAATACAATTGCGTTGCACATATGTACTAAGACATTGTAAGGCGTAGGTCTTATTTAAACAATCGAATGGAAGACTTGCAAACAGAACTGGGTAAGTATATCTCACGTATCGTTTCTTTTGTGCAAGAGAAGGTGATCAGAATATGCCTTTCATTCGTATAACAAAATTACCAACAACGAAAAGGTCAACCCTTGAAGAAAAGGCATGTTGGTCAAAGTATAATTTTACCAATCCCAGACAAATCTTGTTATCGAATTTTGAACATGCGTCACAGGTAAGGTTGACGTCATGGGGAACCCCCATCGTCACACCTTAGCTGGCTAAAGCTAAGGTCCCAATTGGGAAAAGGGGCCCTGGCGGGTAGCTCCCGGGCTGTTTTTTACCACTTCCTGGCGGGACCCCGACGTGGCCCCGCGGGGCACCCTGCGGCTACCGGGCTATTTTTGGCCCGTCGGGGCCCCGATAAGAATTTAATTCTGAGTTAAATTCTACCCGGGCCCCGCTGACAAAAAGACGCCGTGACCTCATCGTGAGAACACCGAGAGGTACCCCTCCGGTTGCCGGCATTCCACCGGGACACATTTTATTTATTTATTTATTTATTCAAGCTTTGCCACAAGTGGAAGGGAAGGGAGAAACAGGTGGAGACCACCTTTACAGACTCCCTCCCCAAAGACATAAATGACATTGCAATCAATCATAGTTAAAACTAATTAAACATATTGCACAACATCGTAAGTAGACAATAATAACAATATATATAATTGCACAATTACATAATACATGTAGCTAGATCTCTGCACATGTACATCCGGCCGTGGAGGTGCCCCATGTCTACCGTGGCCTTATTGCCAGACATGTGGCACACCGACAAGCAGACGTCCACGTGCAGAGATTGTCAGTAACAAAATGATCATTAAATCTCTTGGTCAGCGATTTGACAAGACCCCGTTTGAATGTTAAAAGCTCGGACTGCCCCGAAGCGACAGCCCCCATGTCCCGGACTCTGACTTCCAGTCTGTTCCACTCAGCCACCAAGCGAGGGATGTAGGAAGTAGCGAATGTTGATGTTTTGCAGCGAACTGGCATTAGCATATGAGACCTACTACCTCTTGTTGGCCGTGATGAAAATGAAACATAATTGTGCATGTCTAAATCGTACACATTAGCCGTGGACTTAACATACAACATGATGTCAGCGATCTCTCTCCTATATTTCTTACGTCATAGACCAGATGAACGGAATAAAGGTGTGTACTTCGTAAACCCGGGTAAAATGTGTGACCTCACAGATCAAATGATCACAACAAATACGTGAGTTCTGCATTACGTATAGGTCAATGCAAGACATCGTCAGAGAATCTGCTGGGTACCTGCCGGGTGCCTGCCGGATACCGACCAAAGAGGGTGACAAAATTTCTAACAAAATGCTACTGAAGGAAACTTTTAATTGTGACCACGACAGCCGATGCCCGCTCGACTCCTGAACCCGGCCGGGGCCAGCCGGGGCTACATCCCCGACGGGCACCGGCGTAATTGGGACCTTAGCTTAAGCAGGTGTCGTCGGCGGAATGTACTCGTACTGCACCTGCGCGAAACCCGTGATGGCCCGTGATGTGTTGTGGATAGCGCTTTGGCAGCGCTCAGCATGTTCTGTCGGAAAAGATGGCGTCTGCCACGGGCAAAAATATTTCCCAAACATCCAACAAAACCCGTGACAGATCCAGGTTTCGCGTAGGCGTAGTTCGTTCTGCCGACGCGCTAGCTGGCTGTGTATACTAATGAGGGGCCGGTTTACAATTGGTGTCCTACGTATACACAAACATCTAGAGTATCTAGAGACTCATGGCTGTATATAAAAATTCCTGTGATGAATTACTAGGAGGTAAAAAAAAGCTTTTCCTGTTTCCACCGAGGAACAAAGTGCAATTTTCTAATTATTTCCGGATCTATCGCAATACTATAAAAATGCCCCTGCCCCTTAGACGTCGCCAAAAAAAACCCTCCCCGAAAGTAGTTTGGTCGATGGTTTTACCTCCATGCTTTAATTCTTATAGTGGACAACAGCAGTTAGTAATAGACGATACCACGCTAAATAAAACGCGGAGTGTCGAGTTATTTTACTGTATTACCTACAAATATACTTCTAAAATGTCCCAAATCACCCAATGTTTCTAGAATGGGACCTCAATAACTATAAACCACATACAAAGGATCGTGAGTTATAGGTGCGAACTGACAAATGCAATCAAAAACAGATTCTATGGGCACTGCTTGCCCGCATTTAAAAAAGTTAACCCCGACGTATTAACGCACACGGCTGACATAATCTGCACGTAGATTCATTCGGGGGCAGGGGACGATCAAATTGGCCACCAGCGACTCACAACTTTAATACCAGTTGCCCCCATTTGGGTAGCATATTCATACTGTCTTGCCAATTTGATACTGGAATTGCACTGAAATTTGCATAATCTACGATGGCAAGGCAGTATTTATTGGCTAATGGACATTCCTCTGGTCAATGGATACTGCATGATCTGCTTGGAGATTACAATTTGCAGACACCAAAGATTACATTTGCAGTCACCTGCTTGTACTGATGATGCACCCCACATCATCCTTACTGCTCGACAGCGCCTCCATACGACCGACTGGTGCAATGCAGAATCCTCAGTTACTACGGCAGCGTGCGTGACGTTAATTTCAACATGGCGGACTGAGACAAACTTTCTTGTCAGTTCGACTCGCGTCTTCTGCCAGGTTTCTTCGGGGTACGGAAAATCTTTGGTGAGTATGCACTTCTGTGTTTCACATTGTTGTATTAGACAACCTTATGTAGTATATAGATAGTATATAACTCATGTATAAGGAGAGATTCAAGCAAAACTTGCCGGGTGGCGACTGGTTGGTAATGTTGAAGTGGAAGATCGGTTTCCACTACTGTTTCCACTCCAGTTCTCTTTACGTTCTCCAGCTCCGGACTGCATGAAAAATGGTTTAGACTGTTGATACCAGGTGTTGGTAACGGCATAAGTACCGGCTTAGTAAAACAAGAACGTTAACGGGCCCGTTACAGTATAGTGAACTTGGGAATCGATATGATAACAGACATATATAACTGTACAACAAAATACTTACCGTTCTTACCGTAACTTTCACACTACACTGATTTACGCGGGTAAAGCAGGTTGCACATGGATTTACTCAGTTACATCAAGGAGGTTAAATACAAATACTTGTATTTAACCTCCTTGGTTACATGGATACTACAAAACGAATATGTTATTCAAGGCGCAGCATTTGAAGACAACGTCAATAAAAAATAAAAATAACAACATTAATGTACATGAATAATGTACATGAATTAGGTGAAGACTAGGATACAGTAAAACACCAGAATATGTTTTTTTACGAATTTTAGTTCGCCTGTAAAATGTGTTGCCCAAGTCAGACAGAGCCAATTTAGGCCTTGATCCACGAAATGTGAAGTGTCAAAGTGATTGACTGCAACCGAGAAAACTTAGGTTCAGCTAGCATGTCAGTAAATTGGTAAAGCCCCTTAATCTTTAAAGAAAGTAAATCCTTTCCCACAACAAAATTCCAGCTCCGCCCTGGTAGTTTCTCAAGGTCCCCAGAGGCTTAAGTCCAGGTGTGTTTTGATGTTTCCTGTCTAAATCTCTCATCTCACCTGGTCTGGCAGGGCAGCAGCTATTGTATCAGGCTATTTACTAGTACTTATAAAATTGGTCAAACCTGTTATATAAAAAGTGTAATCATATTTTTCAAATGACCGGTAATGATTGAATATGACAACTTGACAGTTTGGCTGAAAAGCATTTGTCTGCATTGCTATAACGTTACATTCATGAGCCATGAGCGAGTGAAAAGCTGCACTTTGAAAGTTTGAGAGTAAAAGTACTAGAATAGAAACAAATTATAACTTGCCCTGTAGTTTCTATATAGCAACTTGCAACATGCATATGTTAGAGATACTCTGAGTCTCTACCTTATGATTTTGACATGTAACTGCAAGCTTATAGACTCTGTAACTGCAAGCTTAAGTTTACCAGAGATCCCCTTATACCCGGTTTGAGAGTTAATAATTAATATCAATACAAATGATTTATGAATTCTCAACAGTGCACTTCTCATGTTGTGCTTTGACTTAAGTTAAGCCCTTACTAATAAGCCCATCCCTGTGTTTATTTAAGGTGCCAGTTGCTATTTGCACTGCTAATACACAAGCTATTCACAGTCATTTGGCCCTGGCTTTTCCAAACACCGTAGCGTCCAGGGCTGGAAATCTCACCTACAGGTTAGTGCAGGTAAAAATTGGACCTGTGTAGGTATTTCTGATGTCTACCTGCACATACATGTAACCTGCACTAGTACTGGGCCATATATATGTACACGTATGTCACTGGGCCTTATATGTAACGTTACACGTACTAGTATGTATGTGGATTATTACTGATTTACCATCCCTTATCCAATTATCTTTTCCACATTCTATCAACTCCCTCTACATGTTGTTTTTAACCACTCTATTGTAAGTTTGTCCCCAGAGAGGACGTACTACAAGTCTTATGAATATTTGATACAGTGGGATGTTTTTGTATTGTCGTTCTACATGTCACAATGATGGGTGGTGATTGGTTAATAGCAGACATTGTTAGAGTGGACTTGACGTGATTGATGTTGGTGCAGTTTTTGTTCAGCGGTCATTGTTAGGGAGGGTAAAGTCAAACAATTTGGCATTAAGGTGGGGTAGAGAATCTGGATTGTATCAGGATTTGATCAAGGTTTTACTGGTTGTCTAAAGTGTGTTACAGGTATGTATTGTATCTGAATATTGTGGTTTATACTTTAGTATTAAGCCCTTTTTGTGTAATTTGCTGATTGTATGAAAGAAATCATGGAGATAGTTTCTGAACATTTTTAGTATGACCCATACTTCGTAGAGTGGTATGTACAGGTAAAAATTTGTAGGTGCAGGTAATTTTTTGTGTTACCTGTGCCTATACAGGTAATTTTGTTCTATAAATAGTACCATTCATCTTTGAATAACAAAAGGGTCACAGTCAAGCTTATACACAGGTTACGTACATTTGTACAATCTGAATACATGTATGTCTATATCTACAAATATCTGTGTTAATTGATTGATTGATTGTTATCAATATTTCGTAGTTATCAGATTACAATGTTTGGTATTCAAGGCATGGTACACTGTATTTACAATAGTCCCTAATTGCATGTTAAGCATGTCCATAAGTGAACTTTAACCAGGACTAGCTGGATTTGTCAATTGTTAAGTAACTGTTGCTGTTTTATCTTCAGGGGGAGGGGGCAGAAAATGTCTTTATTCCTTCAACAGCTTCTGTTTTTAATAAAAAAGATACTTATGTAAGATTCATTGTAGATTTAAGCAACTTTAAGCACCAGTTCTCTTTAATCTGTAATATGGTAGAGATCCTGGTTGGAGATTCACCGTGTAGATCTCAAGGTACTCACCAAAAAGGCAGTCAGAGCTTTTCAACTTTGATGCATGTCACTCTAATTTAAATTGACTTGGAATATAGGCCTTTTCAACAAAGACTATGATTGGGATCTGTACTGGTAGAATCCCCAATTTTACCCTGACATGTATTTACCAGTAACATGACATGATCTTGCCCCTCAGGGTTACTTGTGGTTGAAGGGTCCAGAGGTCGTCCATGGCGAGGGCTTCCCCGTCCCGTCTGCCGGCGCTCCCATCGTCCGAGGGCGGGGAGCGGGGCCTGGTTCCTCTCCGCAACCGCAGCCCGCCGACCTTCCACCGGCTGGACGTGCTCGAGGACAGGCTGCTGCACCAGGTACAGACTCCAGGGGCTGAACTGTAATAATTGGGGATGAGGGCATTAAAATGTAACGGCGTCCAATGTAGTTTCAAGGTTGCAAAACAAAAAATATTCTGTATGAGGAAATCTGTCAGATATTGACATTTACTGCCATTTCATAGCACAAGTAAAAAGGGTGTCTACTCAGGTGTTTTATTTTGTTCAGATCTGTACCTCAATATCTTTACAGATACATGTACGGGTATTAGGCACACACATGTACAGCATGTATAGCACTAGGTCAGAGCATTCTGTACTACTAAAAAGGACCTGATCACGTGTACATGTGTTTTTGCGTGTGTTTTGTTTGTATACAAATTGTTCTGGGTATTCTGCAGGAGAAGACCACCCAGTCCCTGGTAGACCGAGCCTTCCGTATTAAGGAGGACCTGATCGAGAGTCTGAGTTTCACCAAGGGAACCCTGCAGGGGGAGCAGACCGCCAGGCAGCTGCTGGAGGACCACATCAGGACCATCACCGTCGTGGTCAAGAGACTCAGCAGGGAGATAGAGGTAGGAAAACTACACTTTAATTACTGTACAGCCTGTGTCTGACAACATGTATATACATGCTTACATGTACCTAATGTTACTGACCACATCAGGACCATCACGGTTGTGGTCAAGAGACTCAGCAGGGAGATAGAGGTAGGACTAGTGATGCATACCGGTTCACTGGACTTGGATCCGGACTTGTAAGAATGTTTAGGTTCAAGTCCAAAAAAACCTAAAAGTCAAGAACCGAGTCCGGACTTATTACCATTAAAGACCATTTCACATACCCATTTTCTTTCCAAACCACCTAAAACCTTCCGTAGATTGCAAAATCTTTGCTGCAAAATGAAGAAAACATTGCCATCGGGCATCGCCAAGTACCGGCCTCCATGTTGTGTGGCCAAAGTTTCACCCAGACAACATTGCAAGGTTGCCAACATGCAATTTTGTATATGCCATGGGTTTAGGTCCGGACTTACAAGTCCGGAACTGAACCTAAACCTCTGGACTTGAATCCGGACTTGAACCTGAAATTGGGTTTAGGTATGCATCACTAGGTAGGACAATCACCACACATGCTTACTTACGTATAGCCTGTCACTTACTACATGTATGAGCTAGTCACATGTGCTTAGCTTATCTTATTGACCACATCAGAACCATCAACCATCACCCCAAAACGTTCTGTAGAAGTGCTACCGGTATGTACATTACGCTACAGATTTTGCACAGGCACATTAACTTTTGTACATTCTGCCGACATGCTGCCCAGACCTGATGTGTTATGACTTGTTAGGATTTAACTGGTTGTACAGCTCACTTTCGGATGTTTAGTGTTATTATAGTCCCGTAACCTAGAGGCTTGTCTGCACATCAGGTGTTGGAGGACCAGATAAAGGCAAAGGAGTCGGAGATCCAAGGAACCAACATCACCGCCAAGAACCTGGAGTTCCAACATGTGGCCGGGGTCGGAGACCTCAGGGGCAGGGTCGCCAGGTCAGTGGCTTGGCTTCTCTTGATTGATATATCTAAAAAGAATCTAAAAAAAATATATCCTGCAGGGCTGGAAAAACCACCTGCATATGCAGGTTACGCACAGGTGTTTTTCTGATCTACTTCCACCTGTCCACACCGGCCTTTGTACTGGACAGATCTTTGTAAAGTAGCTTAAGTCTAAAGAAACTAGCTGTTCTCTCACCAATTGATAATAAAAAGGCTAGACACAGGTGGTTTGAATGTACCAATTAGGAACCATAGCTTATAATGTCCTCTGCAACCCTACCATGTAGTATCCCAGTTAGTTGAGCTACATGTATTGCATATCGAGTTTCCAACTTTCTGCTTTACAAGCAAAGTCGTATATCTTGAGACAACTGTCACCCATTCTACCATGTCATGTAAGTTTCATTTAATGATCGCAGTGTTGAATATGAGTAAGGCTTGCATTTGACTTTGTTTTGTTGTCTGTTCAGATGTGATGCGTCCATCGCCCGTCTGGCGGCAGACCTGCGTACGGTGTCGGAGTCTCTCCAGGCTGTGCACAGAGAACAGACCAACAGTACCGCCATCCTCAAGAACAAACTGGACAGGCTGGAGCAGTCGGTGAGTACAATATCTCTGTCTCTTACTCACTGTCTGTTTCATGTCAGAGCAGGATTCAGCCCTGTAGAGCCGGAGGTCCCATACTTGAGGGGAGTCACACCTCCAGCACATTAATGATCCTACCGCACTTATCAAAAAGCTAGTTAGCAGCTAGTTAAATGAACCTACATGTACATGTATAGCCCTGCTGGACTCATAACCCTGCATATGTATCATTATAAAGTGTGTTCTTTCCTGCTGGTACTTCTAGACCAGTGAGTTGAACAGCAACCTTGGTAAGACGACGACAGAGCAGAGCTCCAAGCTGAAGGAAGTAGAAGGACAGAACAGCAGCCAGCTGGCCCTGCTGGACTCCAAAACCCGCGGGCTGGTCGAGGACATCCGCGCCTCTATCGCCTCAAACCATCGGTACGCGGAGGGGGAGAGGGAGAGGCTGGAGCAGCACCTGCTCAACAGGATTGAACTGTCCCACCACACAAGGGATGTCAGACAGGTCAGTTACAAGCATTTACAAGTAGTAACTGAGTACTGATAGTGACAGGACTTACAATTATGTGAAATTAATCTACACGAGTTCTAAAATTTCTTTGAAGTCTCTTACCTGACACGTATAATTGTCAGGATAGACTCCAAACTGATAGAATCGGCAAGTTTCTTGTCACAAATTTTTGTAGATGCCAATACAGTAGGGGCCTCTTTATTACTCAGTTCTACAGATCCTTTGTATTATTATGCGGGGTTTTGATTTGACATTCCACATGATATAACCAGCCACTGCCGGGTGACTGAAAAGCTGGCAAGCGACACACACAAAAAAAAGACAGCTCCAGCTCAACTCCAAAATCAATCCTTTAATTTCCCAGGCGCAGTTTGAGAAGAGAGTGGAGGACAAGATCGACAAGCTGGCCACGCGGCTGAAGAAGCTGGAGGAGGAAGTCCTGCGCCAGGCGGAGCGCGCCAAGGCCGACACCTTCGCCCAGACCACCAGGACGCGCATGGAACGTCTGGAGAGGCTGCAGAGGGAGGAGGTGGAGAAGCTGCGGGCCGAGCTTCACCATGGGTTCAAGGACGTGCACCACAGCATGAACTCCATGAGGTCAGTGATGGATGGAAAGAGAGAACTGCTGAAGGAGGAGCTGCAGAAGGAACTGACCCAGGTTAGGAAGATGGTGGTGCTCATCTAGGAAGAGAACAAGTAATCTTGTGCTTATCTCAAATCAGCAGGGGACAAGCAGAACCGGGCAGAATTGCCAAAGTTCAAGAAAGCCTATTAATTATATCTCCTTCACACTAAATGTTGAGTGAGCTGGAATGCCATTGGCATGAAAATGTCTTTAGAATACCCACTGTTACATACAATTGTCATGTACATATGTATACAGGTTCATATTCTTCCTGATTGTATGAATGTTCGTTCTTCCATGCATCAAATTTGAATTCTTAAGAGACAGCAGAGGCAGAAAAGTTTGTGGTGAAAGTACCAATGTTTGGTAAAGCAGTTTCTGTAGCAAGATTTGTACCTGCATGTCTGTCAAGTACATGATATTTTAAGTCAATGAAAATATCTATGTAACTATTATGTAATTTTCATTCTAAGAAAGAACATGAAGAGAATTAAGATACACATTTTGTACTTGGAACATTATATTAATACCAGAATGTAATTTTATCAAAATCTTTAATGAATACTTGTTGACAATAATATGAGCCTTCATTGTACTTCCCGTTAATGTTGTGAATCCATGTGTTAAATCTATGCAAACATGTAAGGATGGATGTATATAGTAGAGATGTAGGTATATATTATTAACAAGAGTTAAGAGCATGTTGTACATGTTACATGTACATACTTCTTTTTGTTAAATAGAAGTTTGTGGTTGTTTTTCAATCTCCATGTACATTCCTGTTGATTCTATTTTTGATAATTCTTTAGATTGTTCTTATAAGTCCAAGCTTGATGGCTAAAATAGTGTTTTACTTTATGTACATGGTAGGTCTTTTATACACTGTAATGGCAAGACATAAACAAAAAAATTATGTATTCTATGCAACAGACCTATTTCTATGCTCACTACCTCAGTGAACCTGCATTTCTGCTTCGTTATGCTGTAAAGTTTTTCTTACGTAAATACAATTCTATTGAAAATAAACAAACACTTTTAGTACTACTTTAAACATGTGCATTTATTTCTGGATTACATCTGAGTTCTGGATGACTACATAGTACACTTCCTATTGTACACATTGTTCGTTCTGTAGAAACCTCTCAATACTGACAGTAGCTACTTGCTAGCAACACATTTTCTGTCAACACTGCCACAAAAACATTACAACAACCATCAATATTCAAACATCCCTTCGATATATACACTCACTTTCAGCAATGAAGCATTCAAAGACCATTTAGCACAGTGATACATTTGTAGATGCCTGTATTGGCTAATATGTACAGTAGAACATTCAATTCAAGCACATCTAAATATAAACATTTTAGCAAGCTTGCTCCTTGTGCTATGTCATAAGGATGCTTGCAATTAAATGCAAGTACATTTAAAAATACACAATGTCATACATATACACATACTCTAACTGGAAGAGTGCTTGCCAGGCTAAAATACTACATATATCTAATGATATAGTATGTACAATGAGAAAATTGATAGTATTTGCAGTCTGTTTGCTTAACACAACTTTTACACATTGTTTCAAGTTACCGTAGAGTCAGTGATATACCCTACTTATACAATCCCTCTCCCTACTGTCCAGTGGACAGACACTTCTACTAGTTTTGTACCAAAACTCTTTATCACAACTCAAGTGATTCTATATGTTGTATACTGTATGCATCGCCATCGGTTAGCAATGGTCAATAAGGTACTTTTCATATTCACATCCAATCAAAGCCTTGGTACAGTCGAAGACCTGCTATATCTAGACAATTGTACAAATATATCATGTGTACATACATGTATATGTATGGCAGTAATCATCATCATCATCGGTCGACCGTATTGGTCGGGGTTATACCGCCCCTTACGAGGTGGCATACCCTTTCGTTAGCTTAATACAAGACGGGGTTCATGTATTGTATTGTATTGACAATATACAGAACAAGTATTACACAAAGACACTGTAGAAGAGGTCTGGGATATGTAGAAGACCTGATTTCCTTACTAACATATATACAATTCCTGCATACAAAAAATAATACCTTCACAAGCTGTTCACATGCTCCTGGGCACATTTACATGTATGTACTATTAGAAATGTGTTGGGGACCCTATTTCCAATAATTTCCAATATTTACACCTACATTTCATGTTTGTCACATGAAATAAAAATTATTAGATGACCTTAACATGTAACATTGAATTAATTTTATTCAGACATTAGGAATTCTTTCTGAACAAAACATCTGCTGAAAACACTATGATCATACCCTTCACTGTACTAGTAATAACAATGGTCCTTTTGTTCAAAAGAGCGATTTTGAGGCAGTAAAACTTGATTTTCAAAGTCAATTTTCAGGTTACTAGAGGATTCTTTCAACAGTGAGTGACAAGGTAAGGATACTGACCTCCAAATGTTCGATGACTATCAGTCCATTTTGTTCACGGAGTGGCCCCCTCTCGCGAGACTAGGCCACTCTGTGAACAAGATGGACTGATAGTCATTGAAAATTTGGAGGTTAGTATCCTTACCATTCAAAGTTGTCACTGTTGAAAGAATCCTCTAGTAACTATATGTGACAAATGAATCTCTTCAACAATTTTCAGGTTATTTTTTTACGTAGACTAAAAGAAAGTTGAATCAATCCCATAGCATACTGATATCTGTGAGCAGACTGTGAGGCAAAAATGTGATGTTGCTGACAGAAAAGGTTGTTTTGTACTGTAGGCTGGTTCTAGCTATTTATTGGTGGTAACAAAAAATAATGGGGCTCCTCATGTAGCTTGTTTCTGGGCTGTTTCAAATGCAAAAAGATGACAAAATGTGCTAAGAAAAGGCAAAATGTCATTATCATAAAGATTTTCTAATTCAGAATATGTTTTGTTTTGCTACCCTGAAAACGCATTGGCTTTGTTATGCATTGTCCCTTTGTCATACTTAGAACTGTGTATATGTACACAGCGATTTGATTGACTCCCCTGGCCAATTATTGATTCTATTTTTGCCAAATCTTACTGTCCATAACCCCCAAGGAAGATGGAAGCCAGGGAAGAGGCTTGATTAGCCCAACAGTGAGAGATTGTGTGTAACACAGGCTAGGCACTGCCCTGTACACCATACGATGTGTCAAATATTTTCCCTACTGTGTCTTACAATAGTCCCTGAGCTTCCCCACCCAGGCTGCCAGGGAGTCGTCCACACGCAGCAGGAGCAGGTAGGACAGGAGCATCGTGATGCAGACCACCATGAAGGACACGCCCTCAAACACGTACCGCGGAGCAAAGATGTTCCACACCATCAGGTGGTTACGCAGGTACCCGGCCGTCACCATGGTGCCTCCCAGCTGGAGCAGAAATGCACTTAAATTTCAGTCAATTTCAAACTAATATGTACATAAGCACTCATCATATCGATCTAAGGCAAGCTTGATTCAAAGTTCATGTACATTGGTAAGAGTCATTCTGCAATTCCAATGTTGAAATTGATGTTACAATTTCTTGTTTGGGGACACTAAATTTTCCAAACTTCTGGCACATTTTCCGTTGAAATATTTGTTTTCTCAAGTAGGTATGACATAAATAAAATTCAACAGGTCAGTCTGGTACCTCAGGTGATCCAGAATATACATGTACATTGTATTTTTTAAGTACATTTTGGTTGTTATACTTATTCGGTTGTATTATGATCTTATTCTGGACTCCAGGGAAAACAGTGATATCATGGAGATCAAAATACTGTATACCAAACCAAATCAAACCTTGATGAGGTTGAATAAGAGGTACATGCTGTAGAGTCGGAGGCTGTTGAGGCGGTACTCCACCGGGTGCTCGTGCAGAACAAACTCTCCCTTCTGCAGCTCATCCAGAACCTCCTGGTTACCATGGTGACTGGCTGCCAGCTTCTTGTCCATCCACTTCCCTCGGCAGAACGGCCAGACCAGCAGCAGGGGCAGCGACACTGGGACGGGTAAAAAATCAAGGACAATGGAAGAAAAAAGACCTCGAGTGATGGGATGTTATCTGGCTGACTGGCCAGTAATGTGTGAAAATTTGGCTGATGGTGCAATCATGAGAGGAAGTTACTTCATACAAATTCGTATGAGTAGTAATCCATTGTGTGACATAATTTAATCCGGTGTGTCCCTCTAATCATAGTTTGTACAGAAATTCCAAACCATTCTAGACAATCCCGAAGGCTAAAATCTTTATTGAAAAGTGTGGTCCTTCTTAAACATGGGACCAAGTTCCTTTGTCTTTGAATATACAGTCTGAGGCAGAATTGCTAACCGCTAGACCACATCACATCGTACTCACCTGTAAACAGCACCTGAGAGGCAAACGTGTTCAAGCCAATCAGCACGGCCGGGACAAGGTTGTTGTCGAAGTCTCCATAGAACCCTGTGAATGCTGACTCAAAGCGGATGGTCGGTATGGCTGCCTGGTGGCCGGTGTAGAAGAAGTACTGACTGGTCATCAGTCCCCACCCAACCACTACTGGCCAGGGCACCTGGGATAGCACTGCAACAGTAAAAGTGGTATTTTGTCATTGAGAACCAAAGGTTTTGATATTTTGCTCTACTTTTTTGTTTGTTCATGAAAAGGACAGGTTTAACAATGCAACAGTAGTGTCTGCTTTGCTGTTATTTTACCTCAGTTCAAAATTAAAAGAGTTGTAGCTTCCATTGGCATTGGTTTACAGTTATATACCAAGTACAATCATATACATAGTTTCAAACACTTTAAACACAATTAGGTTCTACCATCATTCTTACCTGTAGATACAGATTAAGCTTACAAGTCTGCTTACACTTACAGAAGATACAGGATTAAGCTTATAAGCAGCAGGAGATATGGCTAGGGACAGTGCTACATGTACTTGGAGTTACATTACAGAGAGGAGCAAGGGGCCAGTTTCTGGCCTGAGCACTTATGCAGTAGGTACATGTAGACAACAGGCATACATGTACATGTATCTTACCTGTTGTTGAGCCTGGTTGGCTGAGGCCTTCCTTCCTAGCCTGGGTTCTCTTAACAGCAGCGTGGAACTCCAGGTACAGCCCCATCTGCACCAGTAACAGCAGCACAGCTGGGGCCAGCCCGTCACCTAACAACAGGGCCAGCAGCTGGCTGCACGTCACTGTGGTGACCAGGGACGCAGCCGAGTACACAGTGGCGAGTCCGTACACCGCAGGGATGCGTTTCGTGGCATCGCCCCCATCCCACTCCTCCTTTGCCGGGTTCCCGTTTCTCGGCGGGAGGGTTGTTCCCCGGCCCTTGACCTGGTTGTAGAGTTTGGAGAGGTGCCTGCTGTCTCGGCCTCCGTTCTGGAGCGTTCTGTCGGGCCCGTAGTAGTTCCTGTCGATCTGCAGGAGGAGACAGAGCGGCTTCCAGATGAGGGAGACAAAGGAGCTGAAGATGATGACGTACACGACTCGGGGGAGGATGACCTGCTCCCAGGCGGGGAGGTTGTCCAACACACGCTGCGGCAGTGCCTGCATGGCCCAGTACAGCGACGTGCACACTGCCGCCACCGGTAGGGCGTACTTCACGTTCAGTACCGTCGGCGTCACGCTGTCCATGTTTCCGCTCTTGCTCATGAACAGGCGCAGGCTCACGGGAATGAGCGCCATGCACGCGGCCGCAAAGAAGTAGCGAGCATTTTTGTGCCCCCCTTCAATAGTCGACAGTGACTTCAGGAAGTGCGGGGTCTCACACCACCACTGCTCTTCCCGACAGGCACGGAAGAACATGGACAACCTGACGCAGACGCTAAACACCACCACAACAAACAGCAGCAGGAGACTCGGTCTCGTGATGTATCTTCCAATGTCGAAACTCTTCTCCACCCGAGCCCTCTTCTGGGTCTGCTCCTTACTGGGCACACTTTGCCTGTTGAAGTTTGCAGCCACGAGTAGACTCCACACCAGAGACTGCAGGAGAAATGCTGTGATGGTGTCCTCATTGATCAGGAAACTGTTAGCTCCCAGGCCACAGGCGTTCCACCCGACCAGCGAAGTGGCCACTATCCAGTCAATGGGCTGTTTTCTCAGCGTTCTCCACAGCTCTAGGACCTTTGATGTTTGTTTTGAGGACTTGTTGGACCATGCTGGGGACATGTAGCCAATGAAGCTGCCCAGGCACGGTAACATGAAAGGGGCCAGCGACGACGTTGTTATTGTACCGGTGAGGCAAATCTCTGAGACTATGCCAAAGATGAAGCCTAGCCCCACACCAACAGCTATGCCTGACAGCTGGGCTTCCAGATTACCGGTATATACAACTCTCCTGTCGTGTGACTGCATAGTTATACAAACACTTGCTATACAGGCTATGCACAAAACAGAAAAACCACATACCATTGAAACCATGTCAAATTTGGCCCACACCTTACGACACATTTCTTTCACTTCTGATATGTACTTGATGTATCCTTCCTTTGCTCTCTTCAGAGCTGCTAGAGCATCGTCTATGGATGCTTCTCCATTTATCGCTGTTTGATATGCGTTGTCAATTTCTGTGAGCTGTTTTTGTAATTTACTGACCACATCCTTGGGTAGGTCTTCGCCCAATCTTGCATATACCTCCAGATACTTTTTGATCTGGAATGCGTTTATTCTCAAGGCTTCAACTCCTGTGATGTTTTGTGCCCAGTCTGTGTTTGTTTGGTTTTTGGTAGTAGAGAAGGCGAGGAAGAGTTGAGGGATGACCATGCCCAGGTTGGAGAAGGGGATGGGAAGACCCAGGAGGAGAGACAAAGTTGGCACAAAGTCGATCTGCGACACAGCTTGGTCCTCCTGGAGACAAAGGAAAACATCTTCCATCAAAGTGTATGGTGAATTATTAATGGAAACAATACATTGCCTGCCTACTATGGGTTATTGGTGCAGATAGAATTGGAACTGCACAAGTATCTCTGATGTCTACCTATGCTGCACCAAACTCTACCTGCACCTAATCTGTACCAGATCAAGTACATGTAATATATTGCTAGTTACAGGAGTTAACGGCAACAATGTAGATATAGCATACAATGCATACCTGTTGGTGTAACGCCCCCTGGAGAAGTTTGGCGGGACTGTACATGAAGAGAGCTGCTCCCACCTCGTCTGTGCTGTCTCCACCGTGATCTCCAGTCCTGGTCATGCCGTGGTCCCCCATCACAAACAGCACTGTGTCCTCTGTCAGCTTGGACACTACAGACCTGAACAGGGCAAGCAGTGTTGTTTATACATTAGTTAATCTAACCAGTACAATAACGATCTGATACTAGCGATAGTGAGAAAATGTTATAAAACTGACTGTAAAAACAAAAATTGTACCTGTACACATGGCTGCAGAAATTCTGATACATGTGAATAGAAATAAAAACTACAGTCAAACCTGTCCAAGCCGGCCACCCAGGGGACCAAATAGAAAAGTGGTCCTTGGACAGGTGGTCTCCTTGAGGAGGGTCGCCTCACAACGTGAATGAGACATAAATTGGTTTCCAAGTCGAGATGTTTTAAGGTCAAATGTTGTAAGCATCTTCAGTTCTGTGGTGAATGCATGTGGGGAGGGTGACACATGGAACAAATGTTTACGTCAAACAAAAACATAATTCAGCAGTCGAGACAAACTGGCTGGTTTCTCCATGATTTCTCTTTAGTAATCATCAATAATCAACATCATCAAAAATGATATGGTCACCATCGGCAGGTATTGGGCCCTGAATGGACCTAACTCAGGACGGTCATCACGTTGGCCAGGTGGTCACCGTGGACAGGTTGCTTTATGCTTGCATCATTGGGGAAAATTTGGGGGACCGAGAAAAGCGGTCACCATGGCCAGGTGGCCACCTTGACAGGTTTGACTGTACTTGCAGGATTAATCATGTTGCCTGACAGACATTAGCCTTCTTGCCCCAGGGTTCTGAGGGGTCCCATGTCTAAAGGTGTGAATGCGTGGACAGACAGATTTGGAAAAGGATAACTCAAAAGACAAAACCAAGGAGGTTATATCAATTGCAACAGTGGTTTCTCCCAGACCTGATGACCCCATCCATCTGTGTAAGTTTCTCCCCCATGGCGGGATGGTAGGGTCCGAACCTGTGACCCACATGGTCCACCCCCAGGAAGTGACCTATCAGAACATCCCATTCCCCCTCCTCCTTCTCCATCTCCGGTACCAGGTGTTCCATGACGCCGTTGTCCACTGTGTGAAGGTCTTTAACGTTGAAGGAGGGGAAGGGATACACCTGTACAAGATAGACAAAACCATTGACAAATTTGAACACACATGAACAAATTGCACCCCATAAACAAATGGGAAGAAAAAGAGACTGATCATACTCCTAGTTTCATTTCCAGCAACACAGAATCAACATGTCTTTCTTTTTTAATAATTCTGTCCTTTTCTACACACATATTTCAAAGCAGAGCTAAGCTAAAGCACCATCAAAAAAAGTAATCTTCATCTATTTTCGTCTTTTCAAAAACCAGTGTATCTAGAGGTCAGTTAAACCAATGAGGTTAAAAGGCATCTATTATAGAAAACGTAAGGATTTAGCCTTCAGTTCCAAATATCACATAGAAGTAAAAGTCTAAGCAAAGCCGAAAGACGCTGTTAAACTAAAATTGTAGTAAAAAGACAGGAATACCTTGTGAAAGTGTTTGGGGTACAGGCCTGTCCAGGTATCGTCGCCCATGAAGATGACTTTCCTGTCTCCTCCGGCCAGCTGGTGGATGACGTTGTCCTCCGTCACCTCGGAGCTGGCGAAGTTGCTGCTGACGTCGATGAAGGTGGGGAGGCTGCCGGTGGTCAGGCCCTTCAACCGCTGCATGGTGGTGGTGGGAGGGTCGGCCAGGAACTTGAAGAGCGCGGCGCTCTCCGGGCGAGACGTCAGGAGCTCGTGCAGGACGGGTAACTTGTTCTGAAAAGGCAGGGCGACTCCGGGCGCCAGAGAGGTGTTATACGTCGCGAAGTCGTACCTCAGCGCGTCGACGATTAGGATGATGGCTTTTTTGAAGTGGCGGTTCGCCCAGCAGCCCTTCTTTTGCGTTTCTCCCTCTTCTTCGCCCGCCCCTCCCCCTTCGATGGGCGACTCCTCGCACGAGCTCTTCACGGGGACTTCCAGGCGGTTTAGGAGAAAACCCTTGGTGAACAGGGTGATCCCTACGACAGAAAGGGCCACCGTCCATAACAGTAATCCGAACGTTTTCAATCCGAGACCCATCTTGTCTTTAGAACCGTCAAAAAATCGTCCATGATTCTGAATCAGCTCTGGCGAGAAAAATTGTTACGGGCGCAGCCATCTTGGTTGTGAGACTAAAGGCATTATGGGAAAGGAAGGGTCCATTCACCACCACAGGGGCGGTGAATTATGATCTCAAATTTTACATGTTTATTTGCCATGTCGAAAGAACACACAATTTCGTGAGATCATTACATTTCTAGATATGGTGACTAGGAACAGCAAATATCATAACATGAAAACTATATCTGTAACTACGGTACAAAATACCACGTCTACTGTGGCCATGCATGTTACAATGTCCAGAGAGTGGTCCAGAGGTTAAATATCTGCACCACGTAAGAAGCCGGCGTATGATTCTATGAATGAGCGGGATGACAAAAAAATAAACTTTTCACCTTCCATATTTAGGTAACACTACACAGAGTCACCCCAGACTTTGGAAAGCCATTGGCCAATAGCCACAGTGTCACGTTATCGATATCGATTAGGCCATTAGGCTGACATTTGTTAACGTTAGTTATTGGACGATATTAGCACCAAATATGCTACTTCTCAGTCAGGAGTACTTAATAGTAATGTTGATGCATACAGCGTGCTAGTATATAATATAATTGTCACTTTATACAAGATTAAGTTACTGCATGTATACGATCTACGACACATTTCACGACAACAATTGATTTGTTTTATAATGATCCTCTTCATCAGCACTACTATTAAAAAGTGACTTTTGCGTCCAAATGAATCTGTGCTCATCTGCATTGTATAATCTAAACGGTCAGCTTGTTACAGTCTGCATACAAATTGCTCGCTCTCACGTCATCGAAACCTTCTTTTTTACGTTTGCCGCCATGCGGCGGCAAACGTAAACATACGAAAACAATGCTTCCATCAACCCTTCGTTGGGTGAACATTTTCGTTTGGGTGTTGCATTCAATGTTTATCTATTATGTTCGCACTTTTTATTGTGGGATGGACCTACCAGATCACATAAACGCAATTCTTATATGACAAAGTTATCAAAAATTAGACTTGAATTGTCTAAAAAATAATTAATCTGTACTACTGTATGCCCAAAGTGATTCTCAGAAGATTATAAAAATTGACATAATGGCCTTGATGAATGAATCGCATAAATTATGTTAATGTAGATGACAAGTAAAACATTTGCGCTCGCGCAACGTCTGTAATTAGTGGACAAATATTCCAACAACGATGTTTTAATTGTGGTCCACTACATTGTTGCTAAGTTTCCACACTAAAGAAACTTTTAAAGTACCCTTTTGCCGAAATATACGCCCTTGGCTGTGAAGAGAGAGAGTATCCGGCCCACCGCCATATTTACTAACCGGAAGATGTACTATTTCACTACATCGCTAGATGTCGCTGTTCATGTTGCTCTTGGAAGCCCCCGGATGTACTAGAGGGCATGTATGGGGGTGATAGTGATTACGGATTACGCAAAATTTTCGCCACCGATTACGAATTAAGTAAAATTCTCAGAGCTATTAAAACTTTATGCATTAAGGCTAATATAATATTACGAATTTCATTGATTTGGAGGGCGACTGCCAACGGATTACGTAGACTTAAATGGTCCGATTACGCCTCAGGAAAGAGGGCATGCAGGCTCCTACAACGAGCATTCCAGCTCTCAGGTACGTACCGTGCCTCAGTATTTACGCCATATAAATTAAAAAAAATATCAGCAATGTTATGAGTATTAGTCATAGAGTTACAGGAAAATAGTATAGCTAAAAGTACCATGGGCAAGGGTGATCAATCTAATTGTGCTTTGACGCGCTGTTTAACAATATTTAGTAGTCAAACTGACTGCCCCCCTCCTCTTTGGATTTACAAATGCGTCTAACAATCTCTTTTCGGTATGATCAAATTATGCAAGGCTAAGTTTCTTGCTTTAATATTAAAATTAATTACCGGCAGATGCTTGCCAATCTTAAAGTTTGTTCTCTGGAGTGTTTCTACCGTATCGCCTTAATATTTTGTATTGTTGCATAAATTATTATTTTCTTTCTTACAAATTTTCGCTGTCAGTGGGGGGGGCGGGTTCAGGCTTTTCTATTCGTCGCCAGTATTTTGTTGCAAAAACTTTGAGCTTTCAAGCTATTCGGTTCACACGTAAATCTTTCCTGGTATCAAACATATCTCAATTTCATCAAGAAATTTGAGTGTACTCAGAAACCTAAGAATTGTTCATCAATATGGCAACATATAGAAGCTCTCTCAGTAGTATATGGGTAATTTTGAAGACTTTGATGTGTTCTTTTAGCAACGAGAACTCAATATTTATGTGCACAGTTGCAAATTTTATGTTGAAACAAATTATTTGTCATCTCTTTCAGATGTGTCTTTGGCATTTGGATACCACAAAGCAATCAACCTATGCCACCATTCACTCAATACCAGCCTGTGTCACCGTGCACTCAATACCAGCCTGTGCCACCGTGCACTCAATACTAATGTGCCATTGTGCAGAACTTGCAGATTGTATACTGGATGAGTCCATGTCTCACGAGTGAATTATTAAAACCAGAAACTGTATCTTGCCCTGAAACCAAATATTCAATAAACAATCTGAACACATACATTTAGAATCTGTGTATACTTGTGTCACATTTCTTACATATAAGCCATTAATTGCCTTTGCCCACAATGTGTGAAGCTATACTATCAGGAAAAAAAAAGGTAACAACATTTTCAGTGAAACTAGCAGAGGTGGCATGTGATTTTCTTGTGCAAAAGTACAATGGCGGCAAACGTCAGCTTTTGTAAAAGCACTTGTTTTTAGTGTCCCGGATTACGAAACTGGGATTCCCACAGAAAAGTCCCCGTTTCGGATGAAATGCTTCCCGTTTTATTTTGTATTTGACTTCTCGGAACTAACGGGCAGAGATTTTGACGCCGACTCTTCTTGGGCCGATTAAGAAACAATTCACAGTGTACCCAATTTGGTCCACCTTACGTAACGTTCCACTACATGATCGCCCATCCGTCATTGAAAATAGAAATTGTTGCCTGAGCAGTGCACGCCCGCGCACGCCCTGGCAAACCAGAAGGTAAGGTGTCAATTATTATCAACTATCGTTTCCAAGATGGTGTGAATATAACGTTTCTTACGCGGGAACGTTTTGATTTTGTTTTTCTTACATCCACGGTCCATTTTTTTTACCTTGGTCATGACCGTATAGAATGCGTATTGCGAAAGTGAAAGCAGACTCAATGCACTTCTCCTTTCACATTCTGAGTCACGACGTCATCATGATTGTGAACCTTTTTTACAGCCTTGCGCTATGAGCGAAGAAGAGACTACTAGTATCCTCTACAGAAGAGGCGATGAGTCACCGTAAGTATAGACATTCAATGTGAGAATTTCACAACTGCATGAAAACTAATAAGGGTCATGAATTATAATTTAGAATGCATTCTATGTATGTATGGCCTATGTACGTAAGAATGAATTATCCACTAGAGCTTTAAAGTAGATGGCTATTTTCCTTAGATGCATTTATGTGCTAAAACAGCCTTCAAGTACGAAGAGATCAAACTTTGTAACACTAAGGCGCTTGCAACCACGTACATAATTACGTCATTACGCCAAAATAATTAAGCATGACTTCTACATTCACGGTACTTACCTGGTCAAAATGCAGTGCAGGCTTTATATGCCAGCGATTTTTTTATGGAACCCAGCTGTGTATAAATGCCACGAAAGAAGTGTTATAAAATTTTGCAATGGGCTACCGTATGTGCTAAAGTCTTACGTTTCGTGTTAGTCTCTCATTTGCCTCCATGTTTGGTTGTTTTTAATCCAGATCACATGGCTTTGACTTTCAAGAAGAACTTGGATCATCGAGGTCGGAGACACCGGTGGGGTCGGTGTTCTCATAGCCGGTGTGTACACAATGTCTTGCTGGCTGGGGTTAACTGATGACCCCCAACTGTCGAACAGCCGTCCGCTACGAGCGCGATCCCGTCAGTCAAGTTTTCTCAAGACCACCGTAAAGGGGGTAACGTCGGCTTGTAAGAAACTCTGGATAGCATTTTGGCCTTTTATTGGCGTCTGGTGGTTAGCGTTCTCCTCTGTAGTTCAGATTAATTGTCTGTGGGAAGAAAGTGGTAAAGACAATATTAATGCTACATGGTCAGAAGAAGAGTATAATGAACCCCCCCAACACACTACTGGGTTGGAAACTACAGACCCCATGGTCAGTTGGAGATGGTCTCATTGCCACCAGCCCCACAAGGTGCAGAAAGCTCTAGCTTATGCTCTCATCATCGGCCTGTACAAACTTGCGCCAGGCATACTGATCATTCGCTGGTGCTATCAAATCAACTTGCGAGATTTGCTTAAAGGCAAAATCAATCAGGACGTAGTTTACGACAAACGATATCTACTTGCATTGTACGTCATTCTATGGGCTAGTTCCATCCTGATCAACTTCAGCATCAAGTGCGCATCGTGTGAGCAGTTTTTTACCTTACGATGGACGATCAGCTATTTCTCTCACCATCAGTACGTCGTGCCACATGCCATCTGTGCTTTCGTTTCCCTGCCATTCTACGCAATAATCTATTTTCCTTCGTTCTTTTGCTGTTGGCACGTAATCGATTTGACGAATGCTTTAGTCTCCTTGGCCGCAGACACCAAGAATCTAGCTGACTCTGTAGCAATAAACAACGATGACGAACCTGACCGCATTCTCAGTAAAGTATTTGACAGAATCAAAGAACAAAGCTGGTCCCGCCATGCTGGCATTGGAAAAGAGGTTGAATTTTTCACCAAGCTCACGATGTTTGTAGGGGCGATTGTCGGCTTCGCGTTTTCGAATATTTATGTTTCGTCAAAACTCTCCAATTTCATGGAGTGGGCGCATCATGTAAGTCAGCTGCTGTATCTTGCAGTCGCCTGTATGACTCCGTTCTTTTACGTCGCTTCAGGAGTTAAGAAGTTACACGAAGCTCATGAAATCTTCGTTTGCCAAGCTAGAAGGGCACAAGTGGAAAAATTGTGTAAGAGTAGTACAAATGCCGCAGTCCCATTGGAGTGGGAAAAATGGAGCGTGATCATTGACACCATGCGTGAAAGGGTGGTCAGTATTGTGAACACAGAAAAAGAGCAATGTTGGACGGCGTTTGCAACAATGGGTGCGATTTTGTGGCATCTTCTTGGCCATTTGAACAAGTTTGATGACGCCCCAAAGGGAATTATCGAGACTGAACGATTTGCTCTGACGTACATGATTTCCTTCACGCTCATTCTTGTGATCCTGACCGTACTTGCAGTAATTTTTGGCTTTGACATGGTCCCACAGTTTGTGAAGGCCGGTAACAGGCAAGGGCATCTCAGAGTTATTCTGTGTTCCTTCCCGGTAGGCGGCGTCGCTCTTGCGGTCGTGTATTTGCCATGGCATTACTTGAAATACATTACCTGTAAGTTGTAAAGATATACCCTTTTATATACTTATCTACATACATTGGTGCATCGATCTAATCAAATTTAGTCATTGATTGGGAAACAACTTTTGAAGTTTGTATATAGAACGCAGATGTCCGTTATATTACTTACTTATCATCAATTGTATTGACACTAAATCTATGATCATCTTAGCCCTCAAATAATGCTCAAAGGTCACTTGTAAAACCGCATATATTGAAGTAATTATGATGCACGTATTGCTGAGGTCCGTACGGACCCCAGTCGGACTTAGCACAGACTTCCTTTTCAATATGCATAGACTTTAATCGTGTAATTGTCTTCGAATGTGTCTTAATATTGTCTTAATATCGCCTAATGTTGTTTCATGTGCACAATGAAGAGTGTCATTGTTTTTAATGCTCTATATACTGTAATAAGGACGAAATTCGGGTATTCGCCCTTGAGAGCCTTACTGAATAAAAATTTGATTTGATTTGATTTCAATATTTAGAAACGACAGTTTATATTTAAATGGGTCTACTCGCAGGTAACAACACTTTGCCTTGAAAAGATAAGAAATAACTTTGCATTGAAAATGCATATTTTGTATCCAATAACAACACAAGATTGTCATTGTTCAGCTGACTATGTTACACTGGTATTTTGCTGGATATGGTTGTTTGCACAAAATATTTATCCATTATTTTGTTATTCACAAGAATTGATCATTTGATGACAATATGGGCTTTGCAGTTGGAAAGTGTAAAATAATAAACGTCTTTCCGTTCAGACTACACGTTCTTGGAATACCTTAGTACACATCAATCTGCTTGATCTAAGTTGAATTACTGTGATTTTACGTTTATTGGTAATATGTTAGTTCAGTATTGTAGAAGTTTGATGCATCATTTCTGGTACCTATAAAGGCAACTCCATGTCTCAATGCACATGTGTTTTATAAATATATCATAAGATATTTTGGTGGTAAGACATCATTCACAGATGTAGTAATACAAGGTGCATTGACAAAACCTCATTTAATATTGTTGTCATCCTGCTGACCTTCAAACCATGATGATACCCTACAGCGTACGTGGTAAACCTACACTGTACTGTGGTCTGTGCACATTACTCGCTCTGACTGTGGACGTCATCAACGAACTGCGACCTTTGATCATTGGTACACCTCGTCACGAAACTGGGCTTCCCCTGCATCATAACAACGCAGAAAATTTCCCGTCAATCAGTACATATTAGCCTTTGTAGTTTACGAATACTATTTGAAACCCCTTGCCTGGATCAAGAAACAACTCTGTGTGCGCCGGCCTTCCCACCACTGAAGAGAGAAATTGTTCCCAGTCAGTGTCCCACGTATACACCCACTAGAGGTGTTTATCGAAATGGTAAGATAAATTCTGTTCAATCAACTTCCTTTCTTTTTCAAAATCGTATGACGTCGTTTCCTCACATTTTTTTGTTTCACCATTATCATTGCGGTAGTGTGTCCATGGCGGCGAACATAAGCTATTTATGTATCCGACTAGAACAGTGAACTCTCAGACATTTACCCACCCGTGTATTTTGACGGGTGTTGATAAACATAACATTATCTTGTTATGGTCCTCCCCTGTATCGTCATCATCATTGAACAACTAACAAAAGACTGTTTATCTATCACTATGATAGGGATAATAATGGCAGTCATACTGAAATAGATATACAGACTCTTCTAACGAAGGTGTAACATTTTATAACATTTATAATACAGATACCGGTAGCCTAAAAGTAACTTCTCCTCAAACACGACCTCATCATGATTGTAAACCTTTCTTTATAGTCTTGCACTATGGGCGAAGACGAGACTATCCCCTTTAAGTTCAACAATGGTGACCATTCACCGTAAGTAAAATTTTAATTTGAGAATTTCATGACTGTATGAAAACTAAATGCATGGATCCTATGCATTAAGAATTTCACGACTGTATGAAAACTATTACAATGGTCATGGATTTCAAAATGCATGCATTCTTAGCATTCATGCTCTATGTATGGACAAATTATCACTAATAATAGAACTCAAAAGTTACCGGCTATTTTCCTTAGACGCATTTCAAGGCCCAAATAGCCTTCATGATCATGTACTTCAGAGGTCAAGTTACGTAGACTCTCGTGACTGTAATGTGTAAACAATCACGTGTATGTGTCTATGTCTGACTTCACGCTCATTCTTGTGTTCCTGGCCGTACTTGCATGCAGTAATTTTTGGCTTTGACATGGTCCCACAGTTTGTGAAGGCCGGTAACAGGCAAGGGCATCTCAGAGTTATTCTGTGTTCCTTCCCGGTAGGTGGCGTCACTCTTGCGATCGTGTATTTGCCATGGCATTACTTGAATATTTGTACCAATTGAGAAGTATTCTGTATAATGTCCTTGCTTGTACGCTGTAAAGATATACCTTTTATGTACATGTACCTACGTAACTAAATACAGATTATCAATATTCATTCATTATCAACTGTATTGATACTAGTACGCAGCACAGGATTATATGATTGATATAGTTTATGCCATGAGAAAATGACACGGTGTACATGTAATTATATAACTCTATCTAGTATCGTTATACTCTAGATCTCCAAGCAGAGGTTTGGGGTATTTTCAGCGTGTTTTAAGGCTTTTTAACGGGGTTTCTTTCTTGCACTGGAATTTTTCTTTCAGAAAGAAAAATTCCAGTGCAAAAATGAAACCCCGATAAAAAAAAAGCCTAAAAACACGCTAAAAATACCCCAAACCCAAACCTCTGCTTGGAGAGTATATCGTTAGTAGTGCCCTAGTAATATGTCTTCTACACCAAAGGTTGTCACTAACGACGCGTGACATTCCATTCATTTCCTGTACAATACTTTTACATGTAACCGCTTTATAAATCAGAGATATTATTTGTCCAGCTGATACCGTATTGTAGATATACCTTTTGATTAGAGATAATAAATTTGCATTGAAAATGCGTATTCTGCATCCCATGGCAACACAAGATTGTCATAGTTCAGCTTACTATGTTACACTGGCATTCGCTGGATGTGGTTGTTTACACAACACATTTACCCATTATATTGTTGTTCACAAGAGCTGATTACAATGTGCGTTGGATATTAATTAGTGTAAAATATTAAATGCCTTTCACTTCAGACTATACACTGTCTTGGAATACCTTAGTCAATTGTTGTCAACTATAGTATCAACACATCATTCTGCTTGATCTAAGTTGAAGACTAAGAGTGAATTTTACGTTTATTGGTAATCAGTTAAGTATTACAGAGGTTTGATGCATCATTTCTGGTATCTATTTATGTATCTTGAGTGCCTTATATGTCCTTTAATTGTATTCTGATTCACTAGAAAGATCACTACAAAGCTTTAAACAACTCTGCAATTAATGTGCAAAGATTGGCTGTAACAGGCTGTTTGGTGTAAAATAGCTTGCTGCCACCACATCTCGTGCCTGCAAAGCTGGTGTGTTATGCCGAAGGGCGGTTAAACTGGCTATACCAATACAGATACAGATTTTTTTTTCAATAACTACAAAAAAATCAACCAAGAAAGCAAACTAAAAGAAATCACTTTTTGACCAATGTCTACTTGTCATAGTAAAAATAGTGTAAAAACCTTGGTTAGCACTGAAAAATTTACGGTTTAAAACCCCTAAATGCTGTAAAAATATAATAAATTTCAAATATTACCAAATACCACGAAGATAGAAATCATGCATGCATTCTTTCCACATCCTTATTATAAAATATACAAGTAATTCATGTTGGTTACATTTAAGAACAGCCAGATGCAATGAAATGAACCAAAATAATGTATAAATATGATTGTACAAAAAGGTATGTACAAAAATCCTTTCCACATCAGAATGTTCCACAATTTCTTACATTCAAGAATCAGAATCAATATTCATGACATTTACAATAATTATTCCATGTACCAGTAAGTGATACAAACACTTAGCAAATAACACACAACTTCCGTGTACATTAGACACCAGCAATCTATTGTCTTCTTCAACAATGGATATTTTTCTGAAGCCACTTATTTTACCATCTTTCATGGAAAATTACCACATTTATGGCAAAATCAAAACACCTGAACCTTTCAGTAACTTCCAGCTTGAACTCTATGGCTTATATCTTAGCATTTCTGCTTTTGCTACCTATTTTCTGATAGTACCATGCTTATTCTATGTTGCTAACCGAACAAGTTGTAAAGATTATCAAAAAAACAAACTTAGTAAAGCAAAAGATGTTCTTACAAGGATCACAAAGAGTAAGACATTAAGCAACAGAAAAGTGTTTTAGCAGATCCGTTCTCATCTCTAGTGAGTTAGGAGATGAGAGGTGCGTCGTCATCCTCGTGGTATCCAGCATTGGTGAAGTCGGTGGGCTGCTCAGAGTAGCTGGGCGGAGGAGAGCGCTCAGGAGACGGGGAGCCTTGGCTGTCTGGCTTCGTCTTTTTAACCTTTTTCTTGTCAGTTTCTGCTGGTGGAGCAGTAGGCTTCTTGTCGGGGGGCTGTAGGGGCACGTTGGTGGCAGGCACAGGGGTGGGGGCTGGGGATAAGAGTAACATTCATTTGTACAGTGGCAGGATTTGAAAATTCAATTTTCACTATACTTACCTGTAACCTACATATGGCAAGACATGTATAATCTTTACTAAGAAAACAATATCATAAGAATTTCACAACAATACAAATATCATCATCATCATCATAAGAATACCACAATACAAATATATACATATATGGGTACAATATTTTAAATGAGCACATTAAGGACACAGATGGAAGAAGTAGTGAAACTTCCAGGTATAGAGGCTTTTCATTGACATCATAATAATAATTATCATATGAATCTCAGTGACCAGGTGTTGGCAGGTAAATTGACTAAGTAGCAGCATTGTTATGTAATGGTGAGTTTAACAGCCATTCTAACACTGTCTGTAATCTGACATGGCACATGTGAAAAGCCTGTACACACGTAGGCACTGTGGATTAACAACCCACTGCCCTCTTTTGCCGACTACCTTTACCTTTACTACCCATGGTAACATGTGACTACACCTGTACCTGAGGCAGCCATAGGCTGTATGTAGCCCTGCCCAGAAGCCATGGGGTACACCACCACACTGGGCTGCTGCCCTGTTGACAACCCCACCACGGCTGGAGCGGACGCACCCATCACTCCGTGCTGGTTGGCCGGGGCAGTCGGCACTGCCATTGGCTGGGAGGGGGCAGTGGCAGCCACTGATTGGCTGGGGGAGATGGTCACCATGGTGATGGGTTGGCCAGCTGGGAGGAAGTGCACCTGTCCTGGGACCTGGTGGCCGTTAGGTGCGACCTGATACACAACTGTGGGCTGGAACAGATGGACATGTTTCATTATTTTCTGTTTCTGTGTAGCTGGTATAATGCTGCCCTTAGGTGTAGCACACCTGTCCAGTTTCTGTATCTCTATGTGTGTAGCTGGCATAACTGCCCTTCAATGTAACACACCAGCTCTGTATCTGTATAGCCCATATAACCACCCTTCAGCATAATAATATTACACACCAGCTTCTGTGTCTGAAGAGCTGGTAAAACAGCCCACAGCTGCAGCTGATTTCAGGATGGCTGATTATGAATACATGTATAAAAATGAAGATATGAACCCCATGTATACTACCCCACCTGTGGTTGGCTGGTGCAGCAGGTACAGACAGCTCGACAGGACAGGGACGCCGCTAGGATCGCGATGATTGCCTCCAGGATGGCCAGGATCACCAGGATACCATGGATGGACAATCTGCCCTTCTGTAATATCAGTACATACAGGTAAGTACAACTGTTTTTCCTACAATATGCAAGCTAAAGATTATTACATAATTCTTGTGAACAGGTATCAGGCTTTTTCTACATAATCAAGGTATTCTACAGCTTGCATCAGAGTAGTATACATGTTTTTTAAATTCCTTGGATTATTCTTGCAATAATTTGGGATGAAAAATTTGATTGAACCAGTACACATTATATACATTAACTATTGTATTACCATACTTTTAATTAGTATGCTGTGTTTTCAGAATGGTTTTGTGATTAATTCATCACAATGTAAAGACTGGCTCTACCCTTACTACATAGCACCAGCTTCAACCAAGGATTTTTTTTTTAATCTAAGGATTTTCACCAGGCCAAAAAATTAAATGCCACGACAGAATTTCCATTCTCCCTACCACCAGTCTGTCACACTCCAACTGTTTCTCTGGCAGGATGCGGTAACACTTGCAGTTGCTGTCGTACTGCTCGTAGCAGCCAGTCATGTAGTCGTGGATGGTGGAGTGGTAGTGCTCATTGGCGAGGCCGGACGCGGCGCTGCCCAGCACGATAACCGTGAAAACTGCCGCGATGATGGACATCACCATGTGACCAATGATCTGAAACATATCGAGGATTACTTTACTAAATGCTTATGGGTTGTAGGTTTTGTCCAACAATGCAATCAGAGTTGGCAGACTTCACCCACTTTAAACTTTAGTTCACTTTGAAAAAATTCCATGCCAAAATAACCAAGCAGAGACTTTGAAGGATATACTATGAAGGAAAAGTGAAAAAAATGGTATGTACAGTTTTACCTACCAAACATCCAGTTTTCTGCTGGCCAGCACGGATCCCCAAAATTCCAGCCACAAGAAACTACAGAAGATCATAAAAAGGAATTCAGAGTTACAGTCATGTCACACCATAACTACAATATGATAGTGTTTCCTCCAAACTAGTCGTATCATTTTATCTGACTCCTTCTGTACTGGTGTAACATCTAGTGACCTTCCAACTCTGACTTACATTATGGCCCTGTGATGTCCTCTCTACTTGAGCCAAAAAGTGACCTTTCAGGTCTAATTAGAGTAAACAAAAAAGAAACAAACAAGAAGAAGCCTTACCACAGCCCCAGTCCAGATAGGGATGCCCACGTAGTACCCCAGGGCTCGCACGACGATCCCAGAGATCCCCAGCACGATACACAGCAGCCCCACCACAATCTGCGTCAGTCCCGTGGCTACGATCACCTTACGCGGGTACTTCTTGTACCGGCCGTCGGGGTGGGTCGGTCCATCCAGCACCACGGGGGTGGGTGCTGGAATTGTCTCTGTAGTCATCTGGTCAATGGAGTGAAATTAGGATCCAAAGTGACTATTGAAAAAGGGTCAGCTAACTGTCAGGTCAACAAGGTTTTTGTAATTGTCACAACTGTATAATGTGTAATAAACAGTGGACTAGCTTACAAGTAAATACATGTGTACACATGTACAATGGCTCATCATTTCTTTCCAATAGTAATTGCAATAGCACCCAGAAATATTTTTTTCAATTCTGAGTCTGAACCCTTTGGTCTAGAAGCAGGGTTACCAACTGCTGGTGATGCATCTGGTACAATGGTTGATACATATGTACAATGTATTTTCCTGAAAATATAGCCAGCATCTTCAACTTCAGGGGCTTAAGGTCACCAGAACTGACTAGAGGGTCTGTATTGGGACCATATCAACCCTGGTATCAACCTATGCATGTCTGCAGCCACTGTGATGCATCAGTTCCTGATGCTTACAAAATGATTTATTCATCTTCATCTGAAACTCATCATCATAATCCTCATCATCATCTCCTTCATTACCATCATAATCATCATCATTACCTTTATTATTATCATTATTAGATGTGAATCTTATCACATGTCTACAAAAGCTGGCTGCAAGCTGTTTATATCTAGTTTAAATATATTATCTTAAAATATTTCTTTTTATCGTGGGTAAATTTCTAGTCCGTGACTACTGATATATATTACGTAAACGTGTACCCAAATCCCCTATACGAGTCATCGCATTAACTATGAAACAAAACCTACATGTATCAGCCTCAAGGGAAAACAGGATTTTTGGCAAAGGGATCGCTTTATCATTATTCTTTCCATCCACAGCCATCCGTTTGTAGACACCCCCGGCGGCTTCGCACGTGTCTAGCATACTAACATTACAAGCCCACAGACGGTCTGTACTGAGCCAAAACAAAACAAACCAACCTACAGGAGGTCTACCATATCAGTGGCAAATTACAATAAATCACATCGTCACATCTATCATAGGAAAACCATCACACACACGATAATCGTATACTCCAAGTCTAAACCAAACAAATAAGACAAGAGTGACATCTAAATATATAGCAGTTGTATTATATAAAGGTTGGTGCAACTATTATGTATCAAAAATTTTCTTACCTTTAGGACTCCTTTAGTCTACTGCGCTACGCTCCTATATTTCTGTGAAACTGCACGGTCGATAAGTTACGGTAGATTTTCGTTCTAAGGACCTAAAATCAGCTACGACACGCGACAACCCGGGGAATCATCCGTCGACTGTTTTTGTTTTCCGTCTTCCCCTGTGCTGGTATCCTGTGGCTTTTTCTTGGCACCATTCCCTGGAATACAGATTCACCGCATCAAAACGTGGAACACACAGGTTTATTAATATCAGCTTAAAGACGGCGAAATTGACATTTCTATGTGACAAAGATCTAAGAGATTAAAAGGTCAGTCATGGATTATCCGGTGTCTTTGTAGAAATGATTGCTGTTAGTGATGCATCGAGTCATGTTTTTGCGTGTAGTTGCGGTTGCAGCTGGCATACATGTATGTATCAAGATATCGAATCTCAAAACATCAATACCAGGAAGGCAAACGTGACGTCACATGGTAATGGCCGTATCTTTTCCAAGAAATGTGGGCCTCGGTCAGTAGCTAAGTGCTGTTGCGTTACTGTGTACCATGTCTATGTGTCAAGAATATAATTTATTCAAAATCATCTGCTTAGATATTGTAATTGTTTTCGCTTTTGTCATGTTTTGACACTCGCCGGGCGAATCCTCAAGGGGAAGCATAGACACTTTCCAATGAGGCTACGGTAGGGGTTACTGTGATGCTAGATATGAAGCATACGTAGGAAGAGACGGAGGGGTTGGTGGAAAAGGGAGTCCAGTCCGATTGGAACCCGAAACGGAGAGCAGTCGCTGGAACCGAGGGAAGCTCGACCCAGTGAGTGAGTGAGTGAGATATGAAGAGTTCGGTCTCCACCAGACTCCTTGGCAGGCTGTATAAAAAATAGTCGAAATCGGCCTAAAAGGGGTAGTGTATAATTGGCCAGGGGGCTAGCGGGCCATAGTGACAAATTTGCCTGCCAAGCCGATGTGGGCTATCGCTGTCGCCACCCTTATTTATTGTAAGGGGTATTGGACGCATTATGAGAACTTTGTTGCACGGCAACTGGAGCATTCTTCACCGACGATGAAAGCTTCTTGTTCACATCGATAATTCACATCTGCACAGATGGAACGGGTGAAATTGCTTGCCGTTAGGGCTGAAATACTTTTAGTCATAAACATTTTTTAAAAACCTAGTTTGAGGCGAACATTCAACATTCTTACAACCTGGGACAAGTTGCAAGTCCTGTTGCATATTTTATTTTCCACCTAACCGCCTACCCAACTCTTACATGCTCTAACTTCAACTATTAGCGACCCTTTACCCGTCTTGCTACCCTGCGACAACATACAGTGCCTGAACGAAGAAAATGTCTGCAACTACTGGGTGGTATGTACCTCGCAGATAAGCAGAATTGCAGGAAGCCGAAAAGCACAGTCCGCCTTCTATTGTGGTAACAAAAGCAAAATATGGCGAGCAGATTTCACTTCTTTCGCTTTTTCTATATGCGGAGTTTAACTTTTCATATTTATATGTCCGGTGCTGCTATAGTTGGTGAGTAATATCGTGTAATATCCTCCCAGATTGCACACCTGCGACCGAGCAAGTTCTTGTAGTATGCATTATTATGTTAGGTAACAAGCGAATGTTAGTAATAAAATAACTTTTTGTTCATTCTGGACAGACCTATGCGTGTTCTTCATCGCCATGCTCACCGCTGCCTGTGCTCTGGTCTTCATTGTTTCGGTCGGCCCAGTGGTCAGGTTCAGGCTCCGTAGAAAAGCAATGACTTTGTGAGACTTTGGCTGTTCCTCGTTGAGTGACAGTTGTCAGTTCAGTCAGCACATCCATAAGATATGGTTTCAATGGACGTAGTCTGGCTTGGTTTGGTATTCAGGACAGGAATACGTTAGTGTAAAGAATGATGACACTGATGATAACGAAAAGCTTGAAAAAGGAAAGGAAAGGTCTCCCATGCTCTTATGCAGAGCGTAGGGTGGTGCCCATATCCATTTCTGTAGCCCTTGGGCGACACACAGTTGTGCAATGCACTACAGCAGGGGGCTAGTCCGCTGGTAGTGCTGTGTGTTTGACCTTCCCACACCCTTTCTCATAGATGCTGAGTGCTAAGCAGAGAAAGAAGTGTGTACCATTTTTAAAGTCTTTGGTATGACCCGGCCGGGGCCGGGTTTGAACTCACGACCTCCCGGTTACAAAGCGAGCACTCTACCAATTGAGCTATTGCACCGGTGATAAGCTTTGAAAAGCTTGACTTCAACAATAAATGTACAGCAGCTTACATCCGTCTGTCTATTTGCTGTCATGTCTTTGGAAAACATACATGTCGTCTTTGTGAGGATCCTTTCATTTTTGTGGACACTGAAACTTCAGTAGAATGAATAGCTTCGGAATATTTGGGTGAATCATGACTGATTTGTTTAGAAAGCACTTTTTTCTGATATACTAGTAGTAGTAGACCAGACTGTCCCTCCTCGATGCATGATAAGAAAATGTAACAAACTGATGAATCACTGATCTGCATTGAACCAACGCATATAGCTGTACATTACGTACGGATCTGTCGTCGATAAGTGAACCGACGATCTAATGATTAACTATCGATCTCAGATCTAACACGGGCCATGCAGATTACGTCGTTTTTTATTGATCCTTGAGTCACAGACCCGCTCGCCCTGTCTACCTACTTCAAACAAATGTGAGTGAGAGCGACAAATATGCACAAAGCAAGCACGTATGGTTGGTTAATGATTGTGAGGGATCCACCCAGGCAAGCACTAAAACTGCCTACGCCTGTACAACGAGAGGAGTGAAGCTTGCGGACTCAACCCAACTCAACTCAACTCAGATCAGCGTTGCTGCTTCGTTGTAGGATCATCCAGTCTTTGACTCTTTCCGTATATCAGAACAATATTTATCAGATCAAAAAAGTAGGTACATGACTCATAGGGGCAGTATGGCTCTACGACCCCATTGGCATTGTTCTGTAGTTTTGCTGGCGTCGATTGTTGCATTGACCATGGTGTCGTCTGCCTGTGCTGTGTCGCCGAAGGATCGGAGAGCGCCAAAGGGTGAGTTAGATATAGTAAAACGTATCTATGGACTGTTGCTGTTGTTTGTGGCACACTTTGATTAGGAATGCGATTTGTCACTTACTATCCTGGTAACCGTGCCTGCGTAGTTGTGTGCGTGAATGGGTTTTGTGATTAGGGTTAGGATACGCGTGGACTATCGAGGAGCACGGTTCTGGATAAAACACAATTGTGGCTACAACATCCGACTCGACTCACGCTAAGACAAATTAACACCAAAATCCGTGCCCCGAAAGCAGTTCTTAGACCTTTGCGTACCTTCATGTTGTTTATTTTTAACGTCAGCAAGATATGTATATTCAGGTCAATTTTTGTGATCATTACAGGTGTATGTCCTAACTGTGTTACAATTGCAAAATGTGCATATCATTCGGCTTATATCGACATGCAAGGTAGAAGCGTATATAACGATTATGACTAGACTAGATGTTACCTAACATCGTTTTGGCTGTTTTATCTTATATCAACTGAATCTCGTTTAAACGTAATATATCAATCGTCAAGTGTTCCATTACTTCTTTAAAGCGTACTTATGTCGCGATAAGTGGCCTAGTGCCTTGACCTTTTGGGCATGAGATTACATTGCGTAAAATGACTCAAGAAAGCTGATTTCTGTTGTTCTCGCCTAACGCCTATCAATACATCTTTCATATCCTATGGGTGATATTGCTTGTATCCGCAGTGTTGCTTCAATCGATTTGATGATGCCATAGATGCCATTCCTAGAAAGAGAGGCACATTTCTCAGTTTGTTGTACTGATAAATGAACGTTTATATTGAATGAAAGAAAGGACCATAGGGTCTACAAATCATAGTATTGAGTTAGAGTAAAAGGTTAGAGGCTGTCCAGTCGACTTTACCCCGCCCGTAGAGCCACACCCGGGTGGTTTTCTTAGCCGTCATGATCTGAACAAGCGAGCTTTGGAATTTGGTTTGACAACAATTCAGTTTTTCAAGGACATTAAATAATCCTTGTTTTTTTGACAAGACGTTCTTCTCGTTAGACTGTTTATAAATGTAAACTAGGTGTTGGAAGATGTACAGTGGCTTTTTACTCGTATACTTCGACATTCCGCGTTAAAACGCCACTTCATATTTAACTTTACTGAGTTAGCGGCAATTGATATTGAGTTTAGTTTAGGAACCCAATTCTTCAAGTTTTATACCAATGTAAGTATTTCAACCGATGGGGAAACAATGTTGTCAAGGGAATTCTGAGCAAAACTAATTGTCGAAATGGCGTACACCTATAACCAAACATAACAATTTCTATAGTCAAGTATTACATAGTATACAAAAAAGCCACAAATGGAACTCTTACTGCTAGGTGTGGCAGATAATGCTTTGACTCGGACGTTTTATGACATATGATTGCCACTAATAAAGCTGCAAAGAAAGACACTTTGCGATCGAGTTGTTGGTCCATAATGTGCGTATATATGACCTCGTGGGATGACAACTCACTCATAAACCGCTCATAAAGTGTACAGTAAACATCTGCCCTGCCCATAGGTGTGTCCGTGCCTTACCCACGATAGCACACCTCTCTGATAACAATGGCGGCCATTAGATCTTCAAATATTTGATTACCTCACGTTTGTTGACCTCCTTTTGTAACTGGCGACCGTTTTGATACACAAGTAGGACCAGGCAGGAACAAAATGGTGTGAAAGCTTTCTAGTGGCAAACGATAGATAACGGTACATGTATAACTGCACGGTAAGTAGGAGTAAATAGTGCCCGCTTTTAGTGTGCGTGTAAAAATTGGAAGACGGTTTAGAAAGTAGTCTTCCTTTACTCACTGTCTCACTAATTACCCCTTCAGATACCTGCAGCGCGTCTGAGTACGCATGTGCTGACGGGACATGTGTCCTAGCGGCGGCCAGGTGTAACGGCAGTGCGGAGTGCGGGGACGGTTCGGACGAGGAGGACTGCACGTACCGTACGTTCGTCAACTCAGCCTCATGCATAGACTTTCTAGTGGGCAGCTTTAGCTTTTGTTTCTACGATCGTGGCTATTGATAAGTCAACTGTGATCCTCATTCAATCATAGAGTCTAATCGTTAGAGCTAGGGAAAGGGAATACATGAAAGGGTGGATGATGAAGGGAACCTTTTTCATGTTTGGTATTTTGTACAAGTCTGTGTGGTAGAGGCCACTGCTAAAGGCGCGGTCACATTTCCCAACCCCGGGCCGGCCGGGCAGTCGTATGATATAAGTACATAAGACAGCAAAAAAAGTTTTATGAAATTAACCATGAGCACTATTTGTGTGTACTCTTAATAAAAATTGTTTATTTTTTCGTTCACGCAAACAACCCGGCCGGCTGCGACTTAGAAATGTGACCGTGTCCTAAGGACCTCCAGCTTTGCAAGAGACCTATCAATAGCATCGTAAAACGTTACTGGTGAAAGATCGAAGCAATCTTGACCTTTACTGCAAAGTAAAAATCCTATATTATACTAATAATCACCTATAAACTAATTTATTCAATTGCTAATCTGTTATCTTTTATGTTTCTGTATTTCGGCATGACCAATCGTCTTGCACTTACATTCCTTTCTTGTCCTTTCCAAAGAGTGTGAAAAAGAATTCCAATGCGGAAACGGTCTGTGTAAGCCGACCTCCTGGGTCTGTGACAGGGAAGACGACTGTGGAGACAACACCGACGAAATCAACTGTGAGTAAATTAAACAATAGTCCTGCGTGGACATCACTGATAATACATACAGTGTCAGTGTTGTCCACAATTACCAACTACGGTCCCGAAAGCTACATGAGGGTTATGCTAATTATTTACTAACATGCTCAAAGTTAGGATGGTCCTTAGACCTCAGGTAGAAAGTTTATCCTACAGTTTATAAGCATCATATCTTATCTATATCCCTCCCCTCCACCTCTATCAACGTTCATCCACTTTTTAAAAGTATAAGCCAAAAAAAGCTGGTAAGTGGATCATCATTAAAAGAGAGAGGGATCATCAGAGCATTTTAGTATCCAATGATTTAAGACTTTCAAAGGATTCGTATATTGAAACGCAATCAGACTTGTGGGTCATCGTTGATGTATCCACCTGTAGGCACCTGTTCCAGTGAGTTCCAGCGCGCATGCGGGGACGGATCCTGCTATCATGTGATTCACCGCTGTGATGGCCGTCGCGACTGTAAGGACGGGTCAGATGAGGACAGCTGCCCGCCGGGTAAGCCGCTCTGGTGTATCTTTATACTGTATCTTTAGGGCACGTCGACAGAAAACACTAAACCTGCGCGAAATCCGGAACGTAACGTGCATAACTTCTAAGCACTTAAGGTCGTGTTCAAGTATTTAAGGATGGCATCCCGCCTGTAGCAAGATAGGAACGTCAACATTCAAGATTTTAGAAACTTACGGTAGTGTTAAAGTCTGTTCTTGCTTCTTTGTCCTCAATTACATAGTTACTACATGTATATGATTGATTTATTTGAGAATCAGTTTTGCACTGGGGTAAGTTTGGAAAAGTCCACTTTTGCGTGGGATGGAAATGGACTGAAATATGGCTGTATTTGCTCCCAAGCAAATGTCGGCCTTTCTAGTGTTAAAGTCGTCTTTTAGGGGGCCTGCATGGGGGGGGGGGGTCCCGACAACGCTCTACGTTAAATTTTGAGAGCTGGCTACGTATTACGTTGAATTCAGGAAACCTCCCGATTACGCTTTACGTTAAATTCCAAGTGGCTACAACGCATTACGTAAAATAACACGGCGAATTACGCTCTACCCAGAAAGCGCCAATTACGCTCTTCGTTGAATTATAGTGGTCCGTCTACGCTCTACGTAGAATTAAAACAGCCGATTACGCTCTACGGAAAAGGGCTTGCGGGCTCCTTTTAGTAATCGCATATCTTTTGTACCAGCTACTGAGTATGTTCATCGTTTTATGTTGTGAGCAACCTAGCTAGCACCGTATAATTCAAGAATGTCGCACTGATACTCGTACACGTAATTATGTCCACCTTTATTTTGTATTCTTTCCTTGTCACCTCAAACTGATAGCCTCCGGCTGTGGGCTGAGAAACATGACTGTTACAAACGGACAGGCCAGAATAGTTGGAGGAGACACGGCAGTTCGTGGAGCCTGGCCTTGGCAGGTAAAGGAACAACTTTCCCTCTAGCTCTGCCTTGGTCCGTTTTGATTTTCAGATACTATTGAAACGTCTTGTTAATCACCTTTTGATTAATCTTATCTGTTTATGTTCTAGGTCCAGCTGAAAAGAACATACTCCAGTACGCCGTTCTGTGGCGGTACCCTGGTAGCTCCAGACTGGGTGGTGACGGCTGCGCACTGCTTGAATGAGGATCAGTAAGTATTGTGTTTTCTTAAGATCTATCTGGATCTGGCAAGATCGGCCAACTGTGATGTGTTTTCCTTCGTAAGCCAACAGGCGTGGGCAATACGAGTGTTAGCACTACTGGTCAAGTTAAGAATATTAAAAAGATTATAAAGTTTTATGTACTTTTTACATTGACAGTGGAGATGACGAAAGCAGAATTAACTGTCTTACAGATGGCACATCTGGTAACGAATATTCATCAACAACTTATCCAGCTTACATCTTAAAAACGAACACATTTGACACATATACTTTTTTCAGACCAAATGAGTGGCCAACAATCGAAATCCTCATCGGTAAGCACCATCTGCGGCATCCCGGAGCCACGGACCCGGAGGCGATAGTGTCATCTGTACAGAAAGTGTACCTCCATGAGATGTACGACGACTTCACGTCTGACAACGACATAGCCCTTGTACGGCTGAACACGAGCATCGACCAGACGACCAACTTCATCAACTATGCATGTCTCGAGAACAACGAGACGGCGAGATTCGACGAGAACTCGTACTGTTTCACAACAGGCTGGGGCGACACTGTCTCTGGTAGGTTCTGATACTAGATTTGATAATGATATCTATCTTTTGCATTTTTTCTGTCTCTGAATTTCTCGGGTGTTCTCCACAATGCTCAGTATCCTTGCTTATGCATCTTTAGTTGGCTTATCCCGTTTTACGATATTGCAAACACACTCCGATGTTTTCTGTCGCCGTTCAGGAGGTACACAGCCGGACCTTCTACAGGAGCTGAAGGTGGCTATAATCCCGACAGCCGTGTGTAACAGGACCATCTCCAACCAGGGCGGGATGACAGACAACATGTTCTGTGCCGGCTACTGGGAGGGCGGCGGAGACTCATGTCAGGGGGACTCAGGCGGTCCTGTCGTCTGTGCAGGTAATGAAGAGTAGCTTTGGGGCTTGTACATGTATAAAATAACGCAAGGTCATCACAATCTGGCACACTTAACTTAATACTTGAAGCATACATGAATCTAGACCTTCAATACAACTTGCCATGTAATCTATATCATTATCAGGTCTATATCGGGACCTTAGTGTCAATTGGTTTCTTAAATGTGGTCTTAGATTTTCTCGTGCAGACTCATTGCGACGCCTGGTAGTAGCAATTAATTAACGGCATGCTTCCTTTAAAGCTAAGAGCCACTAAACTACGACCTTTCAATGACATATCCTCTGAAAGGGACTTTTTTCATGTAAGAAAAGTGTTTTACCGATGCATCTTGATGAAGTCATGACTTAATGGCCTTACAATTTCATAAAATGCAGGTGACGACGGCCGCTGGTATCTTATGGGCATCACCAGTTGGGGATACGGATGTGCCAACAGGTACCAACCAGGGGTGTACGCCAAAGTCTCTAACTACATCGACTGGCTGGACAATAAACTTCTCACAGGTGGACAAGTTGGTAAGTTACGGGCAATTCATCATATTTGTGTCTGCCTCAAACCTACGCGTGTGTCCGTTAAATAGGTAAGCTGCTTTTCTTTAAAATATTTAGTGTATATTGCTACCCAACCAATACCCTATTACCCTCTTATCTAAAATAAAAGTGCAGTTCCTGAAATCAACTATTAGTATTGGTGCTGAAATAATGAAAACGTATTTTCTGTTGTTGTTGTGAATGTCAATAGACCATAATTTGAATTGTTAACAGACTGAGTTGGACACATCGAGCAAACTGAAGAAGACATTATTCTATTTGCCACCTGATATAGCTTGTTCGGGGAACACCACAGTCACCTGCGGAGACGGCAGCTGCTTCCCTGCAGACTACAGGTGTGACGGCTACGAGGACTGCGAAGATGGAGCGGACGAGCTCGGTTGCCGTGAGTAACAAACCGTATCCATTTATTCACCTGGAATTTAGTGAAAAACACATCGATTGAAAATCGTACGTCAAAAATGAAGAGTTCTCAGAATCAGCCTTCTGATGTGCTGAAGGACTCGATCCACAAATTTTGTTTAGCCACCATGCAAGATAGTCAACATGTGAAGCTTGAATTAACTATTTCACTGCAAAAATCCCTATATCTTCATTCTACTACAGCACCGTTGGGACCACCTTGTGCCCTGTACTGTAACAACAACACCCAGTGCATCCCTGACCAGTGGGTCTGTGATTATTGGGCAGACTGTGAAGACCTTGCAGATGAGCAGGGTTGTGGTACGTTTCACTACACACTAATAGACCATGTGAAAATCTAGACACCAACGGAATTAGGCCTTGTAACAAATCGTTACATTGTACTGCAATCATGACAATGTGATTTGAAAGACTACTTCCCCCTCGTCCTTTCAGATTGCAACGATACCTTCACATGCGACAACGGCATCTGTGTTCTCCCGGAGTACCGGTGTGACGGAACCGACCACTGTGGAGACGGAAGTGACGAAAGTTACTGTGAGTTGGAAACAAGTGTTTTACAATCGAAACCTGATCATGTCACATTTGCTTACTAGATAACCTGTGCAGGGAGAGAACAAGAATAGTTGGTTTATTCAAATGCACAAAACAACATATTTTGCCCATTCAAATAGCGACGGAAAGGATAACTACATTTGCAATACATGTTGTTCCTAACATACTTTGAAGCATAATTCATATCAAGCCATCCTGACGCGTTTGCACTGAAATGAGCAGATGTCTTTCTATGTGAGCATACGGTAACGCACGGTATCTTGTTCTGTTTTGTTAGGCCCCTGTGCCCCTGGTTTCTACAGTTGTGACAGATGTATTCCATCTTGGTGGGTGTGCGACGGCGACGACGACTGCGCAGACGCCAGTGACGAGGCCAACTGTACCTATAGTAAGTAACGTTAAAGAATAAATTGTGTACACTGTAATTCTACATTACAGAGAAATAGTAATGTTTGCTGTGGCGGAACGATGTGGATTCCCATACTACGTTCCGTGGTGATATATGACGGCTGACTGAGTCGAATTATATATTTAAGAATGTGAATCTATGCCATCTATGACAACTTTGGGATTCAGAGAGGGCCATAGCAATGCCAACGACGTTGCTGTAAATCGATAACCAGATTCTACATGGACGTCCTAAAGAGTAATGATGTAACTACCGATACAAACGCCCAGCCCAGGTACACGGTTTCTCATTTGCTGTTATGTGATTTGAAACTGCAATCACAATACTTTCTTTCAGCATGCAATAATGAGTTCCAATGCGGAAACGGCCTGTGTAAGCCGAACTCCTGGGTCTGTGATGGGGAGGACGACTGTGGAGACAACAGTGACGAAATCAACTGTAAGACCTTGAATACCCAGTCTTAGATGTTGCTTTTAGAGTCTTCTTTAAGAATCTTCCACGATTTTTTATCCGCTTAATACATGTATGGATTTTTTCTTTCAAAATAATGAAAATACTAATTTAAGCTATCGTAGCGTCTCCTGGACCATACACTGTGTCGTTTTCAATCAGTGTTAAACAATGACCTATTCCAACATTTGATGAATATTGTTTACATAATGTTTGTGCTTTTATCGTCTACGACTATTCTCATTCTCGGGAATTCCCGGAAACAGGTACCTGTTCAGGTGAGTTCCAGCACACCTGTGGGGACGGGAGCTGCTATCACGTGATCCACAGATGTGACGGTCGCCAGGACTGCGCAGACTCGTCAGACGAGCTTTCGTGTGAAACAGGTTAGTTGCGTCATTCACTTAGTAAACAGCCGTTTGATCCTCTTACACGTGTCCATAATGGATTTCGCAGTTTCGCACTGGAGTTATTTCATTACAATAAGCAGGTATCAAATCACCGCCTTCCCAAACTCCTCGACTGAAACTGCATTATATCTATACGTTTATGCCTTAGGCCCCACCACGTGTGGACTCAGGAACATGACGATTGTAGAGCCCGACGAACGGGAGAGGATCGTCGGCGGGGACGCCTCGGACCGCGGAGCCTGGCCTTGGCAGGTAGTTATATAGACAAATATGCTGGTCACAATATCTATGATTCGTTAATTTTTTTAGATAATAACTTAACAGCTGATATCTAATTACATTCACATAGATCGCATTGGACAGAAAGCACATACTGTGCTTATCCCCGAAAGGCCATAAGAATAGTTCATTGACAAACATGCATTCACCATATTGGTCTAACATGTATCCTGCCCCGCCTTCCTACATCAGGTCCAACTGAAGAGGTTATACAGCAGCAGGCCATTCTGTGGCGGGACCCTGGTGGCCCCAGACTGGGTGGTCACGGCTGCGCACTGTCTGGATGACGACACGTGAGTTTTTGCTTCAGTTACCAACAGTCATGTGCTGACATACAATTACAGTCATACCATAGTAATTGCTTGTATGCTAGCAAGTAGAAACATATATTAGTTATGATATTGCCAACCAGGGCATACTTCCAGCCCGGTTGAAACATTTCAGTACGTTTTTGGCCTGCTATAGTCTAATTCAACGGTACAGAAAATATGTATTTTGTTTTCAATGTTGGTGATCACGAAGGCCTGCGCTCTGGCAGTCACTACAAGTGTTGATTGGGAAACACGCAATCACCCACTACCCATGGGACAACGATACAGCACAAGCCGTGGTGTCAGGTGTCAGGAAAGTTTACCTGCACGAAGGATACAACTCTACCACTCACGACAACGACATCGCTCTGGTGGGCAGCTATTTTTCAATTAGCAGAGACACCTATAACCTTCCTGTTGATTTCTCTTGCAGAATAAGTGGGGCAGAGTCGAGTGTGTTATGTCTTATTCACATCAAATAAACGTAGAGGGAATGGGCCAGTTGTGACATTCGCCTAGCTACATGTTCATTATGTTCTTCTTGTAGACAAGGTTTGCATACTTCGCTTTACATTCCCGAAATATCTTCCAATTGAAACATATACGGTACATGCATATGTATGGTTGCTGCATGAATCTATATAACGTTACTATTAGAATATCATAACATTATATCAACTTCAGTTTTAAAAGGAACTTAACACTGAATAGAGTAAGTCTTTCTTTTCTCCACTGCTTTTGTCGACCACACAGGTGAAGCTGGACGCGTATGTTAACGTCACGAGTAACATAGTCAACTACGCATGCCTGCCGGACAACGCGACTCTTCTGAACGAGAACTCTTACTGCTTCACTTCCGGCTGGGGACGGCTCCAATCAGGTGAGGGCGAGAAGCAGGAAAACACATGTTTCTACCAGGGACCAAATTCTGTTTCCTATTCTAGCTAAACGAAGATGTAAAGCTATTAAATGCTGGGAAACATCAATACATGGTTGAGCACTAGGCAGCAAATTCAGCTAACGTTGTGCTCCATACATTATAAAACACATTAAAACATCAAAGTAGCCATAAATACAAACAAGACAGATGAATTGTCTTGTTCTGTTTCAGGTGGGGATCGCCCTTACATTCTACAGGACCTAAAGATTGCCGTCATTTCGAATGATGTCTGCAACAAGCCCTTCTCCTATGATGGCTTGGTGACAGACAACATGCTGTGTGCAGGGTACTGGGAGGGCGGCGGAGACTCATGTCAGGTACTGCCTATAAAAAACAACTTACATAAAGCACTGTCATGTCGTACATTACAAAGTAACATAACTGTTGATTTCCCTAGGGTAGAGGTGCTGTGATGAAACTATGAATGAGTACCTTGTTTGGTTTAATTTAGTTTCTGTATTCTTTAGTTCAGCGTCTTGTGTCATTAGCTGGATCTCCATCTACCTTCTGCAATAGTCACTCCCTTGTCAATTGACCACCAAGTTTGTTGTCTCTGTACATGTAGCCTTTGAGATTGTGTGTATATCTGAAAACAGATGGAGTTAGGATTATTATGCTACTTTAATTTCGTTTGACATGATACTGAGCCCAATTTTCATATGTAGGGAGATTCCGGGGGACCAGTGATGTGCGCGGGGGATGACGGGAGATGGGATCTGGTCGGCATCACCAGTTGGGGTTACGGCTGTGCTCGTCCCTACAAACCCGGCATCTACACACGGGTCAGCCGGTACCTGGACTGGATCAGGCACAGGATGGATCAGGGAGGTTCAGTCGGTAAGTCGGAGAAATGTTAAGCCACGGTCACATACATCGTACGCGCACCTATAAGATGGATGGTGTTAGGTGACGATCCTCCCGTGCGTCGTAGATATCAGAGGAAACGGGTGCGATAGCTTGAAAATTAAACCATTGCACCCTGAAAGCAATGCTATATACTACCGACTACTGTTCTTGAACTTGCTTACAAATACTATGTAGAATGTCCAGCGTTTTAGATGGGTTCTTTAAAATGTATTCTCAATATCTTGCCACATAGACTGTAAGAATGGTACACTACAATGCTCAGACGGCACCTGCTTCCCTGACTCCTACCGCTGCGATGGGTACGAAGACTGTTCGGCTGGAGAGGACGAACGAGCTTGTCGTAAGTTTGCGGCTTTAGGTCTTTTACACTTTACTATTGTGCACTAGCTTAGCGATCATTAAACAATATGACAAGAAAAATATTTAAGAAATGTATTTTTCCTGCTTACGATATTCTGCTAAGAAGAAATTATGACGAATAACAATACCTTTATCACTTTATCCTCTGCAGCCACGTTTCCGCCGACATGTGTGTACTACTGCACGAACCGACTTAACCTGACGCAATGTATCCCAGACAGCTGGATCTGTGACTACTACGTGGACTGCACGGATGGTTCGGATGAAGAAACTTGCAGTAAGGACATGATCGCATTTAATTGCACCCAACCTTGTAGAGGATGGAAGAATCGTTTAGTTTAGTACTTCATTGTGCTATGATTCGTATCTTACACTATAAAATTTCTATCATGCTACAAAACTGACAAGCAAGACTATACATGTATAAGCTTTTTATGGAATAACAGAATAATAGATATTACAACAACACTTTCCAGTCAACCTATGGAAATAAAATCGTCTTTTTCCGATCCAGAAAATATGTACATGAAGGCCGATGTGACGTATATTCCCCAAAAAGATGACATAACCTGATGACGATTTCTCTATTTCTTACAGATTGTACCGATGGCAACTTCAAGTGCAGCAACGGTGCATGCGTCCTGCAAAGATTCGTGTGTAACGGTCGAGACGACTGCCTGGATGGAAGTGACGAGTTGAACTGTAAGTTTTCCCTATGTACCTGCGTCAACAATTCTATTCATAACGTCCACATCATCAACATATTTTAGTTCAGAAGTATTCCTCCATCTAAAATGAACTATCATGGGAAGTAATGATATCGCACGTGAAACATTTTTTTTACTTACACAATTTCTCTTGGAAAAAGATTATCATTGTCCGTTTGCTGTGTATACAGGTTACTCCACAACAGTTTCAATGGCCAACTCGTCTGCAGCCAGCACGCATATGGATATGTCGACTGAGACGGCAACTACCATAGCAATGACAGGCGAAACGACAAAAGAAGCATCTGTGCCCATGACAACCGGGAAAGTTGTCTCCACAAACAAACCACCTGCATCAACTAAAGGTTAAGAATGAAAGTTTACATGCACATCATTATCGTTTTCACTAACCTAATCAGGTCACATATACCAGACGTATACCCAGAAATGATTGCGTCTAATGAGATTTCCAATGCAACATCCCCAAACCTGCATATATACACTGTGCAAACCTGGGTTTGGGTTTGCTGCAATAGAGATCTAGTAAAAATACTATTTTAAGTCACTGTATGGATGTAGTGGGATCTCCATGGTCACTGTATGGATGTAGTGAGATCTTCATGATCAAAGACCACACGCACATACCTGGGTTTTCTTTCACCTACACAGTTGTAATTGTAAGTAATTACCTCCATGAAAAATGGAGGTATTGTTTTTGGCGTGTCTGTCTGTATGTCTGTCTGTCTGTCTGTCTGTCTGTGTGTCTGTGTGTCTGTCTGTCTGTGTTTCCGCAACTTTGTAGTCAGCATAACTTCAGAACGCCTTTATGGATTGCGATGATATTTGGTATGATGGTAAGTCTTGGAAAGACAAAGGTCAAGGTCAAGTATGGGCCTCCTGGTGGATGACCTTGGTACTGCAGCAGAACTTCCGGTTTTTGTATCTTTTGTCCTGAACAAGCTATGGTCTTGACTTTTTGGTGACAGATAGCTAATCTTGTCAGGAATAAGTGGCGTAAGTTTGATCCCCCTAGCAGCTTGTTCTGGAACTGCAGGTTAGTTTCTGGTAAAAACTTTCAAAGCCAATAAGTCCAGATTGGAACAACATATTTTCATCATTTTTGGTGTGTAGGTAGCTGAGAGAGAGATGTACATGATTAAATGCAAATTATGCAAATGAGGACTTAATTTGCATAATTAATGAGGAAATTCTATGATTACAGTGTTTCATATAATTGTACTGCTATACATGTAATATATTCAATCTGTGGCAGGTGGAACATGAACAGATACCAATTATGCAAATGATGACCTAATTTGCATAATTAATGTGAAAATTCTGTGAATCCTTATTGGTGAATGATGGGAATTTTATACCTCGTAACATGTGTAAGTTACTTAAAGGTTTGCGTCGCTATGCACATATTATGTTAATGTAGAGGTTATTTGCATAATTAATGAGGACAAAGCAAGCCCATATTTCATGGAGGTATGAGATCTCGGAACTCTTGTTGTACATGTGTTGTGCATTCCTCCAGCTCCCATGACGGTAGTTGAGCTGGCTGTGACCCTCGTTAGTGAAACCTTCACGACGGACCTGCAGGACAGCAGCACTCAAGCGTTCCAGACACTGGCACAACAAGTCATCACAACCGTGAGCAAGTTCACTATGGCATACACCCCACCATTTCAGACTATTTCTTCAATGTGACAATCTATAAATAAGCTATATATAGTTGTTATTTAATACAAAAGGTGAGATGATACTTCTTTTTTCAGATGAACACTGTGTACCAAGAGTACCCTGGCTACGAAGGTGTTACGGTCCAAGGCTTTAGGTAAGATTGCCAGAAAAGAAGCTATGCACACCTTTCATCAACATGCCTTAAACATATGAGCACACCCCCCCCCCCCAGCTTGGGCTAAGGTATCTGTTGAGGTATGTCTGTGGTGGTAGAGACAAAAAAAACGGACCATATATAAAAAGCAAACGATCTTCCACCATCAACCTCTGCTTGGAGAGTAATCGAGGATTGGTAAAATTTATTGATAACTATCGGTGGTGAGGTAATAGACATACATTTGTGGCTGTGGTTGAACATTTGACTGAAACATTTTTTTATTCTTCAAATAGTCATTGTAGGACGTCGTAGGGTACAATGTAACTACTCGTAAACTCACTTCTGATCACAGGTCAGGAAGTGTGATTGCCGATGTAAACGTGCTCATCGATGGTCAGGAGGCAGAAACGCCACTAGCGGTCGCCAGCGTACTGCAGTCAGCTGTGACCAGTGGTGAGGGCATGGTGGGCGACTTGGAAGTCGGTGGAGTTGCCTTCAAAGAAAATGGTAAGTTATATTTGAAGTACGGGTGCGGAAGTATTGTTTTGGTAGCTGAGATGTGGGATTGTGTCTATGCCCTGAGTAAAGGTTGACAGCACGTGGGTGGAAGAACGGTAACAGAATCTGGCTGGGAGCTAGCTGGCAAAGTGGACTCCAGGAAGCAAAGCCGAGGATTGAATGCTTCTATTCCTGGAAGTCTGAAATCTCCGATGTCTTGTTATTGATGAGCTTCTTTGAGCGTAACCTATCTACAAAATTAAAGACGGTCATTTCAAGGAAGTGATGAGAATGAAACAGGACTTCTTATTATTTCCCTCTATTTCATCCTTGACATTTGACAGGTGTAGCTGTGGATGTGGTGGTGTGCAGCGCTAGTTGTCATGACAACATGACGTGTGTGTCCAGTGGAGGAGAGTGTCGGTCCTTCTGTACGTCCAACACGGAGTACTGTCTGAACGGGGCGACTTGTGAGGACCGGAACCCCGTCCTGGGGTGCAAGTAAGGATTAAATATCACATGAAATATTGTGATAAACAAAGAAGAAGTTTGTTATTTGATCGATTTTCTGGTGTGAAGTTTGGCATATGCGCAGATCCACATCAATTCTACTTTGAAATAGCACCAGGTATATAGATATGCTAAAACAACTTCAGGCTCCATGATCTTGTTTATGCACGCATACCAAATCTGTCACTTAGAATGAACATTTGATATGACTTTACATTGGGATGTTATCCTTTGAAAAATGTAAACACCATGTAGACAGTTGGTAAAGGTCACTGACTTGTGAACACCATTTCCCCTCAGATGCCCATCGGATGTAGTTACATTATACCAGTACTCAGGACCACGCTGCCAGAATGAAGGTGATCAAGCTAAGTGATTATGAGTTTCATTCGTTCGATCATAATCGAATTTATTTACTTCCTTCATCACAGAAAACAATCTGTTGCCACAGTTGAAAGGTTTTCATCTTCTCAATTCCAGAGCTAAGTGTGTTCTTCATCGCCATGCTGGCTGTTGCCTGTGCTCTGGTCTTCATTGTTGCAGTCGGTCTTGTGGTTCGGTGTTGGCCCCGTAGCAAACCAAAATCTTCGTGAGTCTGACTCCTAAATCTCCTCTATATCTGATGCTCGAGTCATAAAGTGTAAGTGCTCTTAAGACGAATCCTGCACTCGGAAAAATGATGTCACGACTGTCATCTACTTGATTCTATTAATATTTTTTATGAAAAAACTCAATCTGAAATTGAAGGGCAGATAAAGCATTTGGTGGCAACTAGCACGTCTCAAAAACTAAAGCCACGATGCCTTGCCATGTCTGACTCAGTATCCTCTCGGTTACGCCCCAAATTCATTTAAGCGTAACATATAGGGATGAAAAGACGTAAAGAGCAATTAATTTCTAAGACAAACATAGTTATCTGGGTTAGTACATTTGTAATCTTCAAAGCTGTATAACAAGTCCTTTCTATCTCTACTTTTTAGCAATGACGATGCACAGGCGGTGTTGGAGAGTGCACATGCAGAATCTAAACAGAACGGTGTCCCCATGGAAGACAAGGGAATAGACAACGTCGCCGCCAATCTTCAAGAGAATGGGAAGGTAGCGCCAGGCTCTGAGAAAGCCCTTGGCCAGCAATATGAGGAGGATTCTTGGTTATAACTGTTACATGTCCATCCTTGGTCTTTCCGTACTACTAGTATTACAAATGTAAAACAATTATTTGCACTAAACTGTCCAATTTGGTTAAACTGATTCAATATTCTTTATTCAGAAACAGGACTCAAATGTGGTATACCTTAGCAAAAGTATCATATTCTACATTGATAAAATGCAATCTTTATTCTAGAATTCCTGTATGCCAGCCGATTTAATAGAAAAGTGTATGTTATTCTGCATGTGAATAAAACAATAATCAAAACAAAAGTGCTTCAGGGTTTTTCTTGTGTTACAGACATGCATTAGAATTAAATTAGGCTATCTTTAGAGCACCTGTCAAGTTAACAAATCTTCTCTCTACAACCGTGCATGTATGGGTGTATACTTTGGTGTACGTATAAAAACCAATGGCAAGAACAAACTCATTAACATTCCATAGCATCTTAAGTCAAGAATGTTGAGAATAGCATGTTTGCTATAGCTATGATGTCTTTCTGAGCAAAACATATTGGCCAGTTTGGCCAATTATTATATCTGTGCTGCTGTAGTAAAGGAGCCTGCCCGTGGATTCTGTAAAACCTTTGGAAACATCTTCCATAGACTGGTACCTCAGGTTTCACCATCATCACTTCCTTCATTCCTGTCTTCACCTTCACCTTAATTGTCAGTACTCTCTTGGCCTGATAAATTGTCCTCACTGCCACTGTTGTTGTCTGACAGCCACTTTAATTTGAATCTGAGAAAGAGTTGTCACTCTCTTCTCCGCACATGTCGTCAGAACTTCCATACATGTTGATAGGATCTTTCTGTGTCCTCGTATGAACTTCCGTCGACTCCGAGACAAGTCGGGATCATCCTTGACACCAGGCATTCCTATCTAGGCCTGACCCCTCCTATCTGCTAACCACCGTGACATGATGGGAGGAACCATTTTGTCTTTGCTGTCTTGCTTCAACCAAGAGTCATTCCATTTCCGGTACTCATAGAGGTCAATCTTCTGAGGAAACCACTCCCCCGGTGACCTCAAATTCCAATCGCTGCATCCAATGATCAAACGTTTCAAGACTTTTTTTTTTCAAACATAAACTTTATAACATCCTAAATATTAAAATGTATCAAAAGCATTAGGAATAGAATGTTTCCATTTTATGATAGGGTAGCATAGTGCTTGCTTTCCGGCTTCTTGATGTTTTTCCGACGGTTAAGTTAGAAATCCTCAAGCGCATCTCAGCGCATTATCAACTCAGCCTGGCGATGGCATCATTGGCAGCCGCTATCCTGTGGTAACAATGAGGGGAAATCACTGACATTTTGGTTTCAGAGAAAATCCGTCCTGTTACAAGTGTTGTTTTCACAGGTTACGCCCCGGTGGATTTACAATTGGTGTTCTCACTGACTTCTCCATCCACAGAATGCTGCGATCGGATGTACCGCTACTACTGCATTATCACATTTTGTAAATGATAATCACTTAAATTTCACTTAAGGAAATTTGTGTGATATAAAAATGATAATGTTCTTCCCGGATGGAGATCGTAAACACTGTGGCTGAGATGTGCTCGTCTATATTGGTTTTCTTTCCGAGTTAAAATCCCCAAAACTGAACTGCATGCCTCCAATGTCTAGATGTATACCATTCTCCTTCCAAGCAGAGGTTTGTGTTCTAACGTTATGTGTTCCGACAGCAGAAGCCAAGGCTGTGGAAGATTCCAATCATAGTGCTGCATGGTGTATATAGACTATTGGAACACGATTTGGACAGGGGTGATTTAGTGCAGGAGGGGGATGGGTCCATTTTTGGTACGGGGTTGTGGTGAGGCCATTTGCTGCATTTGCTCCCGAGAAAATCGGTCGGCCTTTCTAGTATTTTATTACTCCGTGAAGGAGGTCAGGACCTCCGGACGGAGTGTTGTGAACGGCTGATTTTTCATGTTCGCAGTCAAAACACTGGGTTCTCTTTGTGTAATCGGCACGCAATTTTATACGCCGTCTGCGGGCATGCCCGTGTTGATGCACGAATGTGTATTTTGTCCGTTGCTGCTTTCGCGGTCAATGTAATATCGCAGACGCACCCCTACAATTACGAGGCGAATTGGAATGGTCCAGAAAAACGCGTTGTTTGGAATAGCAGTGGGGTTCAAAAAACTTCATGCAGATACGGGGTGGTTTTTATAAGTGGTTCCAGATGTTTTTGCCCATGGTTAAGAGATGGCAAGTTTTTTGGAAGATGTTCGCAGCCAAAACGCATTCTTCCGTACGTCGCATTTCTGTGAAATTTCGCATGTGGTGTGGCATTATGTCCGGGATGATGCACGTCTTTTTATTTTTACCGTAGCTGTTTTGATATTGGAGTAAATGCTTATTTTCGAAACATCCCCATGTCGTTGAAATGTTTTCGTCCGGCCGTTTATGTGACCGGTAGTACTTAGTAAGTCGCGGTCAGGCTGATGGGGACGGAAATGTGGGGTGGTCAGAGGTCAACATTACGAAATGTAAATACCGATGACGTAATCCTATCGATTTCAAATTGGTCGGCTGTGGCAACCTAGTGGCGGCGTGTATTTAGTCACGTAGCAACTGGCCGCTCCACTGTACACTTGGGTTGGGCCGCTCCATAGTGTTTAAGTATAATAGTGGAGCAGCTCTTTGAAAAAATGGACAATTTTTGAGCAACCCATCAATGTGTTCTCGGCCTCGTGGTCGGATGTGGTCTGGGGCTGGTAAACCGCACATACTAGTAGATCGGGTAATTTTATGATTTGCTAGTTGTAAAAGCGTCTTGTAGTATGAGCCGGTATATGAAGAAGTAGTGTTACACAATCACGCACATTCCAGGAGCCAAACCAAAATACGTTCATGAACCGAGTCCAAAAAACCGAAACATGAAAATCCGATGATCGGACCTGATGTACATTTCTCTTTCTGTAGATTGTACACACTATACACGCATCTTTAGATAATCTGGCCATGGCAGGTAAAAAAAAAAGTAACCCTGAATCATACTAGATTAGCGTAAATGCATGTTTATGCGTTCAAAACAAGAAAAGAAATTGTTTCCCGGTATTAATCTCTTGAAACACGGTGCTGAATATTGACGCAACAATATTTCGGGCATCGCGCGCCCTTCCCCGTTGTTTAGACTGTATGCAAATCCCGCGTCACGTGTCGGCATTTCGCATCTCTGATTGGTTGTTGCGTCTTAAGATGACTGAGCCGACGTGCGTTTAAACAATTTTTTTTTGTTCGATTTATCACACTTCACAGAGAATTGCCAATGGCTACCTCTTTTTGTTGCAATATATAATACTTCACGGAGAATTGTCACCTATGGCTTCTTGTTAATTTTTCTGACACATAAACCAGGATGCAAAATGGAAATCCTAATCATATCAACACTTGACACCTTCCCTGCACACCTGTGTTTTTAATTATTTTTACTCTCCAAACAGTACCCGTGCAGTCGCAGCCTATATATATTAGCTGTATGCAGGGTATCACATAATAATCAATACAAATCACAACAATTACAACAATCAAATAATACACATATTTTTCCACAATTATTTTTTGTGAAACTGTCGCAAGGAATCTTCCACCTACACAAGGAGACAAGACAACCCAAAAACTAAAGTATTTGCACGTCGCACAATAGTCGACAAAAGGCAGACAGTGTTGTTTACTAGGTAATAAGGTATTCAGAAAGTTCAAAAGTCAACGTGGGTCAAAAGTCGAATTTGGAGGGAAACTTTCCTCGGCGAGCTACACACGCGCGAAGACGTTTGACTTTCTCTGAGACCAAACCGTTGCTAATCATGGATGTAACAAATAAGGAATATCCTAAGGACGTTCTCCGCGGGCTTAACGAACTGCGGGGGCAGGCAGAGCTGACTGACGTGGTTCTGGAGGTGGAAGGGAGAAGGTAAGGGGGAGGGGGGCAAATTCCAACATCACCTACCGCGCGCTTTTTCTACTCTGATAGCCAGTCTACGCGATCGTGATCTATAAGGAGGTTGTAAGTTAACTTTTAATCCAGTTATTTGTAGTTCTTATTCTTAATGTTGAATAGTTCAGGACTCCCATGCATTGAATTATTCTCAAGATTCGACAAAGCTGCACTAACTGTTATATACCCACAGGGTTCAAAAGTTTATACTTTTAGTACACCACCAGTATCTATATTCGTGCAGGTAAAAATTGGTTACCGTTGGGTTTGGAGTATACTTACTGTAGAAATACAAATGTTAGGAAACAAATTGAATAAAAGAACATTGTGTAACTGTCAACAAACAAGTCTTAAATATTCATCATAAAAACTGAATAACCGTTAGTCCAATAAATCAACTAAACAGCAGCAGTCGCCCAGGAGCCCAATAAATCAACTAAACAGCAGGAGTTGACCTGTTCTGATTCTTTCCTTTCATCATATCTTCTCTTATTACTCCATAAAGGAGGTGTCCCCCTTGTTGATCTTACATGTAATGTTATGTAACATAATGTATTTACAAAATATAAAACTTCACAGAGAATTGTCGCCTATGGACACTTTGCACTCTGTCTTGACACTTTGATCATAATACAGAATTTCTTATAATATAACTTCATAGCTCAGGTAAAAGTCAATACATCAAATAACTAGAGATCAAAAAGCTAGAGGTCGGAGATCCCATGCCTTCATCAGAGGGACACTGTTCTAATCTGAGAAATGAACATATGTATTCTTTAGTTTTTTGATAATCAATTTAGTCTAGAGTACAGAAGAATGCCTGTACATGTATGATGTACTCCTTTTTTTAATTCTATGGAACACCCTGAAAGGGTTCGCCACAGATTTACAGACGCGCCTTTCACTCGTGTTAGGCCTCCCCCTAAGGTAGCCTGGATACCATCCGGATTTTTGCTCTGCAAAATATTTTCGAGCATTGCAGATCGAGCAAAAATCCGAATGGCACCCAGGCTACCCCTAAGTTACCGTATTTGATTTTAGACTGTTACTGGAAAAAAAACAACTTATATCGGATGAGGTATAAAAGAAATAATGCTACCGGGTAATGGTTTCTGAACAGTTTCCTGAGCCACCAACCAGGTGACATTTGTCTGGTGTAGGTAATTTTCAAATTTAACTGAACCAGAGCAGGTATGAAGAAATTTTCAAGGATGTTGGGCCTGGCCTATAACTTTAGTATAAGAATGAATGAAACAGTCTATTCCTCCCCAGTTTCCCATGCCATCGCGCTGTCCTGGCATCGTGCAGTCAGTACTTTCGTCGCATGTTCACCAGCGGCTATGCGGAGTCCAAACAGGACAGGATCACCATCCAGGATGTGAGTGGGGTAGCCATGGCAACCATTCTGGACTACGCCTACACCGGCTGCCTTCAGACGGAGCCAGACCAGGTCCAGGCTGTGATGTCTGCAGCCAGACTTCTCCAGGTAAAGCTACCTGTGGCTTTATATATTTACGTTGCTTTCTCCATGGATGTCTAACCTTCACCAACGTCCCTGTGGCTTTGTTTGAAACCATATTATCCTTTACAATTGATACCCTGTTTTTATGCTTGTTCATACCATAGCCAGTTATGTGGGTTGGTGACAAAAAAACCCTGAAATGTTCTATGATCATACTTGCATAGCATAAATAGATATCTTTTTTTCAGCAGGGTTTTTGTGTCATTCCAGGTTGAATTTGTATGCAGTCAGGCAGCAGAATACATGAAGAAACATCTGGACATGTCTAACTGTGCAGATGTGTTGATGTATGCTGACATGCTGGGGGACCTTGACCTACAGGAGACAAGTGTGATGTACATGGCATCCAGGTAAGTTGTACAGCAGCTTACAGTACTTATGACACATCACAAGAAAAAATATCAAGTACAGTTTGATCCATCCTCCCATGGCAGGGGCAGCGGCTCCGAATTCCTTCTCCACCCCTTACCCCTGCCGAATAAGCCCGCATCTTCTACTCTGCGACCCGATTCCAGGGACACGCTCTCAGCCAATCACGTATTACTGAGAAAATCTTCAACGCACTTTACATTAGATATTTATGAGCTGCGCTAGCTATCGGAACCAATCATGTCGGCTCTTACATCGGCTGTTCAGTGACAAATAAAAACAAACATGGCGTCGTCTTGGGAAGAGAACTTTTGCGATGCAGGCCGCTGCGGCCGTCGGCGGGGCGCTAGCGTGTGCTGGAGGCTGCGCGCGGATCCCGCCGAGCACGGGGAAGGTGTCAGCGCGGAGAAAAGAGGGGGCGGCTCGGTGATTTTGCCCCGCACGGCCTCCCCAACGGGCTCGTCACCGGGCGGCAGCAGAGTCGCCGGCGGGGAGAGTGACGTCCCGTCCCCGCCCAAGTCAGAAATGGGGTCATGCCAAATAAGGCAAGCTCATGAATATTAATATTCCTGGGGTCGCAGAGTAGAAGATGCGGGCTTATTCGGCAGGGGTAAGGGGTGGAGAAGGAATTCGGAGCCGCTGCCCCTGCCATGGGAGGATGAGTTTGATCCAGCCAACATGATTTCCCCCATATTGTTACTCCCAGATACTGTGGTAATGTTTTGGGTGGCTGCCCCCCATGATATGTTGTTTTATATAGAGACCACAGTGTATAATTCAAAGTTCTATGGAAGTCATACTCACTACAACTTACTAGTACATTTTGATAGGCTATCACAAAGTCTTGGTCTGATTAAAAAAAACATGCGATTATGAAAGATGCATTAGAATCAACTCATGGCACATGTAATTTCCCCAGGTTCAACCAGGTGGTGCTACAACCATCCTTTCTCCAGTTGTCACTTCCCCTACTCCAGTCATTGCTCAACAGGGATGACCTAATGGCCAAGTCAGAAGACGACATTGTACAAGCTGCTCTGAGATGGATCGAATTCAACAAAGAAGACCGCTTGCAGCACCTTCCTGCTCTGTGCAAGTCCTTCCGTCGTGCCTTTATCAGTGCCAAACAGCGTGAGGAACTCCAGAGTAGATGCCCGTCTTCTGACTGCCAGTTGGTGTACAGTGACAGGAAAACCAAGCGCCTGGGACAGACACAAACTGAGATGCCCATTATCCTGGGAAATTACTTTTTCGAGTTCAGCAAAGATAGAAATGCTGTTTGCTACGACCCTCTGAAGCGCAAGTCATATGTAATGAACATGCCTGATGACCTTGGTTCTTACTCACTAGCAGTGACACCTACTGATGACCTGTACTTGGCAGGTTGTGTGAGGGTCGCAAATAGAGGAAAGGACAAAGACAAAGCCTTCTTTCAATTCAATCACCAGAAGAATGCCTGGGAATCCAGATGTGACTTGATTTCCCCTCGCATAAGGTAGGCACTTTCAATACAGCCTGTTGCTTGCAAGACCTATGCTTGGGGAGTATACACACTTTTGTCCAATTTGTCCATTCTCACAACTTCTCACAACTCACTGGAAGACATATCCAGACTACGCATGATGTACAAAATGACTAATATAGATATAGCCATGCCTTCAAGGATTGAGAAATTCATTCTTTCCTAGAACTATTGACAGAGTGGATCTCACTGTCACCAAGTACAGTTAGATGTTCAAAGGTTAGGTGTAACAAGTCATTCGGTGTAATGTAGCCAGCTGGTGTGTTGCACCGAAGAATGGTTATACCGGCTATACATAATCATACAAATCAAGCAAGGCAGGAGTTTAAAAATGCAGGAATAGTGGTAGAGATTAAGCATTGGTGGACACATCTTGTTTAAATCAACCTTAGAAGACATTTGGGTTGCATATATATGGTGATTGGGTACATAATTGGTACAGTTGATACACTGTATTAGATAAACATCATAGTCTTGCATCTTTTTTTCCAGTTGTGGACTGGTTCATCTGAACGGGTACATCTATGCCATCGGGGGTGACAAGAAGAATAAAACAGCTGAGAGGTATGACCCTAGCCATGATGAGTGGACGTCCATCCCACCCATCCCCTATCCCATGCCCGTACAACCCACTGCCCACCCAGACCCCAACTGGTCCTCTGTGCTTCGTGCTGTGGCCCTGGATGACAGCGTGTATGTCATAACTAGCAAAGGCTGCTACCGGTTCAACACCACAGAAAACACCTGGAGCAAGACAGCAGACATGCTCGCCCCACCTCAACATCCCCAGTCTGTCACGTTCCATGGATCCATCTACTGTGTCGACAGGAGGAGCCGCTCGCCCTTCCATGTACAGATGTACGACCCTAAAGACAATGTGTGGAAACACTCGGGGAATGGTATGAGTTTCAATTGTAGCGATCTGATCCTGATGCCCCACAGTGGGTCTTTGTACCTCCTCACCCTACACAGCAAAGGTAAACAGGACATTGTCAATAAGTATGGGCAAACAGTTAAAAGGTTTTCTGAGATTAATGTCTTGAAGTACCAGCCTGAGACAGACACTTGGCTGAAGCCAGAAGGCAAGGTCATGAAATTCGACCCCATGTGGTTCCAATCCGCACACAGGAAGGATTGCCTGGTGGCAAGAGTGGTCCCAAAGCGCCTGGGCTACATTGAGGTGACGGATGAAGAGGATGAATGGGAAGATTTTGAAGAGAGGGATGAGGATGATCTTTATTGGGAATATGATGACGAGGAGTATAGCTCCGACTATGAGGAATGCTGGGAAGAAGATGACAGTGATGAGTCATGAAGACAGTTACGATGAAGATAACTACGATGTCAGATGAAGACAAAGACAAGAATGAGGACTGAGATGGAGAATGGAAGGGATAGTTGTGACATGGACTCATAAAGCTTTGTTGTCCAAATTTGTAGCAGAGTCAGAGAATTGCTTGAAAGCTAGCAGGAGTTTGAAAGGTTCTTAACAGTCTTAACATACATGTTTGTGTAAGAAACATATTTGCCCTAAACAATGGCAGTATGTTGGTTCTTTTATTCTTACACTTGTCTTTGTTACAGATCTTGCATCAATAAGTATTCAGGAAGATCTGTATCCTTTGGAACACTAAAAAAGGTCATTGTAAATACAGTGTAACATTACATGTAATTTGTAGTTCAAATTTTTTCTTTAGCTAAGGTAGTTTTATAACACAAGGATAGATATTATAGTAGTAGGAGTACACTGATGTGTAAACGTTAAGCTTTTGTTCACTGTATTCTGTTCTGTTGGCAGTTGACGTTGACAATGTAGATTTTAGTACACATGTATTTGAAATACAATAATGAAGTTGTTGAAGTAGAATAGCAGTACAAATAAGGACAGAGCATTCCAATAGCCAAAATTAGGATTGTCATTTGTTGAAAACCTCTTTGTAACCATCTTGAATGTAGGGTCACACCAATTTAATCAATAGTATTGGTTGTTGGATACGACAAGCAGGCAAGCAAGTAGTTTACAAAAAACGTTTCAAGTTCCCCATATGTAACATGTAACATGTTGTGTGATTCTTGTTGATAGATAAATTTATATAGTTATATTCTTTTTAAGTTTCAGGCAACTCATGACTAAATCCATTGCCTGGTTGGTAACGTTAATGGTATACATGATTATCATGTATTATTATTATATTCCTTTAACTGATCATGATGTCCTGATTATCCACCTCACTACCGTACTCTGGGAAATCGGTGACATATAACGTTACGCCAGGAAATGTTTTAATCGGGCCTGTTTTTGGCCACTGGGAAAGGCCAGAAGGGTTTAATTCCCATTTCGATTCACAACTGTCTGTTACGTACGCGGAACCAGGCAAAAAGTACTTGAACGTCGTGCCGACAGTGTGTGGAAAAAGTTCATAGGTCAAAGTTCGTAGAGAGGGCGCTTCACCCACCCGCCGGCCGCTCCACATCCAAACTTAACGAGCTTTTGCTTCTTCGATCTTTGATCCTAAAATTTCGCTAATAATGGACGTAAGAAACAACGAGCACCCCAGTAAGGTTCTTTGTGAACTGAACACTCTTCGGGAGCGGGCAGAGCTGACTGACGTGGTTCTGGAGGTGGAAGGGAGAAGGTAAGTAAGAACGGTGGGGGAGGGGGGCAGTTCGCTTTTGCACACACTTCAATTTGTAGGTCTAGCCGCGGCGACTGTTGCAGGGCATCTCTTGCTTGCAGTCTTTTACATTAGCCCTAACAACAAGGCTACTGTAAAGTCCGCGACGACTGTTGCAGAGCTTCTCTTGCTTGCAGTCTTTTACAGTAGCCTTGTTGTTAGGGCTAAGACTGCAAGCAAGAGAAGCCCTGCCTGCAACAGTCGTCGCGGCTACTGTAGGCCGAAAAAGCGCATGCCCACAAAGGCCCATAAATGCCCAGCCCAGACTCGACAAATAACAAAGCCAAGCCAAGGCAGGTTGTGTAATCCTGGAGATCCAAGTTTCAGATCTGTAAGTAGTCAATGTAACATAATTTCAATTTGCGTCGAAAAAGCGCATGCCCACCCAGAAAACGTCAAAAAAGCACACGCTCACGATATCTCACTTTGTACACAATGGATCTTGAAAAAATTACATTATGTGATCCTTAAGGTCTCCTCTATTTGTCCACAAAGTTTCAGGTCTGTAACCTGAGTTGCGAAAGGACAGAAAAAGAGGGAAAATTACCTCAGCGTCGCAGGACGACCCCATTTTAAAACTATTATGGTGGTCTCGGGTCATCAAATTTATGGCGGTCATCCTGCAACCCAGAGGTGCCTGGGGTAATTTTCGCTGGGCATTTAGGCAAAAGTAACGGGTTCCTTTCTCAGCACTAGGTGTACAGATAGAGGTGAGGCGGCTTCCGTCCTAGACCTCCAGTGCCGAATTCCGAAGTTACATCATCACTTGGTGTCTAGTGTTGGCAGCTTCAGCACTGGAAACTCCGAATCGGCAAATCAAACCTTGACTTTAAAAGGGGTACCAGGATGCTGCCTTTGAACTCAGACACTCATATTTTTAAAAAACATAGCGCCCAGGAAGCAAATTATAATCAGGACAACAAGATGATCGGCATAACAGGACTGCACGGCCTCTTTCCTCACATTTTTAAAGACGTAGACTTGGCTTACGATATTGTGCTGTACGCCCGTGGCCAACGTAAGCACCAGAAGCCCAGTGCTGAAATGATTAGAGAACTCGGCTTCTAGCGCCAAGAGTCACCGAGCACTGGAACGATTCAGTGAGGAACCCGTTACTTAGGTACTTAAACACTTGCTATCCAGTTGTGAGTGTCGACCTCCTAGCACTGGCAATCGAGTGCCGAGTGGAATTTAGCGCTGGAGTGCCGAGTCAAGATTCAGCTCTGGAATTCCACTTCTGGCTTCAGCATTTAGGAGGGCCTGCATGCCCTTTTTCGTTAACCGTTATGGGCTATTTTAATTTACCGTTAATCGTTACCGGCCTGCTCTAATTCAACGTTAAGCGTTATCGGTATATTCATCTTGAAGCGTTATTGGTCGTTTTAATTCAAATTTCCCAGGGGAGAATGCCCCCGGACCCCCTTACATTGCTCGCGCCTTTGGCGCTCGACTCGCGCTTCTGCGCTTGGTCCCCTTCGGCTCTAGCCAGCACCAGTTTTTCGTCAATTACCGGAAGTTTGCGGAGAGTTACAGAATTTTTTTAAAGAATCCGTCAACCTTGACAGACAAAATTAACAAAAATCTTGAGTAAAAATATGAAAACATCAGAAGGACCGACAAACACTCTCAACGCCATGATTTGCCTCTCAAAATGCGGAAAATTGCATTTTTGAAGGCTTAAAAATCCTCAATTTCCCGGGGAGCACCCCCGGATCCCCTTGGATTGCGAGCGCCTCAAAATCCATTGGTAAAACTGTGCGGATGGAAAAAAGTCAAGCTGGGTTGAGCCTTGGCCGACGTATTTAGGGGACCAGGGCAGGTGGAAAACACCTGTCAGTGATCACCTTTTCTCACAAAGCGAGATACCAAAGCCAGTGCAGCTCGAAAAAAAGCCTGTCAATTTACCGTTAAGCGTTGCCGACCGTCCTGAATTTACCGTTAAGCGTTATCGCCCCTGCTGAATTTACCGTTAAGGCGTTAACCGTTGCCAGGACCCCCCCATGCAGACCCTCATTTAGGGGCCTTTGTTGGCATGCGCTTTTTTGACGGACCCCTTCGGTCGCTTAGCTTAGCTACATATACGCACGTAAAGTTTTATTGCATTAATAATATTCTGAAATTCTTATAACTGCTCTGATCTGAGGACTGCCGAATACAGGAAAGTACAAAATGGTAGATATCCTGGTCTGGGTGTACCAGTCTACGTTGGGTTGAGTGGGCTCTCTTCGGATGATATCGTGGGTGGGCTTAAAAAAAAGCTAATACTTTAAAGCAAAACTCTGGGAGCCTACTAGTAGTTGAGCTGGGAGGCGGGGAACTACTAAAGGTCCGAATGGAAGAGAGCCCACCCAAAGTGGCCTGGCGCTAGGCTAATTCGGTCGGTATCTTCCTCCCCCAGTTTCCCATGCCATCGCGCCATCTTGGCATCGTGCAGTCAATACTTCCGTGGCATGTTCACCAGCGGCTATGCAGAGACCAAACAGGACAGGATCACCATCCAGGATGTGAATGGGGTAGCCATGGCAACCATTCTGGACTACGCCTACACCGGCTGTCTTCAGATGGAGCCAGACCAGGTCCAGGCTGTGATGTCTGCAGCCAGACTGCTCCAGGTAAAGCTATTGCTTCTATATCATATCAAGAAATTTCAAGTTTTTTTACAATCCTTGAATGAGTCAGAGTTAGGATCAGGCACAGTTCTGGATTAGTCTCCACGTATCCAAGAACATAACAGTTAGATTTGCTCCAGGTACAGTTCAGCATATGCGTCACAGCCGTCACTATTAATAGTATTATGAACCCACTGTGAACCATTTGTCTACTACCACACAAGATCCCCCTATCTTAGAAGTAGAGCTGTCCTTTTACAGAACCCCCTATTGTAGAAGTAGAGCAGTCCAACCTAGGACCCTCACTCTGGTGCTAGCCTCCACCAGGCCTTTCTACAGGAATACGGATCGTACAATTCAGCAAAAAAAAGAGAGTAAAATTGGCAAAGGGAGTCTGGCCGCAGGGAGGTAGTTTCGTTCCCTCCGAAGCCAGTCAAACCTAGCTACAAGGCGGCCAAACTCCCCTGGCAAATATATAGCCAGCATACATGTAGTTAGTCTGGTAGAGACTACTCTGCTGGTGCTAGAGTCCTGGAGGCAACACAATAAAGTACAAAGCTCCTCAAATTCAAAAGTCTAGTGTGCAACCAGTTCATTACAATATAATAATAGCAAGAACCTTTGACAATGCATCATGATCTTTCTTGTTGCACTACAATTTGGGGGTATGTAAAGTTCTGAGTACTCGAAGTCATTGCTCCCTCCGTATATAGACTCATATCATGCAGCTAGAATTTGTAGAAATGGTGGATCAGTTTGAAAAATGTATGTCCCTTGCAGGGGTCCACCAAAAGAAGGCTAGGGTCGGCAGTTTTTTCTAGGGTAGGTCAGGAAACAGGAAACACAACATTTTTTTACTTGCCTCACCTATCTACATACATTGTACTATTTTGAAACAACACTGTCCCAATGTATATCGACATGTATGGAGCAAAAAATGCCCCAAATTCTGACGAAAAATGGTTACTGGATCTGGGTTGATTTTTAGTCACCGTACCACCAAGAAAATAAAGGACCATATCTTGGGGCTTGGTTCTAAAGTTTTTAATTATGAATAAGTGGCTAACAAGTATGAAATACTGATTGAATGATGCTAATGTGGGACAGTATGCGTCAATATCATACAGATTGCCTTATTCAGAATATTTCCAGTTTTGCCCCCCTGAAATTGCATTGGATGTCTTTAACATGTTTTTTGCCTCTAGTTGGATTTTGTAGGTCATAAGACAGCAGAATACATGAAGGACCATTTGGACGTGTCCAACTGTGTAGATGTGTTGATGTATGCTGACATGCTGGGGGACGTTGCTCTAGTGGAGGCTAGCGAGTGGTACATTGCATCCAGGTCAGTCCAATGGCTGTTAACTACATTATGTATGTGTACTAAGTACATGTGGCAACCTGTACTTTGTACATATAGAACAATATTTTTTTTAAATCCATCAAATCTAGAAATTCGACCATTGACTGTATTGACACTCTTATCCCATGCTACATGGTCTCAGGAAGCTACTAGTCCATAGTACATGTATGTTTGTTATATAGCAATTTTGTACAAGTTTACACATGATGATATAATGAACTGCACTCATTTGAGTTGAAAGGCCCTTTTTTTCATCAGATATATTGGGATAGAAAACCTGCTGTCAGTTTTGGGAACCATTACGCTAGGGTGCAAGGCGCTGCACTGAAAAACACAGCTGTGCAGCTTTAACCTTTTATCTTTATCTGTCAATATTAAGGCTCATGTTGTGCAGGTTTTTGGTCGGTCAAACTATTACCAAAGGTATGTGCGACTTTACATGGACCATAGGTCTGAATTAGGACCCCTCCCGTTACATGTTATACCACAAGGATGTTAACTTTAAAAAGAATACACTCACAATGTGTGTGTGTCTTAACATATTTGAATCCAATCCTGTTGGACATGTAACTCTCTCAGGTTCAACCAGGTGGCATTGCAACCATCCTTTCTCCAGTTGCCACTTCCAAAGCTCCAGTCATTGCTCAAGAGGGATGATCTAATGACCAACTCTGAAGACAACGTTGTACAAGCTGCTCTAAGATGGATTGAATTTGACCAAAAGGAACGCTTGCAGCACCTTCCTAAACTTAGCCCGTCCTTCCACCATTCCTTCATCGGTTCGAACCAACTTGTAGAACTTGAGAGTAAGTGCCCATCAACAGACTGCAAGTTGGTGTACAGCAACAGTACAGTCAAGCGTTTAGGACAGACACGAACTACAATGCAGATTCTCCTAAAAGAAGGAGACCATCAGTCCCAGCCAACTGCTCGTTGCTATGACCCGTCCACAGGCACATTGTACTCAATTAATCTGCCTGACAACCAGGACAGTTTCTCTGTGACAGTGACTACCGAGGATGAGCTGTACCTTGCAGGGGGCATACATGTAAGCCCTGGGCTTGGTACTAGGGAGACTATCAGGAAGAAGTCATTTTACCAGTACAACCACCTGCTAAACACCTGGGAGCCAAGGTGTGAGATGATCTCACCCAGAGTTAGGTAGGTCTTTTTTTGTACAACTTAGGCCACACCAATTTAATTTCTTGGTTAACGGATTTTTCTAGAAAAATAATGGAGCGGGCGGGCGAAAAAAATAAAAACAGGCCTAGGCATCCTAGTATGGCCCAAAATGGTACGATAGGAGCCATGACGTGAACACACCAGGCTGGTTAAAAATTTAAACAATGAATTTTGAACTTTTAATGATACCACTGCATTGGAAGATGGAATGACTGTAACAAGTGGTAAGAAAAGGACTGTTTTCAACTGTTAAGGGCAAAATATGAGCATTTTGCACTTGATTCTGAATTTTTATTTTTATTTGCAAATCAGAAAAAAATGAAGCGGCGAATCCGTTAACCAAGAAATTAAATTGCTGTGGCCTTATAATTACTACTACAAGCTTCTGCTTTCTTGCCTCAAGGGCATACATTATTTAGTTTTTTTCATGTTTAGTTCTGAAGATGTGTATGCACAACTTCAGAAGCCTTTTAAGCTCATGTCTTTACCAATTACGTAGCGGCCAAACCCCCTATTCATACTAAGCCTTCTAAATTAGATTCAGGGCCAAATCCACATAAGCAGGATTCATGACTAAACGAGGCTCTGTCTGAATGCTCAAAGTCACATTGAAACCAGCTTGATCCCAAACCACCTCTTGTATTTGTCTTCCTAGGTGTGGTCTGGTCTATCTGAAAGGGTTTATCTATGCCATTGGAGGTGACAATAATGAGGAAACAGCAGAAAGGTACAACCCAATCTGTGACGAGTGGACATCCATCCCACCCATCCCCCACACGATGTGCTCTGACCTTTGTGCTGTGACACTTGACGACAGCATCTATGTTATCAGTAGGGAAGGCTGCTACTGCTTTAGCCCCACAGAGAACAAGTGGAACAAGACAGCAGACATGAATTACCCACCACTGCATCCCCAAGCTGTCTCACATCAGGGAAGCATCTACTGTGTAGACTGTGACAAAGAATGGGGAGACTCTTCCTCAACTTGTGTAGAAGTGTACAACCCTACAAGTGATGAGTGGAAGTGCTCAGAGAGTAGCACTTTCACCTTTGACACAGCAACCCTGATGATATATGAAGATGCCGTGTACCTCTTCACTGTAGTCAACGAGGCAATTATAGTTAAGATAATTTATGTTTTCAAATACCATCCAGAGACAGACCATTGGCAGATTCAAATAGGGAACAACATGCTGGTTCGCGCTGTGAAAGGATGGTTGGGTTCCGAGAGTAAGATAGATTGTCTTACAGCAAGGATGATACCGACGTGCCTGGGGAAACCAATCGCAGACCAGGACATGTGGCAACTTTCTTATGGTGGAGGGGGAGTATGTCCGAGCGATCAGGACATAGCTCAGAGGACGATGAGGATGACCTCTCGTACCAAGACAGCTACAGTGATGATGACAACAATGATGATGACAGCAATGACGATGACAGCAATGACGATGACAGTAATGACAATGACAACAATGATGCTGATGATAGTAATGACGATGACAGCAATGACAATGATTTCAATGACGATGACAACAATGATGCTGATGATAGTAATGACGATGACAGCAATGACAATGATTTCAATGACGATGACGATGACAACAATGATGCTGATGATAGTAATGACGATGACAACAATGACAATGACAACAATGAGAGTGGAAGAGACAATGGTGACATTTGAGATGTTTATGGCAAAAATCTACTAAATGTGTCAGCAATGATAGGATCTTAAAACAGCAAAAGAGAATTTTGATATGGTAAAATGAACACAAACGTGACATTCTTGATGTTCCTGACCCCACTACCAGTGAACTAGCCCTCTACTATTATAGTGTCTTGTTTGTCTTCTATAGAAACTAGAGATGGACGCTGCCCCTATACACCAAAAGCTCTGGGAAGGATTTTACACTGTAACTTACATTTTATCATGACTTATCTAGATCTATTTACTTGTGTTGTAGATCTCACACAATAGGTGAAATTTCTGAATCATTCACATGTAGTCAGGCAGCATCGGTGTGCTGTAATATGTTCCATTTATTCTACACTTTGTAAGAATCTACTTTCTAGTACTGAGTAATTCATTTCCTGTACAATATTGTAATGGCCATAATGTGGATTGATGTATAATGTAACTTTTACCTTATAATCAGTAAAGAGTTGCTGTCAACAAGCTACCTCAGTAGATAGGTGAATACAAGATCAGTGTTTGCTTGTGTGCAGTGAATACAAGATCAGTGTTTGCTTGTGTGCATTGAAGTACCTTTCAGTGTAGAAAGATAATATTGTGTTGAATCATGTATACATTCCTCTCAAGAGTCAACATCAAGAAGTAGAGTGCTTGCATGCTTAGATTTATTTCATTGGGTTGAAATAAGTACTAGCCTTTCTACATTTGTTTTAGATTTAAGAACATCACCAATGTCTTAATTATGATTAAAATGTTAGTATTAAATCTTTGCCATACACACATGTATTCTCATTGATACTGTTACAGTAACTGTGTGTACAATGATCATGACACAATAATATCTTAAACTCAATAGGATTCTTACTCCATGTATTTCTACCATACATGTTTGTACCTGCTGCATGTCTAGATGCTACATGTAGCCCAGGGTTTGACTTTCTAGTCTGATGGTTATTTGTCTGTTTCTCAAATAATGATGTACATTTTGCAATACTGTACATTCAATTTCTTTGAACATCAAATAGTGTTTGCAAAAAGCAATGTGAAATTCAAGATTTCAGATTTGATTTACATGTCTTGGGGGTAACAAAATGATGGTGGCTACTCTCTTTGTACAATGTTAGCATGTCAGCTTTGGATCAAAGCAATAATCACTGATGAGAAGAATTTACAATATTAGTTCTGGAAGTGACCAAAACAGTAGAATAAGTGACATCAGTAGACTGATCAGTTTTACTACGAATGATGCAGTCACTTCCTTCTGGTTCTGGCTGGCAGAGGAGGGGCTGTAGTGTTGGTTACTGCTGTCACTCCCACCTGTTGTTGCTATAAACGGAATGCAGAAAAAGTTCACTTAATAAGCAATCTACTTAACTAGTATGTAAGTAAACTGGGTGATAGTGGATGGGCACTTTAGACAATCAGGGAGATTTGAATGGACATTTTCTTTCACCCAACAAGACCCCCTATTATAGCATGCTGTCAGAATGTACTATGCCAGCTGTGCGAATCGTGGATTTTCCTATTGCAGACGATCTTTTATGACACAGCATTTGAAAACTATACTTGTCTAGTAGATAGAACGTCATCCTTGAATATGCGAACACGACCTTTACAAGCTTTATTGTACAGGACCTGGTGCAGTATGGTCTGCTGATTTGACCCATAACGTATTACCTGGTTCTTTAGTAGTGTCTGATAATGCAAGTGTTTGCCTTGCTGGTTGCCAGAGTCACGTAGTGCTGTGTAGTTCCTCTCTGGCAGGGGTGGTGGGACGGAGACATCTCTGTGTAACTGGAGATGGAGTTAATGAAAGTTTTATCAACCACCAGTACACAGAAGCGAACATTCTTCTATAGCAAGATGGTGTACAGTCAAAATTGCCCAAGAAGACCACCAGTCAAAGGACTGATAAACTATAATCATTAGTGTCATCGTCAGAAGTGACGCATGATGCTTTTTTGAGTAGCTATACAAGGATTTTTGAGGGGTTGCCTAGGTGGTCCTTATGTAGCGGTGGCCACTTTTACAGGTTTGGCTGTATTATCTGAGGATAATGTTGTGAGTGGGGGTGGGTAGTATTGAGCATGAGAATTATGCATCATTACAATGTTGCAACAAATTTTTTTATTTCTACAAGTACTTGCTCATTATGACTCAAGCTATACTACATTTGCTACATATATATTTGCAAAAGTTTGTGTACAACTGCAACAGTGTTGTATTGTTTCTCCATTTTTAAGAATAATATTGTAACCCTATGTAATGCTTGCAGATCGATGGAGAGCAACTCAAGATTTTTACCAGTAAAACCTTCTTCCTAACCCTTTTACAAGTGCAAATTTGGTGCTACAATGCTACCTAGTAGTTCTAAAGCTGTAACAAAACATATCTTACTGCACTTCCATATGGTTTTGTTTCCTCCTCCACTCTGACCAGACTGTACCGGTTCCCAATCAGAAGTTCAGCATAATCCTCTTCTCCCTCAACCTGGAGTCATATTTCAGTTTTTTCGTAGTTAGAAACATCTATTAGGATATCTATATAAATTAGTATATAGTATCTAACAACGTTTAAATTTCATTCTAACAAAATTATATGATTTATGAACAGATTGTGTTGAAATCAGCAGTGTGTATTAATCTACAATACTCACCTGACCACAAGGTTCTGTCAGGAGGTCACCTGTCAGAGGGTTCTAAAGTTGGAAAAAAAACAAATTTTCTCTACATTGTACACAAAGTGGCATATAATAATAACATTTCCAAAATTGTTACAATATACCGCTGTTAGTTCTTTATTGTTCTGGAATATTCACTGATTCTATGTTGTATATGTAGTTATAGGAAGATAATCTTCATGGAATCTTTTTTGTTACAAAAGTAGCTGATGCCAGGTTTTGTCAGGAGAAAATCATTTCCCAACTTTCTTCTGAATATCTGGGGGACTTGAAAGGATGAACAAACCTTCCTGTAGTAGTCCACTAAAGCTGACAGGGACACGTGTACTTTGGGCTCCCCAACAACCACGTACTTGCCGCTGGGCAGCTGGTCAATCATGAAGTGTTTACACCGGCTGGATATCCTGGAGAAGAAGATTGAGACATGCAAAGAAAACAATGACAGAAAAAAAATTTCGAGCAGATCAGATGATTTCAAATTTTTTGGCATGTCTGTGAATAGGTTTTCAAACAGTTTTTCGTTATCATATAGCCTACATGTAGCTCTTCCTAAACCACATCACCAACATGATAACAACAGCTTATGGTCAAAGGTGAGTGCTTGCCTGTTAGATATTGTTATGATCAAAGGTCAGAGCTCACCTGTTGGATCTTATGGTCAAAGGTCAGAGCTCATCTGATTTTTTCATGGTTAAAAGTTGGAGTTCACCTGTTAGATATTGTTATGGTCAAAGGTCGGAGCTCACCTGTATGTCAGGGAGTAGCCAAACCTGCTCTCGCTGACACGGATTAGGAAACAGCCCAGGGGCTTGTCCTGTAAGAGTCGCTCGGAGTCCCTGTGTTTACAACAGGGCAATTAGCAGTATTACTCGATACGTGTTAGATTTAAAACTAATTCAAGAAATAAGTTTCCAATCTATTATACAAGGCATATTTCTTGGACCATGCCTAGTCTTAAAAAGATAAAAAAGTATACAATTTTCTAAGCATCATGGTCACTAAGAAATCAACCAATGAGTAGCATCTCATCATACACAAGTGTAGCTTATTGACATTAAATTGAATATGCCCTTAAATGACAGAGATTCTAGACAGTCAGATGGTGTCTCCAAATACAGTACTGAATAACTTACCTTCGAGTGATGATCCCGTGGAACCAGGGTGCAAACGTTCTGCTGTCCTGCATCACTGCCTTCTGCTGAGTCTCCCTGAACCAGCGGACAGATGCAGCCCTGGTCCCCTCCTTACCCCACCTTTAACACAGTTATAACACAAGTTACACTGCTGGGTCTCGACCAGTGGACAGGTGCAGCCCTGGTCCCCTCCTTACCCCACCTTTAACACAGTTATAACACAAGTTACACTGCTGGGTCTGGACCAGTGGACAGATGCAGCCCTGGTCCCCTCCTTACCCCACCTTTAACAAAGTTGATATAACATCACATCTGTATGCTCCCTCGTAATTAGCCTTTGGGCAAAAGTTCATTATATGGTCATATTACATACAGATGATACATAATATTTTCCTGTAAGAAATCATCACCAGACCTGTTCTTGCTGCTAATGGGTCCTGTAAAGTCATCCTCTACGATTTCCTCATCAGAGCTCAGGTTATCCTTCACATCAACCTGGACAGTCACAACAGACAGAATGCATACATGGCTTATACATAATGTTAAAAAGTTTAAGAATGGGAGTTGTTGATAGCAGGATTATGGTTCATGCTAATAGGAAAAGTGCATAAATTAATTTTGATGCTTATGTTAGGAGCAACAATTTCTGTGTGCAGAATTACTGTACCAAGTTTCTCAACTGAAATGACATGGCTAAAGCATTTTCTAGCACCGCATGATATTGGCTGTATCATGTCCCAAACAAGTACATTAAAACTATACATTATGTAGATTATAACTATACAATAAAGATGCATGAAGCATTTATCAATAAACTTTATATGGTCTACCCAGACCTGAGTCTCTGTATCTTGTGGCAGATGTAGGTAATCAGCCATGTTGTTTGCCACCTGCTGCACAGCTGCTGCATCTGCAGGTGTCATTTCAGCTGTCATTCCACCTGCTACAGCTATAGTTGAAGAACATATGATTTAGCACTGGTGTGCTTTTAGTCAGTACTGCTGCTTGGATTCTAGTATGTTGCACTCAGCTGTTGAATATTGGGACCAAATATAACATTACTTATATTAATAGTAAGACTAACTAGTCGTATCCTAAATGCCTTTCCCTGCTGCACAGACAAACTTCACAAGAACTCATGAGTAAACATTTATGACTTCTTAGAAAAAATTTCAAGAATGGATTAGGCAAATTCTTGAAGTGGGCATAAGGGAATTCCACTAGCACTACAAGGCATGTAAACAGCAACCCACGGGGTGGTGCAGTTTCATCCCTCTCTGCTAGATGGCGCTGCCTCTGGAACGCATCCTCTATGAGTTGCTCAGTCTGGTTCAGGAAGGTTACAGCAGCTGCCGCTTGCTTATTGGCTAACTCTCTCAGGTGTGCCACCTTCCTGCGGGCAAGGAGGCCTCGCACACCTGTAATCACAAGACAAAAACATCTTCCAGCAATTGTATTAGCTATCTAACTTTAAATCAAAGTTTAAACTCACTGTGAATCAGTTATTGATAAGGGAATTCCGAGATGCAAGTTACATGCTTACTAATACAAAGGATGGGTACACAGGTCTGACATAGATTGATGTACTGATATATTGATGGGTCCCTGCATGGAGATTACAAATTACGCAAAATTTTTCACCCGCGCCAATTACGATTTATGTTAAATTCTCGGATTTAAGGATTAACTTAAAGTTAAATCATAAAACTTGAATTACATTGAGTCTTGGAAGCCGTATATGAGCTACGAAGACTTGAAAGGCCTGATTACTCCTTACAAAAAAGTGTATGCAAAGCCCCATTGAACAAGATTTGCTGACCAGTTTGGATGTGGGTTGCAGCCAGTTCCACCTTCTGTAGCCTGGAGGCCAGCTCGTCTGTGTGCCACCACTTCAACAGTACCTTAGACTTCCTACAGCCAGACAGTGATTCATTGATTGATTTGAAAACTCATGCTGTCTAAGGTCAAAAGGGATGTAAAGGGGTTTAAAAATTTGTCAGATAAAGATCTAGAGATACGAAAAGACAAAGTAATTTATTGATAGTTAATTTTTCCCTACCCAATCAACCAGTCAGACAACCCAGCAGCCTTCAGTATCCTCTGGCACCTGGAGGTACACACGTCAGCAGCACTACTTATAGAGTCCAATTATTACACTTATTGATGAAGTTTGAAAGTGCTTTCTTCAGCAGTAATTAACTGCACTATTTTGCTCTCACAACTTTCTGTCAGAAGAGCCCCACGCTTGTTAACACCACGCCATTGGAAAAAGAGTAGACCAGGGGCATACCCATGGGTACGATGGTCCAAATAGTACTATCTGGATGTTGATAATTCACTAAAAATCGTGTATTAGCTACAGTATTCAAATCATCCCCCTGATGGAGACCAGGCAAACCCATCTTGTATCAACCAACAAAGCCTATATCACCCTATAAGGGGTGTACAACCCTGCTAGTTAACCACTTACTCACCTAGTAGTACTAGTACCTACATCTGTCACAGGAGCTGAATGGCCTTATCTTTTGAATTGACTCTAAACTGAAACTATCTTTGTTTTTGGTGCTGAAGTCTTAGTTGTTCTGAACCCTTGTATCACCACTGTCCCTGGTGCTGAATCACACTTAGGAGGTATGCTTTACATGCCACACTACAACATGTCACACTAACATGCCACACTACAACATGTACTCACCCATGTTGGTCCTCTGGTATTGAAGCAATGTCCCCCAAACTTCTGTACCTGTACTCACAAGAATACAATATCTTGCTGTTGAATCACAAACACTTGTTACTTCCACATCCCTGTAAAAATGTGGTTCACACATAGCCGACTATGGCCGCCTGACCTCTCCCTGTCCAAGTAGGCTTAAAACCTTGTCTGCAACACTATGAATTTCGGTTGGAAGCACAGTAGTCCTGAAAGTCATATTCCGCTTGGATACAATCAGAAGAAAAAGACTGGACCTAGAATAGCCATGCTGGGAAGGTCCTGAATCTGTGATGGGCTTTACATTTTATTCCCAGTCAACTACTACTACATACTGGCTGGCCAACAGTTCCAGGTTTGTACTGACCTCTGTACAAACTGTTGGAAGGGGATGCGCAGGGCATAGCCCTCCCTTCTGATGCGGATTGTCTCCATCATCCCTGTGTACTTTAGCTGGACAAGAAGAGAGCACAAAATTAGAAAACATCTTTTTTTGAGACAGTTACCACAATCTTCAAAAGTTTACTTTAGCTGGACAAGAAGAGAGCACAAAATTACAGTGTAGAAAACATCTTTTTTTGAGACAGTTACCACAATCTTCAAAGGTTTTGCTATCAAGAAAACCACTGTATGCAAAGATAACCTGAGCAGCCACTTCATCCTCCTGGAAGTTGTTTGGCTGCTTGAGGCCGTTGGGTTTGATGCAGCGGACAAAGTGAGGCCTGGCTGCTGTGATCCTCTCCACCAGAACAGCAAGGGAGTTCTGGACATGGCAGAATGGATGGAAGTTTCAATCAGCAACTTTGGCTCAGAAAAGTATGATTACAACTGTTTAACAGTTTAACAACTGTGGCATCAAAACTGATGGTATGAAAACTGCATATGCATGTGAGCATGCGAAAACAGCATACGGCAAATTTTTACTGCATGTAAATCGGCTCGCTTTTAAGTACGTCAAGAATTAGTAAGCTATTGTAATTTGTTTAATGTAAAAGTATTTAGTATCACGTTTGTGGCAATGGTAATGTTGCTTATTGTAGCAGGGCATAATATACAGACAGAGAATCACTTCTGTGAGTGTGCTAAAAGGTGTAATGTAGTCTGTTCATACAAATGATTCAATCAAATAAAAAAAGCTCTTAATACCTTAAACTGACCACCCAGTGTCAGCTGTTTTCCTCCTTTCTTGCCAAGCTCTCCAATTTGTCTACCCTATCATAGAATACAATGACAATTCATAGTTCAATTAATGACAAAAGACACAAGAAATCAGACCTCTATTTCTTAACTTATCCTTTCCTGTACCCACCACTGGTCTTTTGCTCAAACGGCGCCCTTTGGAGGTTTTGTGCTGAAGTGCAAGAGTGCCTGTCCGAGTGATGCTGCCTGAAAAACAAAGGCATCAAGAAAAATTGTTTAGCCCTGCCAATTGCATTGCACTACATTGGCATTTTTTAATTGACTCTCATTTCTACATTGAAGAACACAGAAGAACACAGTACATTGAACTAACCATTACAGATTGTGTTAATCAGGGGGTTGGAGCTGCGCTGTAGAAGAGACATGGTGTTGGAGGGCAGGGTGTCTCTGTTCTTCTCCAGCCAGCCAGTCACATTGTACTCCACCTGGCAGGCCAAGTAGGAAGTGCAGGCAAAAGACAACAAAAAAAACTTTGCAATAAAAATTGAGAGGTTGAGAGGTATACATTATAAAGTCTAATCTCTAAGGAAACTATCCAATATCACCGAAAAGGTGTACAGAAAGCTGCATGTAACGTTATATTTTACCTTGCCTGCATAGTGCGTGATAGTGAAGAGTGGACTCCTAGCCTGTTTGCCTGTTGTGAAATATGGGCTGCTGCCAACATTCTGGTTCAGCTTCTGCAGAAGTGTCAGGTCTGTACCCTAGGGAAGAAGAGACATGGGATGACTGCTTATTTAATACTTATCTATTCCATCTTTTCACATATTGATAGCCCCTTAACTTTAAAAGCCTCTTGTTGTCAACCATGTCAAGGCCACAAAATCTTCAGTCCGACATCTGAACATCATCACAACAGGTTTTTTTCTTGGGCCTTACCTGGGGAAAGAGGCTTTCTTCATCCAGAAGGGCCAGTATACCAATAGGCCGAGCCAACAGCAGGTTCTACAGAAAAAAAAAACATATATCTTGGAGTGTTATTATCCTGCCAAATTGTCTGGAGTGTTATTAATCAACGAGCATTTTACATCCATTGCAAAAGAAGCAATATTTTCTTCTTTTGTGACATTTGGTTTGCACCAAAATATCATTTTTGTTCAGCAGTTTTCAAATACAAAACAAGGACAAATTATTATCATAGTTTGAAAGTTCATCTAGCAGTGTTGGTAGATTTAGTCATACCAAGGGTGAACAGTTGTAATTGTCAACACAAGAAATTGACATTTATGGTCCAATTACATTGAATGTATTTGTATGAATTCCAACCTTTATTCAGAATTATGTTACTTTCAAAGACATTTGAAACTACCAAATATCTTATAACCAACTCTCAGTTTGAAAGAAAACATATTCAACAGTGAAACTGCACACAACATTGTGGGATATGAAATTTTGATCAAAAGTTTTGATGGATTGAAGTCTTCTTTCAGGACCCCATCTAGTCCTATTGCTCCCAGGGGATCCTTCTGAGGAAATAATCATGACTTGGTACTGACACATTCTGACCTGCTGCAATGTTGATACATCCCAGTGAGCCATAACTGATGAACAACTAATAATGTGATCATGTATATTGCAACATCATGACCCAATTTCATACTGTTAATGTCATAGATATCCCCCTCTATACCCCAAGGAGGACAAAGCCGTAATCCTGTTTTCTTGTGCAGGAGTGAGAATTACGCAGGAAATAATCTGGTATTAAAACTATTTGTCACAGGAGAATTGCTTCAGCTACACAAAACACCCATGATATTACTGGACATGATTTCGTAAATAGACATTTCCACTACTAAGATTTTCTGACGCTGTTGATACAGTGTATATTGAGATATGTTGTTAATGACACTTGCTTTACACTTCTACTATATTCTTCCTTGCTCATGCTGTCATGCCTAATCAAAAGAAAAAAACTGGTTTGATAAGGTGTACTCATTGGTGACATTGTAATCTATTCTTGCTTGTTGCACTTAAAACTTTATACATTTAGTCCTGTTTGACATTTTGATTATATTCACCTTTGGCTGCAATTATGCTATTCTAGACCAAGAGAAGATGACCCACATGGGACCTGCAAATTGTGGCAACTTTCAAACCAACACGTACTGAAATTAACATCCAATGTAACAGACTTGGAAAAATGTCAAGAGATTCCCTCAGTGACCATGCAACATACATGGATTAGACTGAATGTCATGACATTTTCCCAGTGAATGTTGTTACATAAGTTATATGTATTACTGTTAAAGGTCTAGCAGCAATAAACTTTAGCCACTACATGTATATGGTGGTAGCTAGTTTTGGCATTTGAAGTTATGATCCATAACACATCAGCCTGGAAATCATAATGTTGTAACATTTACGGCCTACAAGTAAATTAAAAGTACATCATGCATTCAGTAACTAGTACTAAGTATGTTAATTCATATTTCATGGCATGGCATTTTATGGTTCTTAAGTCATTTGTAGTTTTGTGACTTCTGGCCTATCAAGATGTCTTTTGGTTTTTAAACAAGATGAGACAAATAGTGTCAGTTCTCATCAGTTAACAGATTTGTGTATCATGTGAACAAGTACTCCAGTTGGAGTTATCAGTAACTGTAGTGGTAATAGTAGTAATAGTGACAGTAATAATAGCATTAGTAGTGGTGATAGTAATAGTGGTAATAGCTATAGTAGTAGTAAAGGCTGCCATTGGTTATCCCAGAAAACAAACTTCTCACCAGGACAGGCTTGTTGTCAGTGAAGGTGATGGTGGACCAGCTGACTCCTTCTCTCTGGTACTCCTCCTGCTCCAGGAGGAAGATGTGCTGCAAACACAGAATTTTGTCTATTTATTTATCTACCTTAGATACATACATGTAGCCACTTCATCTGCTTTGCAATGATGTCCTTAACAGGTTAACAGAATACAAACTTAGAACTTCAAGGTATTGTAACTATTAAGTACCTGTAGTAACTGTTGAATTATGATCAAATATGACAAGTCCTTCAAAAACTCGAAACAACAATAGCAACTCAAAATCATAATGCATGGCCATTCAAATAGATATGCCAAAGAAACCTATCTATTCAATGGTCTTTCGTGGCCAAAGGTCATATGGATCCTGATTTTAGAGCTTATTTGGAACTTTAAAGGTTCAAAATTAAGTTACAGGTACTGATAAACTATCAAATAAACACTGAGTCAGGTTTCCATTCTTCTATGAAAAAACATGCCACATTTGTTTACCTGGTTGAAGAAGTATTGAAGTTGCTCATTAGCCAAGTTGATACACAACTGCTCAAAACTGTTGTGTTCAAAATGTTCAAACCCAAAGATATCCAGCACCCCTGCAAAAGGTTTAGAAAATGAAATAGTTCAAGGTATACAAGAGTTTCAGCATACCATTGTCATAGAGTAACAACACTGCTTACTTTTGTTCAAAATATATACTATTAGGTATTCTCTACGTTAAGTTGCAGTACATTTATAACACTTTTCAGAAAGAGCTCACAATAATAAACTAGTATCAAAGATGATGATGACAATGATGATGATGGAAAATATTCTACTATGTATTAATCACATTGAAGCTGCTATGATTTCATATTTTTCGTACAAACTTCACTTTTTTTCACAATTGCTCTTTGTAAAGCAGAATACAGAATTCTAGAACCTTGTACTTAAAACCACACACAGGCTTTGGCACAATATCTTTTTTTTTTGCACAATATCTAAATTTTCAAGTAACAGAACAAGCCAACATCTTGACTTTCCAGAGTCAGTGTGCCATACTGAGGTGCATTCACACCATTTATGAAGCTGAGATGTATCACTCTGGTGTATATAGCCGGAAACCCCTTCCCCACATATTTCCCTCAGGAATATGGTTTCCTGGGCTCAAGATTTGTCTTGTGCTGATGACTTCCCATGGAAGGCCAAATCACCAGGATATCAGCACCAAGGGCAGCACTAGTGCCAGTTCTGTCTCTCCTACAATGATGGACAGCAAATATGGAAATAGTGGTTTCTACTCAAAATTTGACAGACAATCCTTGCAAGATGTAACATATTCTTCATCTGTCTTTCTTCTGGGAGAGCTTGTTGAACAGTGTTTGATTTTTGGAAGTCTGTTGAATGATTCCAACAAAGAGGTTATGACAGTGCCTGTTTGCCTTTTTTCAGAAGGCAGACAATAGTTTTCCCCAAGCAAGGCTACAGGAAAAGAAGCCAAACATCTGATTTTTCTAGATAACACAGAAGTTGATGAATGAATGAATTCAACACATGTAAATAACTAAAGGAAGCAATTAAAAAAACAAATCCTCAAATCATTGGTGTCCAAATCCATTTAGAGGTCATCTGTAGAATAGCCATAAATTACTCTTTAACAGCCATTAGTTTATCCATTTTTCCATACACAAGAGCCATCAATGAGAATATGTAGAGCATGAAGTTTGAGATAAATGAGGCCACAAAAGTGTGACCATAGCTGACAAATGTATGGACTACTTTTCCATTGGGATGCATCTCATGCATCATACAGGAATCAATACTCAGCAGGCCATTACCATGAATCAGTAGTTCCATTCTCATCTCTTCCATAATGCCTGGTAAGTACCTGGAATAAAATTCTTCACATGCAGTCTCAATCACTTAACAAGTAAATCTCACCTGTTCCTTACTCAATGTAGAGCTGGAAGTTGGAAGTTCATGCTTCAAATTATTGATTATTTGGGGCTGTTTCCCACCAGAATGTAACATCAATGCTCAAACTTCCCCCAGGTAGACTAGAGTCTGCAACAGTCTTTGGTATGACTTGGCTAGGGATCAGATTTACAAATAACCACATGCAAGGCAAACACTCTACATACCATTTCACCTGGTTTTTTAGCCATACAGTACATATTTGCTGTACCTACAGTACAAAACAGCTTCATGCATATTGACTACCTGCAGTACAGCACTGTACATACCTATTTGCTGTAGTTCTGCTATGCTGGTGTCAGTGGGAGCCAACAGTTGGTTGATCTTGTTGACCAGCCAGCCAAACAATCGTCCATACAAGGCCTTGGAGACGGCATCTCTACTAGCTAATGCTGGAACAAAAAATTAATTTGATTGTAATGTAATATATAGAAAACTAATATCATTGTTATAGTAGTGATCACAGGTTGGTAACAATAAAGAATCTGATGGATTTTCATTCTCATTCTCATGGACTGTTTGTTAGTGTATCTTTTTTAGTCCATGGTAGATGAAATGAGGTAAATGTGACTGATGACATGCACACCTTGTTGTACAGAGTAATTCCTCTGTATAAGTTCCCCCTTGTTGGTCCTCACCACACTCTGGGTAAGACTTGACTCCAGATCAGCACTATCCACCCCCAGAATCTCCTGGGACCAGGGCAACAGCAACAGCAAAATTAGTATCTTACTCAACCATCTCTCTTCTTCATTAGGTCTTAGGTCTACACAAGTCAAAAGCTTAGTAAACTAATTCTACACAAGATGAAATCTCCTTTTTTCAATTCATTCCTATTTTCAACATTCCAAAGACTTTACCAGACACTATAGCCAAGTAATATAACATTACATGTAGTACAAAATAATGTGCCTTGTTTGTTTTCTTGTTTGTTTGTTTACCTCAGGCATGTGGCCCATTTAAATAACAATATAGAATACTTAAAAAAAAGTCAGAATAAAACTACCTAATACAAATGTATCCTTTTTTTAACCTGTAATGTATATACTGGCTAAGTCTACTTTAAAAGCAAAGCTACCAAAATAGAAAGACCTGAGACTCACAGCAGTGATGTTAAGGTCCTTGGCTGACCTGTCCACATAGGCGTCTCCACTGTCAGTAGAACAGATCTGTATGTTCCCCATATGTAGCACACCGGCCAGGGTGGAAAACATCCCTTCTTGTTCCTGTGTGAAATTTGTAAAATGTTATTCTGACAAAATGTGGTGTCAAACTGCTGAATGGTTTGGTCAGCAAACAAGAGATCGAGAGGTTGCGGGTTTGATCCCTGGTATTGAACCTGGCCTGACATTGTGTCCTTGGATAAGGCACTAATTCCCAAGTCCACCCAGGTGTAAAATGGGTACCTGACTGTGGATAGGAAGGTAAATGGTGAAGGAAGGAGAGGGATGGGCTCCGTCTTCCAATACCATGTCTTAGATACAGTGGACTAACAACACACTGCTCCTATGGCCTCGAAAAGGCTATAAATAATAATTATGGGACTTTTACATGACAGTGTTGTATTCAGACAGGTATGTGGCAAGGTTTAAGGTACAAGTATAATTTTCAATACAGCAAATGATTATTCATATACTAAACTTCACTTAAACTATATGATTATAAATTTCCCTCAGTCTGATTTTTCTTAGGATAAAAGCTGTATATACATGTATAATGGTACGAGTCTGACCTCCTCATCAAAGCCCACCATGTCCATGGCATCCAGCAGTTGTTGGTGTTGCGTCCTGTACTGTTGGGCTTTTTCTTGGAAGTTCTTCAAGTAACTGTGCAAGTAAAATGAACAGTGGACTATTATGGCATAATGGGCTGGGACACTTTCCAGTGTCGGGTGAAGAACAGAGTCACAATTCAAACGTCTTGGTTGCATATTACATACACGTGTACATTTATTGCCTGACAAGAAACATGCACTAGTTAGTGCTGTACTTACCTGTAGTTTTGTTGTCCCCCCAGGTGGTATTTCTCCATGTTCTGTGGGGAGAGTCCATTCAGCATGCAGTAGAAGACGTGGAAGTTCTGCTCTCCTTCTGCCTGCTGCACCAGTCGAGACTTCTCCAGAAGGTACTCTCGAATCTTTGCACCTTTCACTGTGGAGACAACTTTAAAATCTTTTTATCTTCTATACATGTAAGCTCAACCAAACTACTGCTTTTAAAAGATTTCATTTATTCATAATGATATATACATGTAGCTGAGAGACACATTATATGATTTGCATAGTTTACCTGCACCATTTTGGAAGAAGAGTTGAATGTACTTCCCGAAGCGGCTGGAGTTGTCGTTCATCAGAGTCTGTGCGTTCCCAAAGGCCTCTAGCAGAGGATTCACCTATCAAATAGGTCAGGATAAATTATACGCAGTTACAAATGTAAGTTCAATGTTCAACTGTACAATTATAATTCTAGGTTATTTGGCACATTGTAACAAATTCTATATTTCATGGATGAACTTGAATTTGAAAGTCAGGTTCCCAGCAGACAGTTAAGGTAAGTACACGATGTATCTTCTATTCCATGCATTTTGATTGCTGACTACATAAGTGAGTTATGATGGAAAAGGCAGACACAATGCATTGAGCATCAAGTAAAGCATAAAAAGTTTAGGATTTTGCTATAGATATAAATCACACTGTCCTTGTTATGAATCACATTAGGGACACATACAGTGCACCATAACTCTAGATCAAGCTTTAGTTTTGATAAATTATCTCTTAAGTGAGATATTTGTCAAAAGACAGTATGATCATCAAATGATGTATGATCATTCTTTGCAATTAGGAATGGATTTTACTGGTATGTATAGTACTAGTGGCAGGTGCTATAAAATGCTTGTGACAGAACTTTTCACATTCTCTCTGCTGCCTTACCCCATAACCTTAACCCTTGTGGAATCTTGTTGTCAAAATTTACAGATCTTTTGCCTCAGTATGATTAATCAACAAGGGTGGATTTTGAAGGATGACTGGTGTTGAACTATTGAAAACTTGGGTCCAATTTTTGCATTGGAAATTACAGTAGTTCAGCTTTAAGTTTCAGGATCTGAGAAAGCTGTCTGTATACCTGCAGGATCTGCTGTTCCAGCTGTGAGGTGCCCTGACACAGCTGCAGCAGCTGTCTGATCAGCAACTTGGTGCTCTCTGTCTTACCTGCTCCACTCTCACCACTTAGAGGGAAAAAACAGCTGAATCAGCAAAACAGTTATTGGTTTGGGACAGTATCATAATTGTTAACTTTGACCAACACCATTTACAATAATATTGGTAGGGTTGAAGGGATTAAAGGTTTGAGGGTTAGAGTTAGTAGTTATAGCCTAAGATAGGTAAGAGCTTCATCAATCTGGCTTTCAGAGATTGACTTAGTCTATTTTAGGATTGGGGCTCAATGACTAACACTGCCTACATATACCGATCAGGTGTTATACCAATCAGGTGTTGGTCCGGGACTTTGCCTGAATAAGCCAATTGGTCTGAGTTGACAATGGTCTGACACATTTAACATCCCATGACCACTACATGCTGCTTAAAACATGTCATCTTTGTATCCTCATAATTACAGCCTTACTTGCAAGGGATAGGAGCTATTGATATTGCTATTAAAACTATATGATATCACTTTCAACCTCCTTATTTTAAAAGAATTAGCTCTTTTGAATTCTGCCTCTTTGCTAATAATACCTGATGACGATACACTGGTCCTGGGGTGGTGCTGCCAGTTTACCCAGCATGCCCTGGTATGCATCGTTGGCCGTAGCAAAGATGTGTGGAGGGTGGTCAGAGTGCAGACCTCCACAGTACTTGTCTGAGATCTGGTAGGCAAAGAACCAAGAATTCAAGAAAAAATGAAGAATATTGGTTTTATTCACATAGAATATACAACACAGTATATTCTGTATCACCTGAGGTATCAGGCCGACCTGTGGGAATATACATGTACCATGTTCTTATCTTATATAAATACCAAGCCAAGGTCCTGCGAGGGACGTTGCATTCTATTTATGTCATATCCTGGAAAATACACATTTCAATGCAAAATGTGTCAGAGGTAGGCAAAATTTGGAATCCCTAAATGAAAATTGTAACATCAATTGTAGGTCTGAATCTACTTAAAATTTCCACAGCAATCTGAGCGTGGGATGACTGCTCTGACAGTTTGATTTCAATAATTAACACAACTAGCTATTATTCAATGCACCAGTATGAAAAGCTCATATAGTAGAGTTGACAGCTCTTGGCCTAAAATTCACGCCTGCATACTCCACAGTAAAGTTATTCATCAGAAAATAGCCTTGAATGTAATACTAGGCTGCAGTTACAGAGAGTTCAATAATACCACCCGCAAGGCAGATAATATAGAGGTCCACAACAAATTGAAGTAGTTCAACAGTTGCCCCTTCATAGATCTTGAAAGGCATTTTCAAGGTTATCAGATAATGGATAGCAACTGCTGAATATCACTCAATTTAAATTCAAGGTTACTCAATTTACAAACATTCAATCCTTTGATGTCGTCAAGTAGGCTTTCAGTATGGCCATGGCATTTAAGCCTTACAAGGTGGTGACTCTTAATATGACGTCAACTGTCATAATTCTACCAGGTACCTAAGACTCAAGTGGAAGCATGAGAGTTGAAATTAGTAAAACATTTCTTAAACAAGTTAAATACCATGCTTTGTTTCTTTTCTTATTTTTTTAAGTAGCTGCATGCTATTATATAGTAAATTGTCACCTCTGCAGTTTCTCTTTCACCTCATCAGTGTCACCTGATTGAAGGATGAACTGAACTGAACTGAACTGCAGTTATCCTGAGACCAAAAAAACGGTGTTATCAAGGCCTAGTCAATAATGTCTGGAACAGTGAAGTGTGCATACCTCTGGAATCACAAATTTTACTCAGCAGATCTCTTTAGATACACCTTTTTATGTAGCAATTTTAAGGTACCCAGTTATGAGAGTTGTCGTTACAGGAGTAAAATGTATTGTTGGAAAAAACATATTTGCAAGAGAAATTAATGGTCCTCACCTCCTTTGTGTAGATGGGAACATCCTTGAATGGATTAACAGCCACCAAAATGTCCCCAACATACGTCTAAGAAAATATGTAAAAGATCTAATGATGAAATCACTGAACCATGACTTCACTTTTCAGCGCGACATAATATTCCATTTATGCCTTTAAATGTAAGCACGTGTTATCATTATTCTTTAACAGCTGAACACTATGCTTCAAATAGCGGGGAAATTCTAATTGTCAGGCTTACCCTGTCACGTCAATACAATAGCTTGAAAATTCTTATTGAAAAGCTAAAGTCTGTTAACGTGGGAAAGATTCTCATGAGCCTGTCAATAGCCTCTGTCCTACTCACGTAGATCCTATCGGCGGCGTATCTGGCCTTCAGCTCCTGTAGGAGAACGTCTTCGTCCAGGTTGGGTAGTGACGTCAGGTCCGAGACACGTCCAGGGACATAGGCGTCTCCTTGTCTTCCACCGTCCGAGCTTTGCATCGTGTTTTAATCTTGGAGTTACTTACAATGGAATTAGGTGTACTTATCCGAGACGCCAGATACACACAGTCGAATGATCCTACCCTCGGGCGAAGTGCAAGGATCCAGGGCACGGGTCAAACTAGCAAAGTTTTACTTTCCCTGAAAATCAATATTTGGGAGGGGGGTGGAAACGGTTTGGAGAAACTCCCGGAAACAGTACCTTCTAACGTCGAGTAAACTTGCCGAATGTGCTGCTCTCTACTTTGACTAGTCTTCACCCCACCCTTAGGTAAATACCCGACTTCAAACAGACCGTAGCGCGTCTGCAAACGTACATATGACAGGTGTGTGCTCAGCATCCATGCTAGCTCGTCGTGAGTTACACCCCCATGCACCTGACTGGATTGTAAACACAAATACTGCCACGACCTTTGACCGCTTAGAAGGGTGTGTCTTTAAATGCCCTGAAGCCAATGATAGTGTCGCGGTTTGCTCCCCAATTGATCAGTCTTATATAACGCAACAGGTGGACTGGTGATTATGAACTCATGTATGATATCGTTTGTTAAAGCTTGTTGTTTTCGTTTGAAAGACATACAATGTGCACAAACTAAAATCACACAGACTGTTTTCAATGAATGCTACAAAAGTTGCTGAATAATCTATAGAGGGTGTGTGAATGCGTGCCATCTTTGTACAGGTGGCTAATTCCATGGATACAGAGAATGCTGAAGCCCTGGAGGAAAATTTCACGGTCTGTCGAGGTGGCTCTCGTGAGAAGATTACAGAGAAAGTCTACAGTATAGGTGTCGCACACAAGTGGCGACATTCAATGAGCCTGCAAATAACTGTTGGACTGATATACACCACTTTATTAACATCGACAATACACACTATTGATACTGAGGCTACTATGTACACTATGTACCTGGCCTTTGTCCACTTTCGATCGAACCGTCTAATCTAGATGAACGTGACTGTACGTATATAGGATGGATTATACGCATACGTTACATTTAAAATGCTCTACCTTACTCTACCTCTTTGACGTACCTTGTAGTTGGTTCTCTGCCACAATTGCTTGGTCCCACCGAAGAATCATAGATAGCATTTTCCTAATCTGTTTTTCTTTTTCTTTACAACAGCAAACGCCTTAAGTTTTCACCGTGACAAGTCATTAAGAATCTAAAACGAAAGAACTATATATTCCTTTCTTGGACTTCTGTGATAGATCATAAAATGCAAATCAGACAATCCTGGTAAAATCTTGCTATACCCAGGGATGGCTGAAAGGACTGCCGACACTGACATGTCGATACATCACTGTCACGGATTTGTCACTCACACACCTACAGGAAACGGTGCAATGGAATCAAAAGGTCAAAAACAGAGCAGAACGACGCGTGAAGTGACCTTTTCAGGGATTCATTTCATATTTATAATCGATTGTTACGTAATAGCGCGTGGTCTGGTACTCGACACAGCGCAGACTCTGAACACTTACGCCGACAAGATTGCACCTTTTAAAACCACTTACAGACGAAATGGTCCAGAAAGATCCGCTACTCCAAACACAATTGCTAGTTTTTGACACACTGTTAAGTTACTTCACGTCAACAATGCGATATGTTTTCGATGTATAGGTTATGTATCATAGTACTCGTGTGACAGCGACACGGCCTGACTACTTCATTTGCAAGCAGGACATCTCTACTAGACATCACTCGTGTTTCACTTTCTCAGTTTGTTCAGGTACAGGTACAGGTCCGGACCTGTATCTGTCCGGACTTAAATCTTTGTGCCAGTACCTTTACCTTATTAGGTAGACAGTACTAAAACGAACTGCATGATGATTGGAGAGTTCACAGCACGTGTTCGTAAAGCGTGCGACTGCTTGCCTGGATGCTTGGAGGTTCGCGCGACTCTGACCTGGCCATCGACATCGGTGTCAGGCGTCCCATCTCCGTACCTTCATGTCTGGTGGTGTTTCTCGCCTTTGGACTTTCTTTCCGCCGTCCGAAGATGCCGGAGAGGCAGTCGGACTTGGTGTTGAAGTAGAGGAAGACGAACGGGTTGGTTGCTGTGTTGGCGCTGGCGAAGATTCCCAAAACTCCAACGACCTTTATGAAGAGAACATTGACAGCAAATTAAAACCAATAGTTAGTGACATGTTACTTTGAACGTAATATTCACCTTCTCCACTACCCCCACCCGTATTGAATAACTGGTACGAATAGCATTTCAACCAAGTCTTGGTATTTATTATGCAACAGTGTTCTGGTAGCTTTGGAACATTTTCAAACTATACATCACTGACACGTACGTGTGCCAGAATGAATGATTCCAATAATGGGCTATCGGGGGGTCCTCATGTCCAACTTTTGGTTGACCCCTCAACCTAGGCCTTGTTATCGTAACTTGAAACGTCGATGATGGTCACACATCCAGGTAATAATACCAAGGTAACAGTTACTCAAGCAACTGGATTAAAGCTTGAAAAGATCAGACTTTTTGGGTAACTATTTCCTACTGTTCTGTCTAAAATTCGCCTCCATCTCATTTTGCACTTCAATACATAGCTGTTGGATGGATGTCTGTGAAACTCTTCGGTCACTGATCAGCTGATGGAAGGTAGTAGATGCTAGATACATTAAACGTCTGGCCGTATTAGAAATCTATCCAGTCACTCGAGTAACTGTTACTTTGACAAATAACTTGATGTTTGATAGGGAAAGTTGCTCACTCGCATGTCCAGTGTTGCAGGATCTCCAAACGCCATCCACATCTCCACGATGAAGTACGGCGTCCCACAGATGATGAAGGTCAGGATGATCACCATGGTCATCTTCAGCGTCTTCATCTTGGCGCGGATCATCGCCTCGTTGTTGTTGCTCTGAATGTAAATCCTGTTGTGTCTCCTGGTGGAGAGGGGAGACTTTCCGTCTCGGACCCTGTCGGAGATCTTCTTCAGGATCCTGGCGTACGCCACGATGATGATGAGCAAGGGGACGGAGAACAGCACCATGGCGACGTACGTGATGTAAGCCTGCAGGTGCCATCTGCCCACCTCGCGGAAGATCGCCTTGCAGAAGCTTTCGCCCGTCGGCGTCGTCACCTCTCTGAAGATGTAGGCTTGCGGTAGGGAGCAAAGCAGGGCGACGGAGTATGCGGCGACGATCATCCTCTTCGCAGGCAGAGCCCGCTTCATGGGGCTGCGGATGGCGTGGTGGCGATCGATGGCAATCACCACCAGCATGTTGCTGGACGCCATCAGCCCCAGAGCCTGTCCGACCTTGATGACCTTACACATGACGTTTCCGGCGTACCATCGTTCCTCCAGGGACTCCCAGATGATCTGAGTCAGCATGGTCACGGTCACCACCGACAGGTCCGCGATGGCCAGGCCTAGGATCAGGTAGTTCACGTTGGACTTTCGGCGGCGATTTCGCCACATCCAGGCGAAGACCAGCATGTTCCCGACCACGCCGATCACCACCATGATGGACAGCGTGAGGATACGGACGTTCGCGTCGTGTTTTAGAGTCAGGGATGCAGACGTCGGGGTGACGTTTGCTGAAAGGGTGCCGTTGTCATCGAAGTAATAGTCGTCATGAAACGGCCCAGCAGCTGAATGGTTCCCTATACGGCTGGAGTTTGCCATGGTTGTGCCTGAAAGAGAACACGATGATCGATGAGCACAGCGTACATGCATTCTGTCGATTGTAGTATAGAGCAATGTGACAAATGGACTAGCTACACCTTGATACTTGTGGTACTTGATATATCAAATAACATCATATTACTTGTACGTTTATACTTTACTAACCAACAAGTCACACGAAATCTTATAACGAAAAGTCACATAGACTCTTATAAGAAAATTACTTTAGATTCTCCATACACCAAGTAGTCTACAGATAACTCGTCCACGCATTTTAAACTTAAACGACACTCAGCCTTTACCATACAAAACTCTTTATGGCAGCGGTGTTTGACGTTTGATAAGCCGAGTCAATGGACTTCTCATGAGGCTTGGGGGATTTCATTTTGTCGGTGCAAAGGTAAACGCTAAATGAATCAAAGCATTTCTTGGCTTGGTATCCACTCTGAATCTAAATAAACGAGCAAAGACAATATACAAGATTTCCTTCATCAGGAAAACCAATAGGTTACTCTATCATTCAGACGCCATGGCCAAAGTCAATATCCCACTGAAATGGAGCCATTCTATCAACTTCAGTTCTTATAGCCAACAGTTAGACATTTCCTGGAGGTTACAAACTACGAATGGGTATCCTGGAATATTACCACTGCTATCCTGACAATCCTGACAATCAAACTTTGGAATCGTATTGAATACATAACGACGATGTTATCTGAAAGTCGCCCATTATATAACGGGAGGCCAAATATCTTGAAATTGAATCTAAGATAGAAATGGCTTAAATGAGACAAATAAGTCGTGGTATAAGATGTTGGCGAGCGCCTGCGAAGCTAATGCGTTTCAAGATTTCTCAAGGAGCGATTTCATCAACTGACAAGCACAAATACAGGAAGAGAATCTTTTGGCTGGGTAATAAACATTACCGTAAGCACGTTCCTAAGCTCAAAATCCATCGACTGCTGAGCAGTTTTTTATGGAATGTTATCAGAAAATGAGATCGGGCTTCAATTAACCATCCAAGCGGGAAGTATAGACCGGAATGGAGGGTGTGACGCAAGGGTCACGAGGTTGAGTCCTGGAGAATTACTCACGTTTCGTGTGCCCAATGTTCCATATAAAGTACGCTAATCTGTTAGTGTTACAGGTACGACGACATGATTACAAAAGGGTCTTATTCTGGGATGCCCACTCGTCCTAGCGATGATGACGTCGTGGCGTCGTAGATGAAATCGTGGCGCAAATGATGCTGAGGTGCACGTATACGTACGTCCACATACCGGGCATACGACGTTGGATGTCCATTACTTGCGATGATGACGTCAAAGGCGTCTTAGGTGGGCTCGCAGAGAAACAAAGAAAAGAGCCACTGTAAGTCAAACGTCCTTGGCAAGTTTAGGCCAGAGGGTGGACAAGATTTGTGAGTTGCACAAGCTCACTCTCGGTTCAGACGGGAGGGACACATATCATAGGTTCCTTGCTGTGACTTAACTCCAGCCATGTAGCTATGGAAGTAAATGTATAGAAAGTAAGGCGAGGGCAAAGCTAAAAAAAAGAAAGAAAATTGCAGAGACAGCTAGGGAGGTAGAGGGAGCTTGTCCCCTCATCACCCCGGCAAAGAACTACATGTAGGCCGGATTACCATTAAATCTGTTCTAAATATGTTTAATAAAGCAAGATGAAATCCCCTAAGGACAAGCTTGCAAAATTTTTTCCGCAGGCTGCAACACCTCAAGTTGTCCTCTCCTACCATCAATCTCCACACTTGCGCTGCATACAGTGGCTATGTCCAAAAATAGCGCTATCGCACACGGTCCATTTAGTAATACCACTCGATGGACTTCATTGGTATTAGAAGACTGACGAAGACACGCCACAAGTACGACCAAGTGCATTAGTAGGATTTCCATTATCTGGTACACGTTGAGCCTCAAAAGTGTAAAATCCGAACCAAATTCACCGTCGCTTTGAACGGCATCAGCACACGTGACTAAGTTGATTTCTTGACATGAGGCAATCGTTAGACGCAAAAGCAGTAAGCCTATCTTCATTGAGTCTGAGAGTCCTGTAGCCTAAAAGCCTGCTGAAAAATCCATTGACTGCCATTTGCCTTATAGTAGACCGTAGATTGATGTTGCGAAGCACCTAACATCAAATAGGAAGAACTCAAGATATTTGGCAGGTTGGATGGCACTAAGGAGAAAGTATGTTACAATTGCCTAGTGAATAATGCTTCCTAAAGCCTCATATGGCAATAGAAAGACCAAATGCCATTCGGAAAAGATTGTGTCAAAATATAAGAGCAGCTGAGAGCATTTTGACACATTCTCATGGCTTTTCCATTCTCTATAGTGACTAAATCGTTCTAAACAACTGATCTCCCAGGATGTATAAGGCTTGCACCCGTGAAAAGGTTTGCCATAATCTGACTTTCTGTCCAGGTTATTGGACAATAAACATTGTTGGGTCAATCCAAACATGGTTAAAGCTGTATTGAACGACGTACAGGAACCTTTCATTGCGTCTTAGCGTTTCAAAGCGAGCAAGCTTGATTGGGGTTGCGACCCTAACGGCAGCGAAAAGTTCCAAAACGACGTTTGGTTTTATTACAACCAATCCTGTCAGGAGGATGCGCCAGCTGCCGATCGATATCAAATGTTGATCATGTGTCTTATTCATCCTCCGTCTAGTTATTTAATGAGTCAATAAATACCCGCTGTACGTGGCACACGTTACTTAACGAACATAACAACGTCGTTAATAATGCCAACTGTAAAATATTGAGAACAAGATGGGTCCCAAATGACGCTGCTTTCCTTTCCCTTACTAAATTCCTCATGAAAATGGATTCCAGGAAAACCAATTCTCCCCATGAAATAAGTGATGCAAGTTTTTGGAACAACGCTGGAGCCAAATTAACCTTTAGCGCACCATGGAAGTAGCCATTTGGCTGGCAAAATTCTCTATTGGTGACGTTACAGGTTAGTGGTCAGGCAGCAGGGAAAATGTTAACACGGATATGACGAATAGAACATATGGAAGATGCAAAAAGATTTTCATCAAGGCAATAAAATCACTGCGATCATATAAGGTTTATGCTGCTCTTTAGCACGACCTCATACATTCGTTAAACGATGTCGTCAACCTTCAATTAACACCCAAACGCCGCCGGTATAGAATTCCCGTCATCTACCGCTTTTATATATAACAGCTGTTCAAAGCATATGAGCTACAATGTATGACTGTATTAAACGTTCATCTTCTTATATGACTTCATGTGCTTTATTTAAATTGAGATGATTAATTCTAGTGAAATCAGATTATTTTGGATTGATATATAAGATCCGATTGGGAGACATCGTTCGTTGCGGATTTCATTGCGAGTCACGATGAAAATTAGAGAATTTAAGATAGTAGCCTCTAAAATCCACACATGATTGGATTCAACAAATTAGAAAGTGACTTGGGCGGCAGCTGCTTATCGTGCAAAGTGAAATGAAATGAAATAGAAGTGCGTGACGAGAATATTTAACTCAGTCAGGAGACTTCAGCCAGCTCACACCAGGCTTTACCCTGGACACTGGCTAAGCTGGTTCCTTGCGCCAAGGGTGTCTACATTTCCTCTTAATGTAGATACAGAGCCGGACCTCCGCCTTGTAAAAACACAGACAGACAGCTGTCTACAGGCTCGTTCTCTGATGATTTGTACGGGTAGAAAGGCTCTTCGCCTTCGAGCATGAGGCTAATGAAGGTCTACAAGAAGGCCAGGTGGTCTGGAAGATAAGCTTCATTCCAAGTATTTTAAGTTTCCACTTGACTACTTCATCAGTATGGACGACACGTTTACAGCCTTCCAAATGGAATCATGAAGAATATACCCATGCCACTGTTTGGGTTGATACACCAACAGAGACATCTTCAAAATGAAATCCATAAGATTGAATCATGTCGTTTTTAAACGAATATTTGTATGATTCACATCATATTCAAAGGGGACATTGGCACCAAGAGCAACCAACTGATAACCTTGGTAGATAACAGGTAGATAGCAGACAACTGTCCGTAACATATCTTTAGATCGGCAGACGTATGGCCCTCTGTCCTTGAGCGTGTGTATAATGACATGTCCAGGTGAGTACAGAAGATAAGATGGACGAGAAATGAACACGTCTGCTGTCTGGTCGGTTCTGTCCTAATCTTGCGGAGACGACGAAACTGCCTTCTGTGTCATGTCTAATTTCTTGTCTTACGTATTTATACCAATTTTGAAAGCTTTCAATTGCCTAGCCATGCAACATAATTAACTACGACGTCCCCATACAGTAAAAGTTAACGTTACGCTCTCGGTGACTGATGCTGGCAGGATCCTGCATTGGTATTCATCAGGAACGATGTGGTCTCATGAGGCTACGTGCAAAACGCCATCAAATTAAATTACGTCTCCCTTGATACCAGATCCGACGGGACAACGATCATCAAGCAAAGACTAACAAGCAGAAACAAATTCCGTCAGGGTATTCAGTTGAAGCGAATCCGTAAAAGATAGAAGGCAATATAAAAATCCCGAATGTGATGAAGCGTTCTCTTGGTAGGTACATGAATATTAACGTTTGTAATAAGTCAGTATGATCAGGCGCTGTTTATGTGCGAAGTAAAACTAGGCTACTTCTATGGGGAGTTATCCGTTGATAACAGAGACCTTTGTGTAAAGTTTAGTATTTTAAATTGACTGTCTTTGGAGTATACCAACTATAAGCTTGATGGCTGACTGCTGGTTGACTGAGTGACCATAATGGCTCATTGTACAGTCATTAATCCAATCATATGATCCTGCACCGACGTGATTCCTTTGTCCGAGGTGTGTAACTGTAATCCTTGATATGCAGACGGATCGGCGTTACCTCCAAATACAGCACTTTGCGTTTGTTGAAGCCTAGTGGTATGATTATGTTGGCAAGTATACTAGTAGATGTTTGGGTTCAGGTAAATGGTGTAAAGCG